AAATGTTTCGGGGAAGCACCTCTCTTTAATTTGCATTACGTACCTCTATTTTAACTACCATTTACTCGCTCAAAAATTGTTTAGTTTATAGAAGATCTTGCCTTATTCACTGCCCTAAATCATTCTTGTTCTTTTGGAAAGAATTTCGGTAAGTTTTTTTTAAAATATTTTATTTACCGGCTAAGGGTCGGTCCGTATGGTGAGAAACTGTGACCTCGGTCTTGAAAATGCTGTCCGAGGTTGTAAGCCGAGGGCAGCATTTTACATTCTCATCTGCTTACTATTACTGTCGCGCGCCTTGCCTTGAAGAAAAAGCCGTAATCTTCCTTCCGATCCACGGACACGAATCGGTGAAAAGCAGGGAGGAAGCGTCAGTCGGTATTTCATTAATACGAGAGGCATTTCATAAATAGAAAAAAAGAACCCTCCAAATTTGAATTCGACCAGAGAATTTGAACAAGTAAACACATACATGATTTCAAGTGCATTTTGATATGAATAAACCCGATTAAATTTTTCTGACCAATAAAAACTGTACGGTGTTTTTTGACGCGTGCGATTAGCAGTCTAAAATCGTTCCTGCCTTCCCTAGTGCAGCCTCCTCTTCTACAATTTAACTTCTCGCTTTTTTGGACGTTAACCCTTTTTACCTCGGCGAAGCTTCCTGAATTATCTCGCTAGTCAGCGTCTGACTCAGTGAGGTGTAAAAGTTCAATATGAAATGCTATATTATTTTCAATAAGAAAAAACGATCTTCGGCACTACTACTAAGCAAAAACTTCCAAATCTAATTCGAAAGAATTTTTACCAGTCAACAGTCTTTCTTGTTTTGCTTTCGTTTTACGAATCCTTCCAGTCTATTTCCATCTTCCGAAAGCAATATTAGAGTTTCCACGGCTTCAAGTTTAATGGTTTTTCATGATAAATAGTCGCAGAATTTTTGAAGGTGGGACTGTTTACTTGTATCCATCTGTGGCCTTTAAAAATCGCACGGTACCAGAAGAGATTTCTTCTGTGGCCCAGCCTCCGACGGCTCGTTGTCTGTAACTCATGGCCAACTTCATAGCCTGGTACAGCCTGAGGCACGGGACACGTGTTTTTGTCAAAGCACACCCGCGACAAAGCCACCCACCATGAATTGCCTATGGCTGGAAGCCCTTATCATACAGCCTACTACACCTACAGGTTCCAAGCTAGCATTTCGGAATGAACAATTATACTCTTGCTTTAATGTAAGGTTTTTTTTTTTATCATAGAGCATAAGACTACTCCACACAGATCCTAGTCTTTCAATGGATGAAGAAATACAATAGAGGAAAATAAAAAAAAAATGTGGGCTGATCAAAGATAATTGATCTAATATTCACTTTGTACCTATCATTTGCCTTTGCAAAAGTTGCTAAGAATTAGAACGACAAAGAAACGTTTACTTGGCTGTGTACTGGTTCGCTGGGCTAGGTTCTGTATATTGGGCCACGCGCTGCGTACCTGCTTTGGTAAAAACTCGAAAATTTCGGCATTTAAGTGTTTCATTCACGCGAAAGCACGCTGGAAACTCAGACATCAAAATTTTGAACCCTCAATTTTACAGTCGTTGGTGTCGAAAACTTAACTATGGTGGTGTGCAGGCTTTGATTTTCTAATCTATGCATAACAAAGGTGAAGTTGCATAGATGCGTCATTTTGGATTGCAAAATAGCGTTTTGCTGTTGAGCAGATTATCAAACTCTCTGAAGAATGTTAAGATTACGGTTAAACTGAGCCGATCAGACGTTTTCTTTTGCTCACTTCAACGAATTTTTTGCAACATTGCATTATTCACCGGTGTTCTTTTTAGAAAAAACTCTTTGTTCGATGGATTCGGGCAAATTCTCTTCCATCTGAAATTGTAGTTTGTTTTTCTTGTCAATGGAAGATCTGCATTGTGGTAATACAGGTAATCTGTAGACTGCTTTAATTGGCTGAAAACGATATGGCCAAATTGACTCCGAGGACTTTATGTTCACATGAAGATAAAAGAGGCCGGGCCCACAAATGGAACGAATGGAAAGTACGCCCTAAATAGTGAGTTTGGTGTACAATAATGAGTGATTTTATTTCATAAATAACATGTTGTTAACTTTGTTTCAATGGAATACGATTTGCACGAAAAATCTGTAAGTTCCATTAGCAATACCCTCGTTAATTTAAGCTATACTTATGATGTGGGAGTTGCATATTTGCCTTGTTTGCCCGGAAGCAAGTAAGCTTTTTGTTCCTGTCTTCTATTCTCTTACAGGCAATAATGAGGGTTCGGCTTGTGAGGGGTATTATGACGTCTATTCAAATTTAAAGTCAAACTGTAACTCTCAGGAAGTTTCCTCTAGGGGATCCTTCTTTTCTATCATTATTGGAATCACTGATATGATAAGTATCTTTAGTATTAACTATCGATATGTCATATTTGCAATAGCGTCATCTCCATTACTCCTTCAGGTGAAATTCCATTACAATTTTAGGTGTCTCTGACGCTTTTGTCACTCACTTATACTCTAAGATGGCTTAGTTGAATTATTCTGGAAGTAAAATACCAGACCACAATGACCTTGGCAGGGGCTACAACGAACCTAAAGTCTCGATCTGCGATCGATCAATCGATTCCTTAATTATTAAAATAATATCAAATATAGAACATTTTTGCGCCTTCTCTGTGAAGTAGTTAAGTTGAATGTACAACAAAGACGCCCACAATGATAGTTATGAATGACACCGTTTTCAAATACCCCAGAAATATATATATATATATATTTTTTTAATTTCCAACACCAGTATTAGTAAAAACCTACACACTTCTGCTACGAATTCTTGTTTTTTATTATTTGGAATACAGTATGTGTCGACTTAATGGTCAGTTAAACTTGGTCTTAACCTCGTTTATTGTAAAAAGCTTTGTTACCAAAGCGGTTTCTCTTATAAAGAGGAACTAGGGTAAAGGCAGGTGGCTTTATCTTTGGTGTGCAGTATGAACCGTTGAAGTTCCCTCTCCTAACGTTATTCCTTAGATTTTGTGGTCCTATGTTGTTTCCAGCAGGACTGTACCGTCCCACTACGTAAACACAGACATATCCAGGAAATTTGATGTTTCTTCCGACAGAGTAACCAACTCCAAGCTTTCTGCTTCCAGACCACACGACTTCGGTAAAATGTCCCGTATCGGAGTTGAAATTTGGCTGGTCAAAGTTGTACTGACATACCTCATCATACCTATAAAGAATTTGTTGTTGGTTATTGTTTGGTTTGATCTTTGAGTATCAACTATGTTTAATTTGTTTCAGTTTAAAATATGATTTTTTTTAATTTCATCGTTGAAGGATCCATACACTGAAAAACGTTAACAACATAACTTTTAGCTCTTCGATTTACTGGACAAAGCAGTAGTAAGAAGAACTCTTACCAGCGTTTAGCTACATTCCTTGCCATTTTTTGTACTTTTAAGTAGGTCAAAGGACCATTTCGAGCAGGAACGCAGGACATTCCAATGTTCTCTCCAACTCCTCGTCGTGCGAGAATTGCACTCGATTGGTGCTCCAAGACTCCCTTAGAGGCCATTTTCTGAGCGTAGTTTTGAGCATCGCACATCATGTGATCATCCAGTCTTAGGTCAGGGGAGCCGTGGACTCTTCGGTAAGCATTTTGCGTTTTCTTCAAATCATTGGCGACTATTATCACATAAACTGAAGTGGGAAATAAACTAAATGTAAACATTGGAATAATTTCCATTTCGTTACTCAACCAGAAATAAAAAAAAACCCACTCGTTATATTGGACAGCATAAAAAAATATTTTCAGTGATGTTTTGTAATAATACTTGGATCATCATATTTTTTTATATCATCGTCATTATAAATAATTATTTTAATCTTTATTACTGCTTGAATCGATTACTCTTACCATTTAGGGGTCGCGAGCAGGGTGAAGTGGGTGCAACCTGAGCGGCTGGCTGAGGACCAGTGCCAGTTGTTTTACCAGTGCCAGTTGTTGGACTAGTGCCAGTCTTTGGACCAGTGCCAGTTGTTGGACTAGTGCCAGTCTTTGGACCAGTGCCAGTCGTTGGACTAGTGCCAGTCTTTGGACCAGTCCCAGTAGTTTTACCAGTACCAGTCTTTGGACCAGTCCCAGTAGTTTTACCAGTGCCAGTCGTAGGACCAGTCCCAGTAGTCTTACTAGCGCCAATCTTTGGACCCGTTCCAGTGGTTTTACCGGTGCCAGTTGTTGGACTAGTGCCAGTCTTGGGACCAGTGCCAGTAGTGGGACTAGTGCCAGTCTTTGGACCAGTGCCAGTGGTTTTAGCAGTGCCGGTTGTTGAAGTAGTGCCAGACTTTGGACCAGTGCCAGTTGTTGGACTAGTGCCAGTCTTCGGACCAGTGCCAGTTGTTGGACTAGTGCCAGTCTTTGGACCGGTGCCAGTTGTTGGACTAGTGCCAATCTTTGGACCAGTGCCAGTCGTTTTACCGGTGCCAGTTGTTGGACTTGTGCCAGTAGTTTTACCAGTGCCAGTGGTTTTGCCAGTGCCAGTTGTTGAACCTGTGCCAGTAATTTTACCCGTGCCAGTGGTTTTACCAGTGCCAGTTGATGGAATAGTGCCAGTCTTTGGACCAGTGCCAGTTGTTGGACTAGTGCCAGTCTTTGGACCAGTGCCAGTCGTTGGACCTGTACCAGTCGTTGGACCAGTACCAGTCGTTTGACCAGTGCCCGTCGTTGGACTAGTTGGTGTGGTCGATCCCTTTGTGGGTGTAGCTGTTGATAATGAAGAACCAGCTTTAAAGTTAGGATTTGACGGTCCTGATTGGCCAGGTCGAATTTTCTCGCCGGCCAACTCGAAATTAAGGTTCCCATTCTTTAAAATGGCAGTTCCCTTGATATTGAACCTCACGGGTGGGGGATCGTCCGCTAATCTTCCTATACAAAACACCACACAATTGTATAGTCGCAAGAATCTTTTGTTAAATGCGTAAAAAAGCTATGTCTTTTCTTGATTTTTTCCAACTGCTTTTTTTCCTCCTCTTTTTATCTTGGCAGAGCTTCTTTGTTTTCTTTTCTTTGTTTGTTTTGATTTTTTTTATCTTTCAACTTTAACAGGCCAAATTTTGGCAGCTTTGCATCAATTTTTTAGAGTGCAGATTAAACTTCCAAGATTAAATATAGAACGTCCTTGTATTGTTAAACCCGAAGAATTGCAAGGGTGGACACAACGCCTCTGTCCAAATATTATTTTTGAGATCATTGTTGGTGTATTTCCAATATCACGTAATTATTTTCCAATTTCCTTTGGAGCAAAATCTGGCAATTCATATAAATTCTTCCATGTTGTTATTTTAATTATTAAATATGTTTTAACAGTTTTTCAACTTAACTTACGTTTCAGTTTTACGCCCAACGCCAGGCCAAGTTTGTTGCCGGCTTTTGCGGCCCATTTCCCCATTTTCGATTCCTTCAACTTTTCTTTCCAGCTTGATTTCTTTTTACCACCTTCATCAAAAAACGCACTCTTTCCTTGCCAAACGGTCAGTTGCAGTATGAATAGCAGTAAAGATAAACGCAACACTTTCATCTCCTCCTGAAGAACAAAAAGCAAGAACTTTCACTTCGGACGTGTTGAGAAAAACTTAAAGCCCATACTTTGAGTTATTACCTTACAGTAGTAAGCACATGCATGCTAACTAGTACTTAAAGTGTGACTGAAAAACTTTGCAGGAATAATTTGATAACGTACCTTGCTGTGACCAAAATTTGGTTAAAAAAATAACCGGAAAAAGTTGCTCTGTGGGCTCTAGTGGACGGGATGAAATATGAGCAAGAATGTTGTGGCTAATTGATCATGCAAGTTATCTTAAGACTGCCCTTATTGGTTAAGAATTTAATGGTGGTAATGATATATGTTTGGAGACTGATAACCTGTTACACGACACAGGCCCCTATTATGGTGCCTTGTGTGTTCTTATAAAGAGGGCGTGTCGATAAATAGTTATTGCTAATGGAAACTGCCTATCCAGAAGTGAATGTGGTAGACAATGTCCATATCCATATGAGTCCTACGCCAGCTTTTGAAAGCATTTGACTTTAAAAGTATTGTCATCGAAATATAATTTGCTTCAAGATCCACAAATACCTCTCTCTGTAACCCAACCTTAGCTATGGTTGTTATTTCACTTAGCTGCTAATGGATTCGGAACTGGTGACCGTTTTATGAAGTGCTATGTAAACTGATACATATTGAAACATCCAGTTGACGACATCGCAAATATATCATTTAGAGATCAGATCTTCGACCTTAAAAATATTTTCTTTCTAATGTATATCTTAAGCTTAGCCTACATTACTGGTTTATCTCTATGGAAATCACAGCAAGCAAAGCGAGCTGTTCTCGATCAGATGGGTTCCAAGAAAATCTAAATCGTGTCCCGACTAAAGAGGTGTTTAAATAAGAACTTGTTCTGATATTTTGATAAATCCAAAAGAGAATTATTTTATTTGTAAGATTGGACTTGATGGTGGTGTTGGTGGCTTCTCGTTCGCGGATAATCGTCGAAATCCACGTACAGTTCATCTCCAGGGTGGACATGGACAGCGTGAGTGAATCCTACTCAAAGGCACCCGTGGAGGTCTCAAACCTTTCGCCGATTATAAGCCCAGCGTGGTAACTTCTCGGCCAATGCATTTCTTATGCTCTGAGAATAAATAGCAACTATTACACACCTTTGAAATTGCAGTTATAGTAAATCTATATCTTACAATTACGATAGGTTTCTTAACGTGAGACTTGTTTGCTTTGTGTCAGCTACTTTAAAAGTAGGATTTGATTAGTAAGTTTCCGTACGAAAGGAGATTATGCACTGGCTCAATCGAATTTGACAGGTTTGAAAAATTCGAGCAAGTACAAAATTAGGTCAAAAACTACCTTCCAGCACAAATTTAATTTTTAAACATAAAGCCTCAACTGATCTTATCTGAAACCGGAGATTTGTCTTTTATGTCCACAGAACTTTCCGACGGGCCCGAAACGAGCTGAGATGTTTAAACAACGAAAAAATCTGACATCCATTTCCTATGGGATGAATTCTTCCTTTCGTCTCCATCGCCCCTCAATTGTCACCTTGACGTGCCCATTCTAATTGGTGAAAGGTAAATACCAGCTTGTAACATCTGACGATACAGGATTTGCAATTTTATCTCATATGATAAAAATATTAATATCCTTACTGACAAAAAATATCTCCGCGATATCGTTATAACAAACACACCTTTAAATGGGAATCTACTAATAATGCATAAACTTAAACACAAACGCCTCTTCCAGAAACTGACTTTGGGAAGCTGGTTTACCGTTTGCAAAAAAACATTCTCCCCTCAGCAGATCAGCAATTATTGGTACCAAAACAGTGAGTTATCAGCAACATTCCACAGACAACCGAACCAAACACAACTACCTAAATGAACCAACGGATTGAAACTGATCAATTACAAATGGCTTATCTAGCCTTCCCAGAATAACTCTCACTTGGATGATCAGGCCGTTACAAAAACCAGTCCTGAGTTCGAATTAAACATTTATGCATTGTGATCTGTGAGGCAAGGAGGGTGCTAGTGTCAGATTTGTTTTCGGAATAACTGTTGCCTTTTAGTGGCTGAATCTCCATGGAGGCAAGTACCTGAGAGTACGGCAGAATTTGGGGTTAAATGGAGGCTGTTGGTCGAAGAACCCCCAACGCTATTTCCATTTATTTTCCTTCCTGTTTCTGACAAAATTCTACCTTCTCATACGTTGAAATTGTTCATTTCTTTAAGGGGGAAACTTAAATCTAACGGCAATTGAGGTCCCAAACATTGCAGTTTACCTAAGATTAAAAGTACTTTACTCGCAGGTTATCAAATGAAGGCTTCAAATATTTTTTAGAGACAAAAACCTCTTTATTTCATTATCTATGTCTTTTCGCATAGTTTTCTTGAATGCAAGGAACTGGTCAGGATAAGATGTAGATCTAACTTGATTAAAAATATAATTAATGGATTCAATGACAAGTCCACCATCATATATAGAAAATTATTAAACTGTTCTTTCATTAACACCAGCATGGTGCTATATTATGAAAAGTTCCTTACAATTTTCTCCTAAAATCGACTCAAATTATGCAGTTGTCAAGTAATATTGTTCAAGTATTAACGTCGTATAGTAACAAAGATGTTAAAGAAAGTTTTCACCTTTTTTGCTGCATTTAAATTCCTCTTTGGAATGGTCCAATATAAGAGAACGTAATAAGCTTTCCCCAACTTATAATTGGGGAGGGAGGAAGTGCATGTTATTTACAAAATTTTAATCAAAGAGTCTTTAGACAGATGAGCTCTAGTAATGAATGCTCTGGGCCTATCTCTGCTGGGATCTGTTGACAAATATTGACTATTGACTCCGTGACCTCTGTCAACATTTTCCTGGTTCTTAGGGTAATAACCAGGGGTTGTGCTGTAACCATGGGAACCATGGTTGCCTTCAAACTTGCTTAATCCATGAAGACTTTGTTTATCAAAATCACTAAACCTTTGTGGCTTATTCTGATTCTCTTTTCGGTATGGTACATTTTTATCTTGTTGGTAGTTGTCCTGACTCGGTGTGGCTTGTCTTTGAGCGTCTTCCTTGCATTCCACTGCACTACAATTGTAAGCAACTGGGTCAAAGGTACCAATTTCTATGTTTTCTTTTGCGCCCACTTTATTGTTACTTTTCGGTTTATAACGAACTACAATAAAAGAACAGTTCATTCCCCACTTGGTACCAAATGCTCTTCCAACACCAATCTCTTCTGTCGCTTTCCATACAAGCTGAGCAAAATGCGAAGATACTCCACCGAAAGTAGGCAACGAGAAGTTATGGCAGCAAGCCTCATCGTACCTTATGAATCAATCAAAAATTATTTGGTCAATAAAACTATTAGTCCATCAATCATATCATCATCAATAAACTAATATGTCGTTAAAAAAATTTTTAATCAGTCAGGTGATTGAAATAGTAGCTATTCCTTCAACCATCCTGCCGTTCACCTGATCCACCTGTCTGGCAGCTAATCAATCAGTCACTGTTCGTCAGGATAGTCAGTTGGCTGGTCAATCGGTCAGTGAGTCAGTTTACTGAACAGTCATTCAGTTAGCCAGTGAGCTATTCAGTCGGTTAATCAATCACCAGTCAGTCACTCAGCCACTCAGCCTGTTATTCGGCCAGTCAGTCAGTCAGTCAGTCAGTCGGTCGTTCAGTCGGCCAGTGAACCGAAAACCCATTAAGTAAACCAGTCAGTCATGGGTAGACGGGCAAGTAAATGTTAATCGGTCGATGCATATCTCGCCAGCCAAACCAGTCAGACAGCGATTGGTCAGTTAGCAAGTCATTTAGGCACGAATCCTGAAGGCATACAGGTACGCAAAAGGGCAGTCAATTTATCACTCAATCAAGTCAATCAATCTGTTATAATTACTAAATTATTATTATTATTAAAGTTATTAAATACTTTGTAAATGAACACAACGACTCAGTCGTGTAGTAGTTGTAGTCGTTGTTGTCGGGAGTGATCGATTGTTTGGAAAGCTGTAAAGAGAGAGAATTACTGTCATTGATTGTTCATTTCGAGGAACTTTGGAGAAAAGTGTGAGTTTGTGTCAGTGCTAAGCTAAGATCTAGAGTGTAGTGAGCTTAAGTAGGTTTATTGAGGATAATTACTGTACTGCCTTTAGGATCCGCTCCTTATTAAGAATATTACAAGTTGTTTGATAAAGTAGTTGAGTATGTCGGATTGAAGAGTCCTGTAATAATGTAGTTTGATCGTCCGGGTGAGTGTAGTCCTGAGAAGGACTGTTGTCGGTAGTGGTGACTGACGTTTCGACAACCTGAGCGGAAGTTATCATCGAAGTGAAGTTAACGGTTGTTGTCAGTCGAATGCTCTCGGTCCGGTTTGTATAAACTGATTGGTCACTTTTGCCGTGATGTTATTGGCTGTAAGACTCAAGTGTCCTTTCTGTCGGTTAAATTATACTGTAATGCACATCATACCATTTGGCAATAGCTTCTCTTGCAGTTATTCCATCTCCTTCACCCTCTATGCATCCCATAGCCAGGTTCTCGCCTTCTCCTTTTCCTAATCCCTCCTCGATGGATGCATGTCGAAGATCTTTCTCGGCAGCCAGTTTCAAAGCCCACTCCTTGGCCGCGATAGACATGTTTGTATTGTTTTGAACTGGTGGCGAAAAGTGCACGGAGCGAAGCTCGTTGTGAAAGGCAATCATATCATCTATGAACTGATTGTCTGAAATGATTTAATATGTAAAACAACAAACTTAGCGAAATATCAGTATCAAGTAACACTAGTAGAATTTTGATTTCACCGTCAATTTATATCTATTGATAGCATTTACTGAGTATCAGCTCAGAGTAATATCCATGCAAATGCTCGATTACTGGCCAATTCTCTCTATACATTGCTCAGCCTGTTTTTCTTTTTTCTTTTTCCCGCAGAAGGATGATAGCAGTGATCCTATCCCTCCATGAATTGTTACTGATTGGGAACAACAAGCCCAGCCATGGAGTACTGAGGACTATTGGAATTGTAATATAGCATATTTTTATTTTATTTTAACTTATTTTCTCGAACATATTAGCTCTACAGCTACACTGTAAATTTCGAGCATAAATAAATTATATGTATCTTTATAGCTAAGGATTCATTTCTTTCTCCTGCTTACCTTTTGGTGTTAGAAAATTTCCAGGCCTTTTCGCTTTACTCTTTACTGGCAAACCTGAGGGACTAACTTTGCTTGAGGGAAGAGATGTGATGATAGCAGTTGCCTTATCCTTTGATGTGTGCAATGGCATCCCTATCACCAGTTTTAATCCTATCTCTGCCGAACTGTTCGACATGTAGTATGTTCCTTTACCCTGAACACTGCTGTCAGAAATCTTGAACGTTCCCGATGCCTGGCTTAAAGAAGCTAAGAAATACGTTTTTATTGCATTATTCCCGCATAGATTTTGAGTTTTGAGAGACAATTCAATTTTCTCCCTTACCTGCGATTGCTCTATAGGGCGCTAAACATATGAAGAGGACAGCAACACAGATATGAGCATCTTTACACATCATGCTAGATGAAATAAATAGAAGCTAAGAATGTGGATACATATTTTGTTTATGGAAATACACATGTGCGCAGTTTTATTTAGCTTAGCCTCCCCTCGCCCCACTCCCCTTTCCCCCATTCTTCCCCAGTTCGAATTCGTTTGCATAGCGTGGAGCTTGAGATGTTCCTCTGAAGATAACTTAATAAGAAAAACATGACCGGAGTGCAGGTGAGTCAAGTGTGCGGCCATTCAGTTTTCTCGCCATTCAAAGGATGGACTCAACATAATAAATAAAGCTACCATGATTAAGGTATACTTTTAAAGGTTTCTTTGACGATAAATTTTGCGTCCTCAATGTTAGCAACTGGGTAGACAGAAAATATCAGTGGAAGTTACGGTAACAGTAATTGACTTTTCTAGTCGCCATACAAATTTAAACACAGAACTCATCCTTCAGTACTACACCCGTGCAAAAGTATCCTCTCAACAAGATGAGACAAACTTTAATACTAAGGTTATACGTGTTTTGAAAAATCTCAGTCGCCAAACCTCGCGCAAAACTTTTTTCGTACTACAATCTTGGTTTAGAAGCCTTTTTTCACGGATCCTTCACTGATTTTTATGAAGTAAAATCGTCATTTCTACTATTGAATGAAGTCCTGTTTATATCAATTACTTTAATCCAGTTTATACCCTACCTTACATTGGTGTATAGAATGATTACTCTTTCTTGTAATCCCTTTTGTTCCAAGCTTCAGTGTATTTCTGATTTGAATACAGCCTCTTGATGGAGGTCATGATGTTTGACCTTGCCCCGTTTTTGAACCATTATGAAATGCGGGATTGGTGAACCCTGGCAAAGTCACTTAAGTTGTTCAAGACTTTAACGTAGTTCTTACCCTTTACATCGTATTTGAAGTCATTGTAGATTCTTCAACATTGGCTACTTCTATTAAAAATGATTCTATGCACTACCTAAATGTGGGTGTTTTTAAATAATGTTTGCTGAAGAAAGAAAATACGACTTGAACCTCATGTTACTGCATTTGACCTAGCAGGTTGACAAGACAGTCGTGGTTATACAACCATTGTTTACAAGTTTGTGACATTAAAAATGAATACTTCGACCGTGGAAATAATGATCGATCGTCCTAGGAAAGTGTCCAATTGTTTAGGGAGCTAAACTGGCAAATAAAAGACTGAAATAAAAAATGACAACCAAAAAACAAACAAAACTAAGAGAAAGGTTTGCTTTTTTCTATAAAGTTATTTTCTTGCCATAATTATCAATAAATCTGACTATTACAATCTGCTTTTTTTAATTGGTATTATTTATATTTATGTAAAGAAATATCCGTTGGACAAGGGTAAAATCTACTTCTTGGTCGAGCAAGGTTGAGTTGAGGAGGTTCAGGACTTTCTCCCTATTCCCAAAAATCAATTTCACCGCAATTTGTTATTTTTTCCTTTTCATCTCCATAAAAACGTTCCAGAAATGCACATTTACCACCTTCAATTAAGCGTGGAGAGTGGTAATTACATTAAATTACAGCCGTGTGAAAAACCATTAATTAACTTCATTATCAATTAATGTGTTTGTCACTTGAGAAACAAAGCACTGCAATTCTCGTTTATTGCTATGAAAATTCAGTGAGGATCAGTTTAGACTCATCTCTCTCTGAGTTCAAAATATGTTTGGTTTAGTTCAGAGGCCTCTGAAGTACCGAAATTACAGTTGCTTTGAACTGTGCGATACATTTATTTAAAGCCTTGCAGGACGGTGAACGTTGATCCGTTCGATCATTGCCATTTGATAACCAAGTCAACGTGAAGTTAGAGGGGCAAAATTTTCTGAACTCTCATGTTTTCCTCCGGAAAGCTCAGACACTTAAATGAAAAATAAATGATAATACCAGTAGGATGAGTGACACGAAAAATTCGTCACCAATTTGGTAATTTTATATGCTAGAGAGAAAAAAAAGTTATATTTTACAGTTTATGTAATCTGCAATTGGTACGATCCTTCATCGTGGAAGGTGTTATTTTCAGCAAACACGGTGTTGATGTTCGTGCGACTTCGTCTGTTAGAAAAGGTTTGACCCTACCAATTTTCCCATAAAATTAATTAAAAAGTTGTCAAAGAATCGGTCCATTGGAGAAGTTGAGCTCAAAAACATCGAAAGCAAACTTTATAGAAATAAATGAATTAGAAGAGATTTTTGTTTATAGAAACAAGCATGCGTTTGTTTTTATCATCTTTGTAGGTTTTGTAGTGACAATATCACGAAACATCAGTCAAACTAATTAAAGAAGTGGATGTTTTAATCTATCAGGCAAGTTTTTAGAGCTTTATTTCTTTCACGAAATATCTTACAAAATCTTATGCAATTGATTCGAACAAAAACACGTTTGAAGAATTGACTAATAAAGGGATACAAACAATCAAATTAAGACATTCGACAATCTCAAAGCGTCCAAACTGCTTTGGGTGAGCGACTACTTTCACTTCTGTTACAAATCTTTATTTTCAAAGACATCCAAGCTGAAATCATTTCTCGGTAATTTTCATCAAGAAACGTCTCAGTCAATGTTTACAAAATTATAATTTTTGGAAAACGCGGTATTTTGGTCCTGTATCTGTTCTTTCTGGAAGCGAGGGTGGACTTCTCTCCATGATGAGGTAACACATCACGCTGAACATTGCTGCAATAAGATGAATCAAAGTGTCCTTTGCTCACATCGTTGGCAAACTCTGACCCGATGTTGCCAAGAGGTCTGTAGCGGGCAACTATAAAGGTGCAGTTCATGCCAAATTTGGTCCCCGTGGCTTTGCCAACGCCTAATTCTTTTGTAGCATTCCACACAAGCTGTGAGAAATGACCAGACTTGTCCTGGTAAGCCTGATTGTAGAAATTGTGACTACATACCTCATCATACCTGATAGACAGGAAGAAGAGAATAAGAAGAGATAATGAATGAGGAATACAGCTTAAGGCGACCTCATCTTGTCATAAGGAAATTTGTGGCCCAAAAAGATACGTTATTTCTTAAGGAAGCTCGACCAGGAGTGTAATTAGTTCTTTATAGGTAGTCCTCCCTTTGATTTTTAAGAGATGTCCAATGACATGTAATTGGCTGGTATTCTGTTTGTGGCTGGATCAACGCTGGGAGATTAATACACTTTAGGGAGATCAACACTCTTTAATATTTGGATCAGTCTCACTTAGGTTTGCTTTCTTTGTATAGTTATTTTCTTGAGCTGAGTTAAATTGCAAAAGGAAAAAACGTCTAAGTATGTAGTGGCTCTCACCATTCCTTCGCTGCATCTTTAGCTGTGATCCCTGGGCCAGAGGAAGTGCATCCCATGGCTAAGTTTTCCCCTTGGTCTGGACGACTAGCTTTATCTGAATGACGTAGGTTTGCTTCCGCTGCAAGTTGAATCGCGAGAGCCTTAGCTTGAAGTGACATGTTTCTGTTCTTCATCAGTGGAGGAGCTAGATGAACTGAACGGAGCTTGTTATGTTCCTCTGCCATTTCGTCCAGAAACTCTTCATCTGAAAGAATTCAAATCCCTATTAAGTTTTCTCATTTTTTTTTCATGAAATATTTCACTTACGTATGAGCCAGGTGTCCTTAACCACACTAGCCTGGCATAAAGGCACTAGGAACACTTCTAAAACTACTCACGTGGTCTTTGGCATAATTTTAATCCCTTGCAGTTGACCTTTAAGCATGTTACCCAGTTTTCACAGAATTAAGTCCCTTGCCTGAGTGCGAAACAGAATGATCTAGCCCTGGCTCGATCTAAAGGATTACTTGTTTGATTAAATTTTTCAGTTGACAAGTAACATCCACCATTTTGAATCCAGAGTTTAACAGTCACTTGACCTTAACTTTGTACCAAGAACGCATTTTTTATGCAATTATATATATATCCTTCCTGGCAAAAAGAAATTAAGAAATGCCGAGGCAATAACTATACATATCTATATGCAGAGCGGGCATTGCTTTGTGTCTTATTGCTCTTACACATATACAAAAACTCATTACGAAATGGCAGCTTTTGCAACTTTGTAGCGATTATTCAAAAATAGCTATTAATAGACCCCAACTACCTTCTTTTGTAAATGTGAGCTCTGTCTCTGTGTGATCACTCTGAGTTGTTTTGAGTGAATTTACTGGGTTTGGTTTGTCTGCTGCTATGACAACTTCTTGTTTTTGAGCCATTTCTCCTACGACCATGTGAAGGTTGATTTCTGACGTGCCATTGGCTATTGAGAAGGTGCCTTCACCATTAATTCCTTTACCTGAGATGTTGAAATTTCCATCCGCCAAGTTGATGGCAGCTAAAACGTTTCAAGAAAAAATATCGGAAATTTCACTGACTTTGTACTTCAAGTTCTGAATACAGCATATATGTCGTCGTTAAATCAGTGCAGCGCGTATAGCACAAATGGTGGACTTATGAGAACCTACTCATCAGCTGCTACTGAGATGGAAGCCTGAGTTAATTAAACTGTTTGTAGGCCACATTTTTGTATTTGCAGCCACGCGTGGCCGTTGCAAAAAATTTTGAACATATCAAGTGGTCATTATTGATAAACAAGTCCCATCCCCAAAGGGAATTTTTGTTCCTATAATTTAATTAACCAGTAGAAATATAGAAAAAAAAATATTAAAATCGACATTTAAACTGTTGGGCCGGGCTGAAGGCCAGGAAATCTTCTATTTCTAACGTTGGCCAAAACTATTACAGCTTTGAGAACTTTGGTTCGTGGTAAATTTAGGGGTACGATTGAGCCTGGCCTCATGCAGGTCCGTAAAAAAATTACCGCTTACCTCCTTTTGCGACTGCCAACCACGTTGATAAAAAAATAAACTCCTTAACACAACTGAGAGTACGTAACATCTTCCTGAAATAGGAAAGAAAAATAACTTAGTCTGTCACGTTTTGTAATAATCTTCCTGCTGTGTAAGACTTATCGAACTATGTAGTAAAAAAAAAAGGTGTCGCTATAAGTAATAAACTTAGTTTACATGGTCACAGTGCCCTATGAACGAGAGTTCACTGCACACAAAAACAAGCAAGATATCATGGCAACACGAGCAACGAAAAACGTAAGAGTACATGTAATAACACCTTAAAATTACGTGGAACCTTACATTACGGATAGGATGCATCATCGTTTTTGTTATTGTTATTATTATTAATATCATAATTATCATTTTCACTCTCGTCATTATCAACATTGCCATCACTATTACTATCACTATTTCTATCATCATTCCCATTGGCAGTATCAGTTTCATTATTAATACAACTATCATTATTATCCCTATTATAAGTTAAATTATAATTATTGTTATTATTAAAATAATTTGTATAGCGCTAAGACTATAAAATATTCAAAAGCGCTTTACATTAAGTTACAATAAACAGCTAAGATTAAAATTTCTAAAAAGCTCGCAATAGTAATAATTATGGTAAAAAATGTCTATGCTGAGCTAATATCTAAAAAAGAAAAAAAAAGTCTCAAATTCATCGTAATTGTAATGACTAAAATAATTATTTCACCATCTGTAATATATTTATTACCAAGTGAAACAGCTTATCTGATTACAGCGAGCGCCTGATAGTCTTTAATTGAAAAAGTGCGACAGGTTTTTTATTACATAGTGCGACACTATTACTTTTACAAATTGCAATAAGTGTTATTACAAATTGCGACAAGTGTCATTGCAAAATGCGACGATTATTACAAAGAGCGACAGAACAAACTTTGCTTTAAACGATGCGATGACATTTATCATATTAAGTGCTATTGGGGAAACATGATAACCATTGTTTCGTCTTCACATCAAACAAAATGTTTGTGCTTTAAACTTGGCTATAAATTACCTGCGAGGTATTTACATACCTCATGCAATAGTTCTCATAAAAGGACTATATTCAATGACGAAAGAACACTGAAAAACTAGTTTTATCAAAGAAAGACTTTGTCTATAAGTACAGATGAGGTGTCCTCCGCATTGTTGCCATGGCAGTGCAGTACGGATTTGAATATTAAGTTCCGTCTTTTTTCCTAACGCCAGCGTTCTCTCGCATCAGCCAGAAAAGAGCCAAAATTCAGACAAGATTTTTCTCAGCCACCTTACTATTTGACAAAAACATTACGCTCTCAACTTGATTGATGTCCATATTTCCATACAATCTTACAAGAAACGTGTTTCAGGTGATTTTCCACTTGGCAAGTTTTAAGTCTAATACCTGTTTAAGAACTCAAAGAACCTGTCATAAAGAGAGTAGTACTATGAAAAGATATATTTATTTTTATTATGAAACAGATAGGAAAACGATTATTAATCGGAGTTCGAAACAATAAATGAAAAAAGCCCCCATAAGCTTAAAAAAGTCTCGGCCAAAACATTTGAATCCGATAGCGCTCAACTTTTGCTTCCGGCTTTAGCCTTTATTAGTAATGCACCAACAATAAGCGTTTCCCCCTTCATTGTCATCATTTCAGCTTTTACTATTCTTACCAAATATTACACATTTTATTGATATAGAACAGTTTTACATGCATGTTAACTTTCAAACTGATAGGCCTAAAGCATTTGTTTCCTGACTTCTGTTCTTTGTGGCGACCGAATAATCACCAACTTTGTAAATAAGTAATGCAATCACCAGAAAGACAATGAATTGATATTTCCCTCATAAACACGTTAGCTATTGGAAGCTAAAGACGATAATTTCCAAGTAGAAAGCAGTGGTGTTATCCGAAAGACCTGGACTGTGAAACAGAGTGGATTAAATTCTCCCATCTCGGGAATAATCCAAACTGCATATGGTTATGAGAAACACTTCATTAGTGCAAAGCCGGAAAAATCGTCTTAGGTAAAGGTTGGAAATGCCTATCAAGGAATCGATTCAATTGCTATATAAGAAAAATAATTTCTTACCTTTTCAACAAAAGATCTTTTTCCTGTCCGCTGATTATGAGACAATTTAGATGATAGTCAGTCGTTTCTTTTTTCGTATTTTACGAAATAGTAATTGTTAACGTGAGAAGCGTAATATTTTGTGACCTAAAGGTCACGCGGCCGACCGCACCCTGCTTAACGGTCGATCTGACCGACACCAAGAATCTGAGAACCGTAGAAACAATTTTGTAGAATTTATAGCAGTGATAAGTTTTCGTGTACAGTATCTAAACCTTTAAGGAAAACCTAGAGGCACACAGTCCCTTACCTGAACCATATTCATTTTCACAGCCATAACTATTGTTTCAGCGAGGGATACTTAATACATTAAAAGAATGCTTTCAAAGCGTTACAGCAGGTGTTTAGGGAGTTATACATCTACATGTAATTGCATGACGCCTGTAATAATTTTTATTTCAAAACAAGCTTTAGAAAGGTCCGTGAAATTATCGTTTTTCCCTTTGCTCTCGACATCCCATAGTTGAGCCTCCATTCACTGCAAGGATCATTGACAAGAAGTAAGAAACAACATAGTCCCCTCAACAACTATCAGCTTCATTCAAAGGAATCATTCGCGAAACAAACGAACCACACAGGACAACCTAACTTTACCTACGGATTAGAATTGACCAATCACAACTGACGTAGGTTATTCGATTCTTTAGGTCATTAACATCACGGTAATATTGACCAATTCAACGAAGAGACTTGCGTGGCTTAACAATCGAAAGGAAAAAGACTAACTCTGTTGACTGCAAAGATAACGTCCGCCATCCGATATTGATAACAGCCCTTTCAGAATAACCCTTACTGTTATGATAAAACTACAAGATTGGGAGGAAGAAAATTAATAAATATTGGGTCGTAATCCATATCAGATTTTTCTGTTGGGCACAAATGCATCTCTGAAAGTGATTCGACAATCTCAGAGAGGGATTAACCGTTTGACGCACACCCATGTGATTATGAACGAGTAGGGATATTAGGGAATGGACTGCTGTGGAAGGTTAAAAATACTGAGACAAGGTCACACTGTGAAAATAGGAGTGTTCACGCAGTCGCCTACGAGAGATGACCGCTTAAATGGAGGTCCACAGAAGGGCTTTTATGATAAAATGATACTGAATTAGATAAGTGGTCACTTAAAAATTTTCTCGCGAAAATGAGTCGCATACTATGTTTCAAAATGTATCTCATATCCTTAACGATGAAGTAGGTTTTTTACTTTGTGCAATACTATGAGAAAAAGACATGACACAAGCTACAGCCCGGTTTCTTTTCTTTTTTTTTTTACTTTTCATGCTTTTTCTCTCTTTGTTGTCATGGGCCTGGATTAAGTTCGCCAATAACCTCTCGCTTTTCCAATCACGCCCATTTAGAAACCTTCAATGGTTCTTTTTCATTTATTGTAGCGTTTGTAATCAAAGTACGATCGAGTACAAGTATTTCCGCGAGTCTCTTAGCATGATATGCGTGGCTCAGTTTATAGGGGCAACTTATTCTGGTAACAACTTATTAGGTTATCGACTGTCCACGATCGATATGCTGTATCTTTCTCACCATGTCGATGACACTATGTTTAAATACCAACTATAGTGAGGTTATTTGATGACACAAATAGAAAAATCGTGAGAAGAATAATTTTAAGTTTTGTCACCGTCTGCTATTAAATGCAAAATCAACCTGAGTTAAGAGCCGCATTTAAAATGGCTCAATTAAGGTAAAATAGAAATTGAAGAAGATGAAAAGCTTAAATGAAATATTTTATGTGTATTTAAGATGATGGGGTTTCCTGACATTCCCACTGAAAGAATTGACTAGTTTTAGAAACTCCGGCTCCATATTTCTTTTTTCCAGACAAGTAATTTACCCCAGATCATTTTTTATGTAAATCCTTTCCTCAAACGAGCCAAGATGCCTAGAGTAGAAGCTAAATTTTGACATCAACTGCATCCGGCGTATTGCACAAAGAGTAAGATGCCATAGACATTTAATAGCATTTTATTTGCTGTTCCATTATCGAACAGGAAAGAAATGGATTGTCCTCAATTGGAAGCTAAAAAACTTCCATCATCATGTCGGAGCGGTTTTACAAAAGTATAAAACGCTCGGAAAACATTTTCAATCTGAATAAATATATGTACACATTCACATTTACATGTTTACTTAGATATATTTAGTTTATTTTTTTTGTACTTTCTTTTTACTATTTTAAGCAAACAATATTACAATTATTTAGAAAATGTGACGTTCTTGGCTACTAATTTGACTTATGGCATTGTACTTCCCTATCAATTTTTCATAAGAACTACTCTTTTGTTCAATTAAGAGCTAAAACTACCTTATTAGGTTGGGTAATAGAGCAAAACAGCTTTTCTAAGGAGGGAAAACAGGGCAGGATGCCGGTTATTGTCTCCTTTCTAGATATTTACTTCAGTTCCCATTTACTCCAAAACACTGGATGTCAAAATTAGTACACATCTTGGCTTACTATTATCAATCTTCTTCCGAAAGGGAGCTAACGCTCCAAATTTCCAATACCCCTTTGTTCGGTAAACATCTGACACAATAGTTTCATTTCACTACGCAGACGCTTCTTTTATGATGTATCTGTATATTTATCTCGCTGGGGATCTAGAGTGGCATAGATGTTCAGAATAGGATGAAATAATTATAATTTTCCGAGATACATACTGCCAAGTCAAATCAAATTGATATTCAAAAATACTTTTTGCATGTGAAAGGGTCAGGTTAGTATTGCTTTGGATGTTTGTTTGTTTGGGATTCTTTTTGTAAAAAAAAACATAACATGTTTCGGTATGCCTTGACCTAGGGACGGGCAGAAACCTATTTAATGAAATACACCCTTAGTGTGGTGTTTTGCAGGTTGGTTCATAAAGATTGGAACTATATATATCCGAAGTGATGAACAACTCGAATTCAAGCAACGCAAAAGGTAAGCTTTATTATTATTTTTTTTCAATCACATATCATTTCAATGCAAGGACTACGGTTAAGGAACCAAAATCAAATTGATCATCCTTCCTTCTCTGGATCTTCACCAGCTATAAAATTATATTTGAAGGTGAAAGGACAAACAAAAATAAACTGCCTGTAAAGAACAGTGGCAGGGTTTCCTCAGGTAAGAAGTGAAAAAAAGCCTCTAAAAGAGAGAGTCATCGCTTCTTCGGTAATCATTTTATGTCGTCCTTCAGTAGCATTTTGAAATGGTCTAATAGTTTCCAGTGGGGCCACAAAATATTTACAAAATTAAAAAAGGAACAAGTCTCCTAGCTTTCGCTGACCCACGGCATCAGCAGGTATAGAAAATATTCTGTAATACAACTACATAAGGAAAAGGTGAGGTGTAATACAGTGGTAGAAAATCCTAATGAACAAAGTAGGTGAAGACAGGAGCATAGGGAGTGCTGGTATATGTGGGATGTATGGGAGTAACGTAGATGAAATATTTTGAATGATGGTATAAGAATGGAAAAGATAACTAATTGAAATAAAATAAAGCAGTGGTAAAACGAAAATAGAATTTGAAGGTACGTAAAGTAGTACTTCTCCAATTCTGTTTGCCCTAAATTAGTGTTTGTAAATATTCTATCGATCTCTAATAGGTGGTGACTCAGTGGAGTTGTTTAGCAACACAAGCAGAATTATTACTACAACAGTTTATGCGGTAACGATCATATGTGGACTGGTTGGAAATAGTCTTGGACTTTACTTAGCGTTAAGAAGGAAGGCTGGAAATCGTGCAACGAATCTGTTTATGGCAAATATGGCGGCAGCAGACCTACTTGTTACTCTGTTTGCTATGCCTTATTCGGTCCTTTTCATAAATGTGCGCCAGCAATGGATCGGAGGAGTCATTGGCCAGGTTACATGCAAGTTTGTCCATTTTGCTTATCAAATTTCAATACCCGCTTCCATTTTTACTGTTTTATTGGTCTCTTTTGATCGTTATCTTGCTATCTGTTACCCTATGAAGACAAACTTGTTTCGAAATGGCAAGGTCATGACAACAGTTATATGGATATCTTCTGCAGCATATGCGATTCCATTTATGATGGCAAATGACATACTCAAATACAACGATACTAACTATTGCCTTCGCATCTTCACCCCATTTGACAATCAGAAGTCGATACAGATCTACTATTTGATTACTTTCATTTTACTTTACTGTGAACCTCTGACAATCCTATTGGTCTTGTACAGTCTCATCACACACAGACTCTGGAAGCGAAAAATTCCAGGTAATGTCAGTGAGGCCAGAATTAGATCAGCTCAGAGGGAAAAGAGAAGGATTGTAAAGGCTTTGATTCTAATTGTGATGGTGTTTGCAGTCTGCTGGTTTCCAGCTCATGCTATGCACTACTTGGTTTATTATCGCAAGGATATCTATCGCAGTATACCACAGGAAGTTGAAATGTTCTTCTTTTGGCTCTGCCATGCTAACAGTATTATTAATCCATGTTTGTATGTGCTGATAAGCCCCAGCTACCGCAAATTTTTACAGGGAAGTTTCGGACGTTTTTGTTCTTGCTGTAGCCATGCTAATTTCAACTCTTTAACAAGGCGTAGCACTGGGATGCTTACTCTCAGTCGATCGTTCGATGCTACCAGCAATACAGTCTTTGGATTTTCCTTCAAAATTAAAGACATAGTGGAGACTCAACTGTAATATTTGCTTATTTTCATGTAAACAAACGTAATCAGATGGATGAAGTTTTGGGCTTCTTCACTGTATTCATTTTACAGAAATGGGTAAATATCTCGCAGAATTCAGTCGCTCTCCAACTAATTTGTTTTGTTTAGCCCACAAGCCATTTGAAAGTAGCCATTGTTCATAACGAGATTCAGAAAAATATTGTTTGATATGGATATATTCACAGAAGCGGAATTAGATGTTTTATTGTCTCGAAACCAAAATTATATAATCATGCAAAAATGACAAATACTTTGGTCGGCTACACACGAACACTCAAATGTTCCATTTAAGGTGATATGAACTAATGGCGTCCTGCCATTAAGAGTTTGATAATAGTGGCGTTCCTTATTCATAGTTAAAAGTGTGATTTAAATATAATTTCCTCTCTAAATGTCACATTTAGAAAAAAAAATATATTTAAAGCTTACTTTTTAATCATACACCAATGACTTTTAATTCTAATCTAGAATTCGAAATAATTAATAGGAACTGTAGCTTACTAAACTCATCTCTTCTCAGCATTGAGATTTAACGTTGTAAATCGATTGATACTGAATAACTCAAAAAATAAATGTCCGTTGTTGTATTGATATTTTCTCAAAGAGCTTATGTCACCGTCAGTAAGACTCTTTCATTTTAACTTAATTCAAATACAACAATACAATTGATTATTGCTTTTTGAAATTCCCAACCCTGAGAGCTTTAAAAGTAGAAGAAAACGTTTCAAGGTTTTCCTCATCAACAATGGTATACAGAACAGCTTGCAAGGGGTGTAACGTTATTAAAAGAAGCAGAAAAATCTTGTTAATTATAGTAAATAATTATATATTTATAATTTACCTGACGATCATTGCATTAAAATCTATAAATAAAGTTTTAATTTTGAAATGCATTAGTCTTCTTTCAGATAGAAAATTTAATAGAGACATTGAATTTAAAAAGCAATGATTTCCCAATTTCAAACGAATATTTGTCTGTTCCACTTTACTTAGGTACCGGTGCTATTGTGACGTAAATGACGTGGTATTTTAGCTCAGCGGTAAATCTTCGATCAGCTTTAACTCCCTATTTAATTGTCATATTATAAAAGAGTAATACGATCTTCAGTTATGAATAAACCGATGCTGAGTTTATTATCAAATTGTCATTTTTTTCTTGTTTCTCCGCTGTCTTCCATATCATCGACATCTACAATTCTTCCTTTGTAAAACTTTTTTCCACATGCCATACTTCCCTGGTCCACATGTGTAATCGCAGTTTTGAAATCAAAGATGAAAAAAAAAAACCTAAAAAAAATTCCTTGCTCTTATAAAACAACACTAAATCCTTGTTTCCCTCTTCTCACTGAAGCTCCAAAAATTGCGAATAACTTTTTTATTGTGCAGGAGGAGCTTTCATGTAGCATTTGTCCTTTGAATCCAGAAATCTTTTGGCAACCATCTCCAGGTTCAGGATTCACAATAAATTGGTCATTGTCCACCGCATTTATATAGCGACAGCCAGTTGGAACAAATTTCCCCTTTGGAACATTTTCAATGTAATTTTGCTGATTGAGATAAGGTCTGTATCGCGCCACTACAGCAGTACAGTTGAATTTGTCGACAGGAAAATTTGCCCGTCCAATTCCAAGTTGCTGATTTGTTCGCCATACGATCTTGCCGAATGGCTTTCCTTTCTCGTTTACAGGGATTGGTTTATCAAAATCCCAGTGGCAAACAGTAGAATACCTAGTGGATAAACGATTAGACGATTATATTTCGGTGATCTGCTTCTTTGAGGTGTATAGATGTGTATGGTTTTATGTGAAAACGTCGGAGAAAATGAGAGAACTGGTCCATGCTTAGCGTGCGTGCATCGAGTGATGGATGTTCGTGGGAAGTTTGGAGAGCACGATAGACGTGTAAGAGTTGCTCAAGGCGCAGCCAAGACCACCTCTAGCTTCTTGAGTATTTTCAATGAAGTATCATCAACTCCAAACTAATTTCGTCGCGTGAAAGAGCCACATCCCTTTCGTTTTTTTGAAACTTGTATTATTCAGGAACGGAAAAACAGTCTTGAAATTTTGGAAACCTCGCTGCTAAACTCGATTGGACTTAAAGCCGAAGTGAAACTGCGCACGTCATCATATGGATGCACGGCCGTGCGGTACATAAGGATTTTTACCATGGTAGCTCCTTAGGAAATTGAAAGTTTTCTCCTTATGCAAACACAACAACTAAAACGACTCTGTATGGTATCATAAGAAGTAAGAACGCAAATGTTCCTAATAACCCTACTTTACCTTGGTAGGAGATCTGAAAAAAGGGGTGAAAAAGAGCGAAATAGTAACTTGTGTCACTAGCGATGAAAAAAAATTTCCTCTGCGCATAATCACTTAAGTAATTCTTACCATTCTCGGACTGCTTCAAACGCAGACACTCCTGTACTGAATGCTTTGCAGCGTAAGAAGATGTTTTCTGCCTGCCCCGGTCGGCTTGAAATTGGAGAATGTTTTACGCTTAACCTTTGGGCAATTTGCTGGGCATATCTTGCAGCCTGAAGGCTTAACTCGTGGTCAAGTCGAAGATCTGGAGTTTCATGCACTTTGCGATGAAGATTGTGATACAACAGTCCTTGCACTTCGAACGGAGTAATATCTAGAAGATATAAGGTATTTTATGATAAAAGAAAATCGTCAGAGAGTTTACAAGGGACATCAGGAAAACATTGATTTCTGCAACGGCAATTGTCGTTTTGATAATCAGAGCAAAAATATATATCGAAGGCAAGGAAACCTGGAAGGCTTTCAGAAATATTGACAAAAAAATCATTTTTTAGGTTTTCTTCTTGGGGGAGGGGTGTCGGTGTAGGTATTAGCGAAAACTCATTAAAACACGAACAGGACAGAAGAGGACAGAAAAAAAGGAAGGGCTATTTTGCTTGGGTTTTGTTTTAGACAGACAAGCGTTACGATCCTTTTTTGACTTTGTCCACCTAAGGTCGTGAACTGAATGGGAGTCTCAAACCAAAAACTCTCGAGGAAAGAGTTATCTTACCTTGAGATTTCGGTTCCATTTCCACAGCAGGTGTTGGTTTTGAATCCCGTTGGTACCAGCTGTAGACGGGCGCCATTTTGTAATAAGGTGGATATTGTGGTGTATACTGATATCCTGGAGAGAAAAAAAGGAAAATAGGACTGGAATTGGCTAATCTAATTAAGCTGCCGAAGGCTGTACGGGCAGTTCTGAGTATATAACGCTATCGGTTTTACTTTAAATAATAAAATGGTGCGTGCAAGTGATTTATGTCTGTGGTTAACGAAGCCTGCAGAAATTTTTGTCCATTTCGCCATAATACAGACCTGTCGAAGGATCAACTTTAAAAGTTTACGCCTCCGCTAAGTACGTGTCTTTAATAATTTATGCAACTCAGAGAACTTTAGCTTCTGTCGGGGAAAAAAAATTTCACGATCAACGTATCAACATCAATACATTTTAAGTCTAAATGTAATGCTATAACCATACAACAGCTTCAACTTTGTCATGAATTCAGTTCTTGACACAAATTTGACAGTTCCCTTTTCGTAACGGTTCAATAACCTCGCGTGGTTAAGTTGTCTACACTTGCCCTTAGCTTTGATGATTAAAGCTGAATATGGGATTTCTTACTGGGAAAAAAAGGTCATCTCACCTCCATAGGCTCCATAGTTTTGTCCGTTGGCGAAAGTGAAGACAGCAAGCAATGAAATGGTCCATAATATTCCTCCCATGCTACCGTGAGGAATACCCGGAAGTTTAAATTCCCGAACTTCTCAGAGAATGGTATTATATTTGCTTTGTATTCCTGGAAAAGTTAGAAAGGATAAGGTCTCTTGTCAAACTTACATTTCCGTCTTGGGTATTTCAACGTTTGCTGGAACAATGTAATCATGAATCATGGACGGACGCCATTTTGAGTTTATCATCTCGATATTGTTGTAGGCATGACCTTGCTTCGGCCACCTGTTGGCGGGAAAAACTGCCACCCTGCGCAGTTAAGCGGGTATCGCTTTTACTTACTTTTCTCTCAACAGTTTGGGCTTAAAATAAAACTGCAGGACAATTTATCAGAACTGTTGCATGAATAGAGTCTTACATCGCCCCACTTATAAATAAACCTATAAAGTATAGCAAATACCACTATTTCTAACCAATGTTTTCATCTTATCATGGCTGTTTATAGAGGCGGTGATGGAATCTACAGGAAAAATGACTTTGCTTAACAGAATCATCTAATACGTTTTAAACAACGTATAAATGACTTCAGTACCCTAGTGTGGCCTTTGACAGATAGACTTGTCTGATAACAAATTAAACATAATTTTTGTTTGCCTTACACGAAATAATCAGGGGACCCCCTCAAGTGACATAACTTCCTGGTTTTCTATTAAGGAAAGAAAACATCGTGTAATTTACAAAGTCAACTACTTCGATAAAACTTCATCGACCCCTCAATGCCAGAGTTGTTGAACAAATGTTTATCACAACTCCTCATTCATTTCAGTAAGGTCGAATTATGTCGTACCTGCAGTTACGTTGCTATCAAAGAAATACCACCGTAAGTCAAATGTCGACCAGTTCAATCAGTAGAAATTTTTCTCGTCATCAACTTCTTTTATGAAGTCCGTCTTTTCTACAAGGCAGACCAAAATCAATGAAAATTTCTTCTTTGCCACACTCGTGGGAAAAGTCAAGCTTGTGCTTACGGTAAAGTGTTTTGGTTACAGGTTGTCCAAACAGAGCATTCTAGATGACTCTTGCTGTTATTTGACTGGTTGACCCTGACTTGTTTGGATAGGAAAGCGACAAACTCGCACAACATAACAAAGGAGTTCAATATTAAAAACGCCACAATTTATGCAATAGATGGTTTTTGCTTTAGAGTGCGATCGTTTAGGTGCCGGCCTGTGAGAGCGAATTTGAAGCGAGGGGCCTTTAGGCCGGATTGTTCGTATTGTATTTTAATGAGCCGTCGGTGACTCTGGTGGCATCTTCCCCCGGAGAATTTTCGAGATTAAACTCGCCTCTTTCGTTCTTTTTTTCCGCCATTTTTCACATTTTGGACTCTCTTCCGAAGATATACCTTCTCACTTTGAGGTTACCTAAAAGCTAGGTTTTTTTTTTTCATCATTGTCGTAAATAGTAAGCACAATGAGACCTGCGCGTTTGTCGTCTTTGATGTCATCCAAAAAGGTGGGGAAGCATGGGCTGCCACGGACCACCCTGTTCTTATGAGTATCGGGTGAGAGGTTGCCCTGAAAAGGACCAACTGATATCAGTGACAGTATCTGGGGGATTTCTTTCGGAAGTCATTGAGAGGTGAAAAGGTTTTTGTCTGTGACATGTTTAAGACTGATTCGTGACTACCCCTGAAGTGATCAAATTTAGTAAACTCAAATAAAGAGCAAATGGATGAAAGGGGTAAGTTGGCCATCGTAAAGAGTTTAAAAGCTGAAGTTTCGAGCGTTAGCCCTACATCATTGCTTCGGCGAAGGGTTGACGGTTGGTCGTGGTGCAAACCTAATGATAACCACAGAAAATGTTGATGCGGAAAGTACAAACTATAAGCTTGTGGGGTTGGATCTTTTAACTGTGGAGTCATTTTTCTTTGATTAAGAGGAATTTCGGGCTTCCTTGCAAATAACTTTTAAAAATTTGTTGGAAGCCGCTTAACGGGTCGTATTCGCTGCCATCCTGTTTACCAACGGAGATGGAAAAATTTGAAAAAAAGGAGCCGAGTTCATGGGCAAGTACCGCTCCCCAATCCCCAGCTCTAGGTATACGATTCTCTAAATTTATTTTATTTCTTATGTTCAACAAGAAGGCTAAGATTCTTGCACCCGGCATTTCTTTATCTGCATTGTCTCCTCTGCACTCACATTATCAGTGTTCGTGTTTGTGGGATTTTCTTGCCCGCTTCTTTTGGTGTATCTTTGAGCGTGGCGCCAAGTAATGCAGAATCGACCTTTTCTCCGCTGTACAGTCCTTGGCCTTATCAAAGGAGCCTTTAGGTACGTTTTCAGCGTAATCTCCCACCATGTTTCCAGCGGGTCTATAGCGACCTACAATGTAAGAACATTTCATTCCATTCTTATCTATGTCTGCTTTTCCAATTCCGAGCTCGACGCTTTCCTTCCAAATAACTTGGGTAAAGTGGCCCGTTCCTCCCGTACCACTTGGTTGGCCAAATGCGTAACCATATTTACAGACTTCGTTGTACCTTTGCATAAAAACATAGATAAGAAAAAGAAAAGGAATATTGATCAGCGCCGGTGTGTGAAAAGTCTAATTTTCTTGTACACCCTTTATAGCATTTCTACTGGTACGGAAGACTACTCAAGAAAAAATACTGCACGTATGAAAAATGATTTTTTTCCCATGATCTCGTCAACTGATCAATCCATTGATCATGAATACTAATATAATCTGATTGACTGACTTTTTGACAAACTGATACACTGACTGACCGATAGACCATCATACTGTCTCAGAGCTAGCTGACTTACTGAACGACTGATTCACTACCCTTTAAACCAACTGGCGATTTCTTTCAAAGAGTCTTCTGACCAGTCTGGCCGTACAACCGGATAACAAACCCACTGATTGCTGAAATTTGCAAAGGAATTAACCGAAAAATCAACATACTGGCTTACATATTGGAAAATGCTTGTTTTTTTTTTTTTTACCAATTCGTAGTAGCTTCAGCTGTTGTTTGACCATTACTATCGCAACCCATGGATAGATTTTCCCCGTCATTGTTTCGTTCTGCTCGTGAGGCGTGGTTCAGTGCACCCATCTGCGCAATTTTTTGGGCATATGCTGCTGCTTGCTGGCTCATCTCAGCATTAAGCTTCATTTCTGGAACACCGTGCCTTCTTCGATATTCGTTATGTTTGCTCAATGCTTGTTCTTCGTCTAATCCTTAAAAGCATCAGAAAGTAACGCCCTGAGTTGTACCTTTGGGCAGAAATTACGGAATAGAAAGGGATTCTCCGTAGTTTGCATTCACTTATTATTTATTCGTTTGTTTTTCTGGTAATCTTCATATTCATTTTTATTGTTATACTTTCATATCTCCCCATGCCTCTCGGTACCTCTCTGAAAGCTGAAGAGACACTTTGGAAACGTAGAAGCTCCGAATCTTTCATGTTTACTGAGGCTTTACTGCCTCAGGAAGGATGTTTATGAATATTGGATAAAAAGGTTTGGTAAAATTTAGTACAAATACACTTCTCCATTTTAGGGTTTAGGTGTTTTCGTTTTAATGTTTGAAGCCGGAAATGAACTAGAACGATACATTACCGAGGGCCCTCAATATTGGAGAAAAATAAGCAGAGGTTAAAAAAAGAATACCCGTTTACCTCCACCACCACCACCTGCTGGTGTTGTGGCAGCTCCTCCTCCAGCTGTAGGTCCAGTGCTTCCTTTTGTGGGTACTACTCCTCCTTCTCCTCCAGTCGGTGCAGCACCACCGAGCGTGGTGCCACCCGGTGTGCTGCTACCCGGTGTAACGCCACCAGGGACTGTACTTCCACTGGTAGGAGGTACCTGAGTTGGTTTACTTGATTTAGTTGGTTTAGTTTGTGAGCAAGGTACAGGACAAAGCACTGGCTTCGGGCTTCCTGGTCCTCCACCGGCGCCAGGACTTGTGGTGGGTCCTCCGCCACCTGCACCTGGTCCACCGCCTGCTCCAGGACTTGTAGTAGGTCCTCCGCCGCCTGCACCTGGTCCACCGCCTGCCCCAGGTCCTCCAGATGCTCCAGGCGCTTTGTTCGATATTTTCAGACTGAGATCGACATCGACACCATCCGGTTCAAACTCATACGTACCAGCGCCTACGAAATGGAGGAATATTTTTTTCATTGTGGTTTACATGACTTGGTGCGCATAACTCATCTGTCAAAGACAATAGCCAAGACTCTCGATAGAAACTGAAGCACGTTTAATTTTATCATATTAATTTTTTTTCGACGAGCGCTGAGACATTTTGCTATTTCACTGCGTACATACCGACAACGTTTCCATCTTCGATTTTAAAAGCTCCTGTTTTTGGCGCTGCTCCATTGCCGGTTGGAGTGTCCCCTAGAGGCAGACCAACTGCAGCGAAGTGCACGGGTCGAAAACCAAGATTCTCTCTTTTCTCGTTTTTTGAGGCGTCGTAAGCGTAAACCTGAACTAAAAATGGAAAAACGTGCAAAAAAAAAAAACTGGGTGAGTTCATAAGGGATTATTTTAATAAAAACAATGAATCTATCTTGAAATTTGACCAAAGAAACAACAACGATTATAAGAATTTCCATTAAGTTTTAAGATAGACATTGTAAGAACTCACAAAAAGTTGCAGATATGGTTTAGCATATGTGCAACCGGCTAAGTCACAATTTAACACAAGCACAACAAAAACATATGGACGATGGCATGGTCAGAGTGTAAATAGTGCATACAACCTCAGTTATGAATGTTTAGAAAGTACTTTACTTTTAACAAGAACTGGCGAGATCTTAAGGAAATAGGTAAAACCAGAGTAATCAAAAGACGTTTAACGGCAACAAAAGTTGACTTATGAAGTGTTTTGGAAGGCTATGAAGGTCGATAAGCGTACTAGTTAAAAACAAATGAGACTTTTAAACTGCTTTACATTGTAAAAAGACTTCGTCGAGACCCAAAATTAGAGCCACAGTCGTATATCATAACTATTGCTTCATCAAACTTTCGATTTATTGTTTAGAGTAGCTAGTATTGAATTACATACCTAAGAGGAAGGGAAGCACACAGACGTTGAGACTCCAAGCTTTCATACCCTCAATTGTCGAAGATCAAATTTCAATGTTCACCTCTTGACTTGTTCAAGTGTCACACTCAGAACAAAGCCTTTGAAACGAATGGAAATTTCACTGTGTCAATCTTACTACATCAAAAGTAAAAGAAACGAAAACTGCATCGTTTTCATCGAAGTAATATCAGTATCAAGCGAGATGTAAACACTAGAAGAATCACTTAGTCGTCAAAGCAATGTAACACGATATGTATCGTTTAAATGGCGTACATGCTATGAAGAATTCCTAACTTTCATCTCTAAAATGTTTGGTGAAAAATGTGCACACATACCTCTTTGTCCGCGACTCAAAACAACCTGCTACCTGAGATTTTTCCTTTTCCTGCTAAATTTCTTATTTCTTTTATTTGAAATCTGTTATATGTATCTCCGTGCACTGTTTTCACAGGTATTCACCTGTTTAAGATAAAGAGTTCAAATTCAAGAGCTTCTCATAAGAGTGTGAAGATATCCGTGAAAAAGTAATGAAAAATTTATGATCCAAATACCTCTCATGGTCTACTTGACAACGCTCTGGGTCCTGTGTGTTTGTAATTCTTCTATTTTGGGCCCAAACGCCGGTGGTGCTTTTGTGTGATTATTCCATAAGATTACACCTCTCCTCTGCAATGTTTTGTCTCTAGTCTTTCCACCATTTTTTTTTTTGCTTTTAAAACGCACAAGTCGTCTTCATCCTCCATTTCATTTATTACTGTATGCCCCTCCGGAAATATTGAAGAGACTAATGCAATGGGCAAAGGTTACGACCGCAGTGGATATCTTTCTAGAACAATGCGTCGCGACTGTGGGATCAGATTCACTATTTCATAGCTTGAGGCTGAGTAGAACAAACGTGATATGACCTCTGCTTAAAACATTTTTAACTTATGAGGTTTTATGAATTGAAGGGATGTCCTTATCTACCGAGTGAAGGAGAAATTTAATTTGCGAAACCGCCGTCAACTAAAAAGTCAATCGCAAAATTAAAACCATGTAAACTAGGCTTTTTTGTAATAGCTACTGACTACTAATAGATACTGACAAGATTGTTTTTATAAAAAGAAATTTTCTATGTTATTTACGGTTAGCAATATGTTATTTCAGGAAAGACAAATCTAAATACACCCGTCTATTGCATAGATGCTCACAAAGTTGAGAATGTTTTTAGCAAGAAAATTTTCATCAGTTAAAGAAAACTAAAGTATCATCAAAGAAAACGGAGGTAGAAAAGCATACATTTTACAACAGAAAATTTGATCTTGAATATCATGTTATGGCATAGGATCATCTAGTTCCTTTCTGAAACTGAATTTCACTTCAGGTTTTCACGGCGACGTGGTGGAATTACATCAGAAAAACTGTTAGAAAAATGTCTTCACGTTTTATCATTGAATGCGACTTGTGGAAAATAAAATTATAATGGTCCGAAGTTGTAGCACATCCCTGAAAGGACAACTTTTATTTGCGAATCTATGTCCTGGCTCTTCAAAGAGCTCTGTATACCCCAGCCCTCGACCATCCGTGCGCAATCAATCAGTTATTAAGTAGTTTGCTAAATTACACCATAAGTAAATTTTCAAGGGGCTCATAGCATTAATTTTAGGTTAGTAATAAACATTTTTGCTAAAATAGGATGTACAACGGATCCCGGACCAAATATTTCGCTGAGTTATCCCTCTACTATATTTTTATTATTTTCATTTTTATCTATTCTTTTTTTTATTTGTCTTTATTTGGTACTTTATGTTATCTTGTTCAATTTTTATTACTTATGCATCAAATCTTCCCATTGAATTTGGGAGTAAAATATATAGTGAGAGTTTCTGTTCATCATCCAACATAATTCTCAATTAAACTTGGACTTTGAAATCTCTTGAAACCATATCCTCCTTCTAAACCTGCTTTCGGGATATTTCGGCAGTAAGTTTCATCAAAAGTTCCTTTCTCGACATTTTTTACGTAGGCATCATCACCACTCTCAAAGTTTCCTAGAGGCTTATAGCGTGCGACAATAAACGTGCATGTTTCTCCATTAGGTTGCTTTTTTGACGCTTTTCCTATTCCCAGCTCCCTGCTGTCTTTCCAGACCAACTGCGTGAAATGATTGGTACCCGACTGTGGACCTTCTTTGCCAAATGTGTAATGGCACACTTCGTCAAACCTGCATCAAAGCAATCCAGAAGCAAACTTATTTAGATACGTATAGTATAACCTCTTCTTGGGTTGAAGAAATGCCTGCAGCTAGCAAGAAATAAATGCTTCATTCTCTAAAAGCAGAGATTAGCCTCCGTGTCAAGCGTTAAAATTATACAACTCGAGTCTTGTTGTAAAACATTTGAATAGAAAGATGGAGAAAAATTGGAAAAGATAAAAAGGTAAAACAGTACATTGTATATGACATCATACATCACACCTGGGTCGAGTCTATTTTGAATGATAGATCATTCATTCAATGGGATTTTCAGGTGGGAGGCGATGGCGGTGGAGTGCTGTGTGAGATTCAAATCCGAGAGAGGTTCGGCCTCGAACCCGGTGAGTTCTTCCTCGGCGGGACGGATTTTTCCTCAAAGTCTAGTCCCTCGTCTCTCCCTTCCCCCCTCCCCTCCCCAGCAATGATTAGCTATCGGTGGCTATCTGCGAGCTGTCCAAGAAACTCAACAAAATACTGAGACTAACCTCTACCTATAAAAATTAGACGCACATACCATGTTTTTATTGCTTCCTCAGCAGTCTGCTCTCCGCTGCCATGGCAGCCAAGAGAAAGATTTTCGCCTTGATTAGGTCTTTCAGTATATCCAGACTGCACCAGAGTGTCCATATCTGCCAGTGTGCGGGCGTAATCTGCTGCATTTTTACTCATGTCACAACTCAGTGTAAGCGCAGGCGCACGGTGCATTGTTCGGTATCTGTTGTGTATACTCAACGCTTCTTGTTCAAACGGGGAATCTGATAACATATCAAGGATATGGGAAAAAGAACATGATAAAAAGTTTTGTTTCCTGGAGAAAACTAAGATTCGTAGTGAACAACCATGCCATTTTATACTATTTCATTGATAACATAAGGATGCCCACCGACCTAAGCCGCGCAGTTTTCAAGAAGGAGGACTCCATTTAGCATATACCACTAATTGCTTTCGTGCATTGCAAAGCGTTGAGCTGTGAAGAAACATTGTACTTACGAATGCAATTTGTTGTAGTCGGCCTTGGTTGGTTTGGCTGTGGTGGTCGCTGTTTTCGTAGATTCACTTTTGGGTTGTGTTGCTGTTCTTGCTTATACTGCTGCTGATATCGATGTTTTCCATTTATTTTAAGATTCAGTTTTAGTTCAAAGTCATTTTGGTCAGGTGAAATGGCATATTCGCCTTTTCCATTTACCCTTCCGTCAGAAATTTGAAAACTTCCTACCTTCTCAGGACGTTCTTTAGAGTTAAGTGTTGTTAACTGTTTCATGTCTTGCCTGGTTTGAATTCTTGAATTCAGAAGTTTATGGAGCCACTCGTGAATAAATTTTTTCCGAGTAGAGAAAAGCTTTATGAAAGTATTAGGGGGTCTCCAAGGTATACTAATAGGTTTTTTGGCGTTTTTGTGGTCAAAAGATTTTCCATTTGAAGTCAATTGCTCGAAGACATCCAAGCCTTTTAGAAGATGAGACACTGAAGGGATCTCCCATACACTCTGTTCACTCGGTTGGCGAGATTTATCAATTCCAGTATTCTGGCTATAGGAATGTGCATATCCTGCGAGTCGAACAATTGATTTCTTGAGTACAAATACATTCTAAATTGGCCTTCCTTTCGATTGATAATTATCACTATTATCTATCGTTATTTTCTATATTCTAATGATAATTTCCGAAAGGAATTTAGGAACACATTAAGGTGGATACGATTTAGGAATTGACAGATCATTTAGGGCAGCTCAGAATACTTCGAAGCACAAAATTCTCTTCCTGAGTCGACCGGTCCGGTAAAAAAACTGCTGATTGAAGGTTTGCGTCCTAGACAAAGTGTAATGTTATTGTACTGCGACCAAAAGCTTTCAAAATACGATTTGTAAGATTACTATTTGATGCTACTAGCGTTAACAAACAAGCCGTAAGGAGTATAACTGTTAATTGCCGTTAGCTGGTGTGAATATGAATTGATATAATCTTGTCTCCTCTACCTGCTTGCAGACTTACCCGCCAGCAAAAAGTTCAACAGACAAAGCAACACTGTTCTAGTCCGGAATGTCAAACGTGTCTTCATACTAAATAACTTGAGGGTTTTTATCTTGGTGTCCCATTTTATCAGTAACTCGCATCACGCTTCTAGTTTCCTTCACTTACAATCAAACTTAATATCACACTACGCCATGTTATTTTTTTTCGTCTCTTAATCTTTGGATTTAAAGTTTCCCCATCCTTTCCCTACGGCTACTCACTGAGTCAACCAGCCTTGAAAAGTGCACAGCAGGTGTCTGAGATCTTGAACAATTAAGTACTAGTTAAGTACGAGTTGACAACTGGTAGTCCTGAGGAAGCAATTCTTACCATTTCATGCTTCGACAGATATCATTATTTCTTTAAGAAACTGTTCCGATGAAACACGAAATGGTTAGGTTTTCCGGCAAATCTGGCTACTGCTCCAGGTCCTACAAGAATTGTTTCTCTCAAATCGAAGGAGCTAAAAACCAGGATAGCTGTCACTCGAGAGAATTCCAGTCTTCCACTTTTTAACTTGACATACATCAGTCTGTTCCTATCCTTCTAAATTCCTGCATTTTCATTTTTTTTTGCTTTTTGAACAACTGCGCTGGTAATAACCGATAAGATACCACTTGTAAAATCACTCACGAACTCTTGGAGGTACTTTACCGATGTAGATCTAAAAGAGACATCGTCAAGTAAAAAAAAAAGGTAAAGCTGAAACAAAATGATATAAATAAGTGGCTTACATAGTCAAATTAACGTGGCTTCACTATAACTTAATTTTAAATGCGGGCAATTAACAATTGTATGACTTCGACTTTCAGCTGTCGTTGTTTAATTTTCTTTTGACACCATATGAAAAATCGCGATTTTAATCAATCTGCTCAGAAAACTTTGCCAACAAAAGTGGTCTATTGCTTGTGTAGTCGCTAACTTTTCATTTCTCTGATAATTTCAGTTCGTTGCTTGCGCAAACAGTTCAGAGATACCTGTCAACTTGTAACTGTCTTTCTTTCTATATATCTGTCGTTAACGCCTAGATCTTTCAAATTATCATGGTGAAACTAAACCTCTTAATAACCAGAGAATGAAATCAAATGAAATTTTAAAAAAAAGTATAAGATAATTTATCTTCAACGTGAAATTTACTCGAGTTTATGTTTTCCATTTAGTGATATAATGGTAAAATACAGATTCGAAAGCTCATTTTCTTTCTCTGTCTACCACTTGAAGTTGAGACTGCAGGCATTTTTGGTCGAGTGGGGACGGCCACCGTCGACAACTGCGGCTAGTTGCCTAGCGGCTAAGCTAGGTTGTTAAAGGCCCAAATGTCTGCCAGTCAGAATTTAACAGAACGTCTACAGAATGTATCAGGTGTTATTTTGAAATGTCAAGCGAATCCAGACTAACTTTGTTGGCTAATGAGTTGCAGAAATTTTCGGTATTCACGGTCTCGCGTTTTCCCATGTATCGAGCAATTTCCATGCTTCCTAATGAATACCTTATTCCTCCCAGTAATAGTTTCCCTTGTTCTTACTGGCCGTTGTGGTATTACATGGTTATTTGTCTTACTTCTCTCAATCCAAATGCCCTGTACAATGAAGAGATCGAGCTGAGAAAGACATAAACTTGAAGAACCAGAATTTCTCTCTTTGTCTCACCCTCGTGAAACGACGAAAAAATGTCATTTATTATTTCATTTCCGAGCTCAAAATTTTTCAACTTTCGTTTTCTTTTTAGGCTCACGATGCTTTCGACACTTGGTGATCCTAGCAGTAGGCACGACGCCTGCCACATATATAAACCTAGTTATTAACAGCCCAGTTCTTCATAGAAAGCCTTTGTTGTTCGATAGTAAAGCATCGGGGTGCGGAATATATAGTTCTGCAGTTCATCTCCTCGTAAGGACTAAAATTTCCTTCTTTGTCTGAAGCTCGTTTAAGACCAAAAACGACTTCTTTAATTTCTCCAAATCTGACTTGATTACCAATTTGTAACTAGTAACTACTGTTAATGAAAATCTTCACTCGCTAGCTGGTACAGACTGTTAACGGAAAATATCTTTATTAGCATACTTACACTTTATAACCTAGTCTTAATATGAATGAAAACCAGAATAAAAGAGTTCGTTCATTATTACTGGTTTTTCATCATTGTGAGGCTTTGACAGCCCTCATATACGAGGTTCTCACCTTACTTTACTTTAACTTTACTTTGAGTTATCTCAAAACATTATAATAGTCTGTTGCTCTTTCTCAAATGAGACACATTATAGTGTCTGCACTTTTCTTTAACTTTTAGGTACCAACGTGTCCTACAGAAGCTTTTTATCTCGTAATTTATCGCAATAACTTGGATCAAATGTTCCTTTGAAGACGTTCCTCCTGTACTCTCCCTTGTAATTTCCAGAGGGCTTGAAGCGTCCCACAACGAAAACGCACGGCATTCCGTTCTGGTACCCAGCTGCCTTTCCAATCCCGAATTCATGACTATCAGCCCAGACAACCTGCGTGAAATGACCTGAAGACATACTGAACTCTCCTCGGTCAAAGTCGTAAGAGCACACCTCATTATACCTAAATAGGGAAAAAAAGAAACAACTCTGTCTTGAGGAATTAACTCACATAGGCACACGCATACAGGTTCACTACTAGTACATGTTGAAGTCACATAAGGGCATGCGAGGAGCATTTCCCTTATACATCTCCTTTTATTAAAAGGGCAAATTAAACTCTTCTTGGATTACACCAAGTAATCCGTATGCTTTGAAAAGGAAAATGTCACTGAATCGGGTGGCTAAAATCTAGCCTTGCTGGTAATCTCATGTGAAAGATAAATATATTACATAGTTTTCATTTTTTTTTTTTTTTCAATTTTTACTTTGTAAATTACCATCGCCAAACAAAGACATTTTCGTAAGTATAAAATTATGTTTTGGGGAAAAAGTTACACTTTTTACGGGCTTGGCCTTGTATACTTTTTCCTTGGAAGGGAAAAGGACTAAACGTGATAGAAACCTTGTTTTCCCTCAGTCTTCTTCAAACATGTCGAAGATTAGTTATTTGATGGTAGTATGGATATGTCTTAAAAATCGCCATCTTGACTTCGTTTGAATGTCTTTACTATCTGAGTCAGCTGGGGAAGACTTTTGTAGTGAGTGATATCAACGCGATTCAGTACAATTCTCTGAACTTTTGCTTATTCTGAAGTGACCAGGCCATGTTTACTTGTCAAGACTTCGTCCATCATTGGTAAAGTACTCTAACACATGAGTCTGCCATCGATAAAAAAGGGCATATAAGTTTTCCAATTCCCAGTATTGATCTCACCAGTTTGTTATGGCCTCCTTGGCGGTTAGAGGGACTCCATACTCCTTACAGCCCATTGCCAAATTCTCTCCTTCGTCACTTTGTCTTACGGCATCGTAGTCATGCTGAAGCGAGCCCATTCCGGCAATCTTTTCGGCATACTTCTTTGCTTCCAGATTAAGCTTCGGGTCGAGCTTAATCGGAAGGGCGCGGTGTATTTTACGGAACGCGTTGGTCGTGCCAACTGCTTCCATTTCAAACTCCTCATCACCTAATAACGTGACGGTAACATTACTCGCTTAAAGCCGTTTTATTTTTTTTTTCAACCCTTTCACTCCCAAGATCTAAATATTGATTCTCCACACTGTTCTCCATACATTCCTTATCATCATTATCATGATGGTCATTTAAACAATATCCCCTTCATGATATTTGTATCACTTATGAACTTTCTGCTTGGTGCATGATTTTGTGCGTGATGCATTGATGTTGTGAAATGAATTTCAGTTTTTGGTCACTCCAAAGAGGTAAAGGTTGAAATATTTAAGCTTTTAACTCTCCCTCTTTTCGCGCTAGCTCAAATTTTACATTTACCGATCTATAGACAGTTTATACTGGAGACGACTTTTCCAAAAATGTTAGTATGCGAGAAACTCTGGTACGGGGGTAACTTTTTTCACAGATTGAGCCTCGCCGTTAAAAATATCTTGATAGAGCAATAAATATCGTTTGCACTTACTTTGCGTTTGTATCTCCTTGTTGCTTTTGCCAGTCTCAGAAACGGAGGCATTGACAGCTGTAGGCTGTTGAGTGGAACTTTCTTTGGGACCAACTTTAGAAGCATCGCCAGGTTGTGGCTTCTTAGCTGCTTCGTCCGAGCCACCTTTGCTAACCTCAGGTCTGTGAAATTCCCCTGAACATGCAACTGATGTGACTAAAGCACCATTGGCACCCTTTATAGTCTTCCAGTGACAGTTGGGCCCAAGGCCTTCCTGGAGCCCAAGTTTCTTGTCTTTCTCTGCTATTTGATTGTTGGAATCCACTCCTTTGTTGCCAACTGTCCCATTTCCGGCATTTCGAACTCCAGGCACGTTGAAAGGAAAATTTCCATTGCTTGGTTTCTTATCTTGTGCTTCAGGCTTCACGTCCGCAGCAGTAGTTGTGGTTGTTTTGCTTCCTTTGTTCCCGTCATTACCAGGACTTGAAATGTCAGTACTCTGGCTACTGGGCGAAATGTTGACAACTTGTGCGGAAGCATTCTCACCAACGGGTTTTCCTTGCTCGGCACTAGCTGCTGGTTTGTTTTCTAAACCAATCACTACTCCGCTCGACGCATTAGTTTTACCAGGCGTTTTTAATGTAAAGGATATTGCTGGGGTATTGGATTGTGTCCCATTTTCTTTCTTTCCTTCATCCTTCCCTATGTTCAGACTTTCTTTAATCTTTTTTGCCAATTCTTGGACAAATGCTGGGGAAGGCTTAGACGATTCTGTTGATTCTTGAGTGCTATTTCCATTTCTTTCGGCAGTTCCGGAGTTATCAGTTAGACCGCCTGATTCTTGCTTTTGCTGCTCGTTGGGTTCTTGCTTGCTAGCTAGAGTTTCTTGTCCCTGTGCCTTGGCGAGTGTCTGGTTTGCAGTCGTTTTGTTCCCTCGAGTCATCTGCGGTACTTTCTGATCTTTTGCTTCTTGTACAGAATCAGTTGTGGCATTAGCTTTGCTATCACTAGCGGGTGATCGCTCGTGAAACAGAGGACTACCACTGACGAGAACAAAGTCTTGGACAGGACTTGGGACAGTTTCTCTCTGCGCACCAGCTGCTGCTTTATGTTTCAATGCAATGTGTCTTCCATGAGTCCTGTGGCGGAGATTCATTTGATGTCCTGTGTGTCTGTCACCATGCAAAGCGTTGTTATTCTGGTGTCCTTTGTTAGGTTCGCTGAACACTTTTATTACTGAGAAAAAAAAATAAAAACGATGAAAAGTTACGTCTCCCCAAAATAATTCTAAGGCATTACTTGACACAAATCACTCCTCATTCCATAATTCATGTATCGTACCCTTACTAATTACTCATATGGGTACGAAAATACTTCTATCAACTCCTAGTGAAGCTTAAGAGGTTGTAACTCAATATCTGTCCTATGTATTTGAGTATTCTTCCAAACTCTCGGATTGCTTTTGTGCAGCGCAAGGCACTTCTATTCATTTATAAGATACAAAAGATCTGGAAGGAAATGATTTCGCTCCGATTTACGGTTAAACCAAATGCAATGATGTTAACTTACCGCATTGCAAAAGTATAATAGTTGCTATGGACCACAAACAGCTCATTTCGTTCTACCTTCGGAGAGAAAGTATACAAGTAATTTGATATCGTCTCGGTTAGATTGGCGATCGATTGCTGAGATTTTGAAGCTCTTTCTATTGCCACACGAGAGGAAGTGGTTCCTTGAATTTTGAGACCAAAAAGAGAGAGAGAAATAGCGAACCACAATCCAAATTCCCAAAGAACTTATAATTTTTTGATTCCGTAATAATAATATGAAAAATCGGAAATAGTCATATCGTAATAATGAAAGCAAGAAGGATGCTACCAACCTATCCTGGTCACAAAGTGAACAACGTCCCGTTTAGATTAAGATTCACGGATGAAAAAGACGGATCAGTTTCCCTTTGCCTTGTATTTTTCCAATATTTCTTTCCAAAAGTTACTCGTCTGTGGAAACAACACCATGAAATATGTATTGACCGGGAAATATACTTATTGACAGCATGACTGAAAAAAAATTACCTCATGTGCTGGTCACCGAAATGCTGGTATGTCAAGGACTTTTCAACGCATGAATTCTTCTCCATTTTTCCTTTTTTTTTCCTTTGGGGTAATTTTAAGATTTGAAATAAAACCTGCTGTGCAGAAATGAGCCTTACTCTTGTAACTCCAGCCTGGAAGTCGCTATGCAAACTAAAATTTCCCCCGTTGCCTCTGATGTAACACTCGTTCAATCCTTCTCGCCTCCTAATTCACCTTTTTTTCTTAACAAACTCTGCGAGAGCTTCTCCCCATCGATTTGATTCGATTGGGTCAAGAAGTGGACCCGAAAACCATTCCAAATGAAAGCGAATCCAAGATTTATTTAGTGTGTGAAATTTGGGTTTAGTTGGAGAAAGTATCGTTCAAACAAAAAGTCTTAGGATACTAACCTTGCAGCGCACAAACCGGTTCTCTTTTATACCGTTTTAAAGAGTGTGCTTTTGGGGTTTAAACCAGAGACGCCCAAATAGAACAAACTATTTGATATCTTAGTGATAACCCTGTTTTCAGTCTTGAATTATCTTACTCCAGTGGATCTTACAATCATTGGTCCCCTGATCTTCATGTAATTACCTTAACCCTTTAACTCCCATGAGTGACCAACAATATCCATACAATTTCAAGCAGATAAGTGATTGACAACGAAGAGAAATATCAATTAGGAGAATACAAGTTGACCCAATACCAAATTTTCTAAACTAACATCATAAGAATTTTGTGACAGATAGTAAGGAGAATTCCTGATGAAATCGTGGGAGTAAAAGGGTTAATGACTTTACCGACGGTACCGGTCGAGGTGTCAGGAATTAGTGATAAAAACGCATTGACAACAAATAACATTCAACAGAAAGTTTCTAAAAGTATGAAGTCATTAGATAATAATGAAAGAACTTAAGGGATTATTTGCTTTCGTTATGTCTACACCCAAAATATTTAGAAAACTAGGAAATAAGATTTCATAAGGCTAAAAAGCATGCATTAAATGTTACTAACTGACGTATGAAAGCGATCTTTTTTCGTCAAAGAAAGAAAAATTTGTATTTTATCGGGTGCGGCGTGCAGTTTGAAAGAGAAAAATCCTAAATAACAATTTTCAACATTATACTAACTTGATAAAAAGGAATAGATCTATCCTCGTTGCCTATTCCTTGATTATAACTAAATGATTAAAAGCCTTGATCGTAACTTGTTTCTTCCTTCAGTAGCCAACATTCAAATGCAGACCTACAGTGTAGGCCAAGCATAGAGCAAAGCAGTGTAACAGACCAGTGCCAAACTAACAGCATACCTGGTCCATTAGGAAAGAAGAGACAAAGGAGGGTAGTGGACCGTTCAATCTTCGGTAAGAATTGATTTTAAACGCTGAAGAAGGAGATCGAGTTCAGGTCTACCGAACCATTAAATTTTACGTGACGAGTAGAGGACAATGATGGCAAAATTTTATCGCAAACTGTCAACACTTGGCTTAGTACATTAGGAAGAAAGTGGAAACTTCAACCTTTGGTACTGAATGATTTTCAAAAAATAAAGACTTCGCTTACATCCATCGTTTATTTATCTATAAACATAACTCCTCTATTTCTTATTTTTAAGCTTTTTCTCGTTTAGAGGACTCTTAACACACTCGTAGAATATTCAAAACTAAATGAATGTTTCATTGCCGGTGCTTTAAAGTACGCATAAAAACAAACAGAGAAACACGTATCTGTTATTCAGAGGAAAAGAAATCTAAATTTCATGCTTTATGCTTATGAAGCACATGGCGGGGATCAAGAGTAACGAAATTTCGAAAAGCGCTTTCAAGCTACCGCCATGCCTACCACGATACTTCTCATTCAAGTTTTTGGTCAGTGTTTTATACTTAGGGCAGGAAAGGAAAAAATCTGCAGAAGAATTCCATTTAAACCTCCACGGTGTAATCAGTTCTTTTTCCAAGCTCCTGCTTGTTCAAACCTCTTAGAGGCCACTTTTATACATTATTACAATATCCTTCGTTAAAGTTTCCTCTCATCACTTGATCCTGAAATTCTCCCATCATGTTACCCGCGATGTCATAACGACCAACCACGTAGATGCATTGCATTCCATTCTGGGTGGCCTTTCCTTGTCCGATTCCAAGCTTAACGCTGTCCTTCCATACCACCTGAGTGAAGTGACCTGTTCCAGAGCTGAATCCTCCCGAAACAAAGTTGTAGCCAGGTTTGCATACTTCATCGTACCTGTACAGCACACAACAAATTATCACGTTAAAGGGAGTATCATTCGACTTAAAAGCAATCACCATTGCTCTTGTAGCATATACATTTAAAAGGCTTTTAAAACGATACCAGTACCATTTAAGCTTTAGCTTACCCTCTCAAAAACGATTAATAAATAACCTCTCGCACGAGTTGAAAATCCAGTTTTCGCTTGTTGTGCTTTCAGTGTGATCACTTACCACATTTTGGTCGCAGATTCTCCAGTCAGCGGGGTACCGTTTGACGCACAGGCGTAGGCCAAGTTCTCCCCCACATTTCCTCTTTCTCCAGAAGATGAGTGCAGCAACTGACCCATGTTTGCAATTATTTGGGCATACGCCTTAGCTTGGTTACTGAGATCTCGATCCAAGGTCATCTCTTCGACTCCATGTACCTTTCGATATTTATTATGCGTATTCAACGCTTCTTGCTCAAACTCTGAATCAGCTGTGAATAGAAATTACAAATAAATTCTCCGTTTTTGTCTCTTTTCATCTTTCCTATCTACTATCTTTTTATCATTATTTGCAAAAATCAAAGTTTGGACGGCTTTCATCCTTGCCCAGCCAGATATGACATAGATTTCAAGCTATCTTAAGAGAATTTCCCTCTTTCAGTTTTTAAATAAGTTTTTTAATCCGATTTTCTCAACGTCATAATTAAAGTTAATGCTTACGCTGTGGCTCGTTAGAATCAACACTGCTGCCACCAAGGGCGCCGCCACCTCCACTCGGTGGGCTGGGGCTGGGGCTGGGGCTGGGGCTGGGGCTGGGGCTGGGGCTAGGGTACGATTCAGGTTGGGGACGTTGCCTAGAACCTGGCCAAGGTCTCTGTCCCAAAGATGTTTGAGAACTTGGGCGACGGCTTGGCTTTTTTTGCCATCTCCAAGGATATCTTCTTCCTCCATTCACATCAACGTCCGTTTCTGGAGTACTCTCTATTCTATGGTCTTCCTTCATTACTTTGCTCGAAGAATGTTCTGCCTGCCCATTATTTCCAGCACTATTTATTTCCGGATAGTGGGCTACTTTTCTACTGTTTAAAAGTGGAATACCTTTTGCCATTTTCAAGAAGTACACTATCCTCTGATTCCCATTTTCCTGTTCACTTCCCTTCGACTTGTTGTTTTGGATCTCATGAGAGGTCCTCTGATTGTGGGTTTTAGCGCCATAAAACGGCATCAGCACTTTTCCCTCGTCAACTTCTTTAGATTGGTCTGCCTTAGGAATCTCACCACCCTCCTCTGGGTTCCCAACTTTTATTTGAAATTGCTTATCATGTAGTGCATTTTGATCTAATGAGTTTATGGAGCTGTCAGTTTCTCCATTAGTACCTACAGTCTCGTTTTCAGAGCCTATAACCACAGGGTTTGTGCTTTTTTCTCCTTCCTGTTCGGAGAAACCTTGGGAGAAAGATTCTTCATGTTCTGGCTCATGTGATGTCTGTTGGTCTGTTAGGGTTTCTGTGTAGCTGCCCCTTGAAAGTTCTACTCTAGCTGGTGATATTGATTCTTCTGGTTGCTGCGCTTGTCCATTTGCAAAGTCAATATTACTGTTGCCAAAAGTTTCTTGCTTTTGTGTTTCGATGTTTGTGGGTGAAAGAGAGTTGTCTTCATTTGTTTCAACTCGGCTAGGCACGTTCTCTGAAAAATTTGAGTTGTCACTTATTTCAGAATTCACTCCAGGTTCTCGTTCGTTACCGCTTGGTGGGGACTCCAATCGCTGCGTTCCTTGAATGGATTCTTTATCAGGGACTGGATTTGCTGAAGATTCTTCAGTGTATCTATCTTGATGCCCAACGTTCTCATGGTGGCTATAACGGGATAAATTATCACTTTTTTCATCTGTGGGTGAAGATGCATCGACTGACTGGTCTCTTGAGTCTATATGACCAAAGTTTTTCAGGTGAACACCCCCACCATGTTGGGGAGGCCCATGAATTTCTTTGTAGTATTCCTGTTCGTTTGATATTCTTTGTTGCGAACTATACGAGTGGTCGTTAGGTTTGTTATTTGAACCAGGATCACGTGTAACACTACCACTTTGTAAAGTGTCCGTATGTTCATCGGGTTTTTTCTGTGTTTCTTCGCTATTAGCGCCTGTATTTTCATAATTAGTGGTCGTGTCCACAGCTTTCCCTGAAAGTTGGTAATGCGATGTTTCCTTTTGGTTTGTTGCTTCGGCCTCATTAATGTCAGTTGGCAATGTCTCAGCCGACGGCTGGCCTTGGTCTTTTGATAGCATCTCATGCTCCAGATTACTAGTTGCCGCATGATTTTCCTCTCCCTTTGAAATTGGTGGCATTGTCTCTGTGTCTTCATTTTGAACTAATGGTTGCCCTCCTTCTCTGTACAAAATTTTACTAGATCCATAGTTAGCATCAGGTTCCTGTTTAGCAGCAGTCTTTGATTCTTCTGTGCTCTCCTTCTCCTTTTGTGAGCTTGCATCGTTGGTAAATGGTTCATCTTGTTTTGGTCTTTGATCGACTGCAATCCCTGAGAACGGGCGATTTGGTGTGGCGTGTAGTGATTCCTCTTCATTTTGGACATTGTTAAGTGATTTATCTGTAACAGTCTCAGAGGAGGTTGGTGACTGTTGATTTTCGGCTTCTGGTAATTTATCGTTTTCTTGACTTTGAGAAGCTGGATTGCGTCCTTCACGATATGGCAAGGAAGGTGTTGTTTCGCCTTCCTCTGAGTCTCCATTGGAAAATATAGCATGCGCACCAGACTGCAATGGTATGTCATTGGTTTGTTTTTCAGGTGATGGTTTCCTAAGAAGCGAATGGCCAGTTTGCTCATCTGATGGCCCCATAACTATCCTGTGAGTGAGTTCTTCGTCAAATGCGCTTTCGATTATCTTATGCGGCCGAAGTTGATTAACCAAGCTTCCAAATCCAGGAGATCCTTGGCTTGATGTTGAACCCTCTATATGCATTGTGAAGGAATCATTTGATTTTAAGTAAGGTGTTTTTCTGACCTTATAAGCATTGTGATATTCTTTGTTATCAGATTCACTTCCATCTTTTAAGTGAGACGCAATGTGCTGGCCATAATTGTGACTGTGCTGATGATATCTTGGGTGTTGTTGTGGGGGTGTATTTTCAGCTTGAGAAATTCCTTCATTAATCTTGAAACTGTTTGACAAAACATTTCTTGATTCCTCTAAAGGAACTGCACCTGTCTCCTTTTCGAGACGCTCCACACCACTCAGCGATGGTTCCGTAAGAGTGTTGTGCGAAGAATATTCTGTTTGTTTGTCATGCGTCCTCCAGTACTCAGAAGATCCAGTAATTGCGTTTGGGTTATATCCGCGGTGTCCTTCTACATCGTGGTTTCCTTGCCGTCCGTTGTGTAAAACACTAGACCCTAACAGGTGTGATTCTTCATCATACGCTTTGATATAGGTTTTATCAGGTATTTTGTTGTTCACTGTTATCTCCTCAACAGATGGATTGCTTTTTAAAGCATCGGGCGGAAAATTCTCCTGGGTCTCCCCTGTCACTAAGATTTGGTGCACTCGCTCCACGGGGTGATCATTCACTCCCGTTTTGCCAGGTCGTTCGCGTTCATATTGGTAACTCTTCGTTGGATTAGAAGACGATCGGTCGACAGAGGAAGGACTTCCCTTAAGTTTTACGATTTGTGAAGAGGTGTCTACCGTTTGATCAATTTTTGTGTGTTTTGTGGGTTCTGGGACTTTATTATCTATTTTAGATGGTAACACATCAAAAGAGGGTCGTGGTTTCAGAAATTGATGTTGTTCGCCCTTCTCATTTGCATGAACACCCTTTCCCCTATCGCTAGATAGATGGCTCTCCTTTGCTATATCATGAGCAGCAAATCCCCAGATGCCGTGTCCTGCGTGATATTCTTTTAGCACGTGGTCATTTCCTTCTCCTTCGTTATTGCCGTTCAGATCGACATTTAGCTTTGCAGAAGCTTGACTCTCATAGCTATTGACAGGCTTGTTGTTTACTTTCCCTGTATGTTCAGTGCTGCTCCCTCTTTGAGATGTTTGGGTCTTACCCGACTCGGTAAATGGGACTCCGTTTAACAGAGGAGCTCCTGTGAACAGTGCCTCGGTGTAGCTATATCCACGATCAGAAGGGGATCCCTTCAAAGACGATTGCAGAGTTGCTGCAAGGCCTGCTTTCTGTTTGTTATAATGATGAAGGTCTTCCTTATTTGGATCGTCCTTATGCTTTTCTGGCTCGCCTTGCTTAGAGGAAAGGATCATCCCTAGTCCCTTGTGGTGTTGAACATCCTCTACGGGGCTTCCCATAAGTAACAAGTAGTGTGATCTTTGTTTCGGAATGGACTCCTTTTTGTTGTGCTTCTTCCTTAGGGACTTTGTGAACGTTTCTTGAGCTGTTATGGGAAAACGAAGATCGAAATTAATTAAAAAATAAAGAGGGAAAGCTGCTTTAAGACATTGAAAAAATTCAAATCATTATTGCTAAAGAAAGTTGAAATAACAAAATTATTATTCCATCTATTTTCGATATTAACGTTTTCGATAAACTCACCAAAAATAAAAATTATAATGGCACAGATAATCTTCAGTTGACGCATCATGATAGCCTTACTGCAAAGAAAAAAGGGTCATAAAGCATGGTTTACAATAAAATTTTTTGTAATATCTTAGGGAACCTTTTCAAATACAAGCTACTTACCATTTGAAGTTGACGAGAGACCACAGTGTATTACGAATTTATCATCGGGAGAACCTTTGGTACCCTAAATCTACCTGGTTGGTGTTTTAGCAAAACTATTTCTTGCCCGCTTCAAAGAAAATTTAAACAAAACACCTAAAATTGTCGAGCAACAGATAAAGGCAAACAAAGTGAACGTCCTCAAAGCCTATTACTTCATATTTTGTTTACGCTCAAGGCAGGTAAGGTCAAAAAACTCGAGAGTGCCTTTAACCTTAACAGCTGGCTGGTTCCAATTTTCTCTAATCTTGCATATCTTTGTTATACGAACAGTGTCCAGAATTGTTTATTTGATTGGTAAGGAAGGCTTTAAATCTACATTAACCTTGTGTAAGGTCTAATGGTAAAGGAAACTGAAATTGCAATCAGTGAGCTGATAGTGAAGTCCAACGTTTCAGTGCTATTTTGTCTAAAAACAGCGCTTTTCTTTAATCAGATAATGAGTTTAGAATACCACTCCAACGAAAATTTGCCCCAGAATCAGTTCGACGAAAACACTATCACTGATAATAACTGTAGCAGTAAAAGCTGGCATCAATTTTGTATGAGTCTGTGTGCGTTTCAATATGGAACGTAGCTAAGAAAGCCTTCGCTGTTTCCTCAACATTCAGATCTATGATAAGGTAGAAAATTTGTCTGATTGATCTGTTTCAGTTAAACTTAGTTGAGCAACAGTTGAGATTACAATAACTCTCTTTTTACACGGCCGATGGGATCATCGGCAAAATGATTAATATCAATAGAAACTGATTTTTTCAAGCGTAATTTCCTCTTGGATCGGTTGACGACTGATTAATTGAGTGATAGAGTCGAAGGTTAATAACGTGTGCACAACTGACTGAAGCCAAAAACAGGTTATTCATTAACCGAAGAGGATCTTTCATTTGGCCTCAAGATAAACTAATTATGTATTTTATGTAGATGTAATTAATATAATGTCTATAGAACATCTGTCAAATTTGCTGAAAGTGGCTCGCAATTTGTATTATTTTTATCTAATTGCCATACCATGAGTATAAATACAATTCAACAAGAAAAACAAACAAAAACAAAACAGGAGAAAGAACCCAAGAAAGAACACAAACACAAGAATTGGTATTTCAATTTTATTTATAAGGAAAAACCAATCTTCCTTTTCAACACCAAAGAAGTTGGCTCTCTTATTCTTAGCATCACTTAATTCTTCGAGCTTCAGCCGGAAATCTAACAAGAAGATAAAGGAGCATTAGATAAGTCGTCAACTATAACTCTTATCTCTCACACTTTCACACACTTCACTCTTCTTTTTTAGATTATCAATATTACATTGGCGATATAGGCCTGCTTGGTAGAGACATTTCCAGAACCCTTTCCAAGAGTAAAACCTGTGCCCTTCCAACAGTTTTTACGCATGCTCTACCACTGAGGTGTGATTCATGTTACTAGCATGCCTACCGCACGCGTAAATTCATCAATGCTTTTGCGTTGTAACGGAAATTTTTGTGGTACATGTAGTTGAAGATTCGTTTCCGTTAAGAATGATGGTGATCAGGTTTCAGAATCCACAGTTAATATCATGAAAAATGAACGTTTGGGAAAGAAGAATATCTTCGTGTGAACTACAACTGATCTTAAAAAGGAACGTGTTACGGATGCCAGCGACTAAAATAATACTTTACAAACCTAGCCCATAGTATAACTTTCAATCCAGTTTCTGTACTTGCTCACTCTGGCATTGACAGAGTAATGTCCCGGATGACAACCACCTGTACCCCAACTGACCACACCCTGTAGGTACCATCTGCCGGTCCAATCCTTACATACAATTGGTCCACCACTGTCAGTGTTGCATGTGCTGATGGGACTAGAGCCACCATGACCTGTACAGAACATGGCGTCTGTCACAGGGATACCAGCGTCTTTGTTATCTCTCTCACATTCTGACTGGCTCACTGTAGGGAGCATGGCCTGTTTGAGGATATCTGCTTGACTGGACCAGTCCTCGGGAATTGTCAAGCCCCAACCTCGGGTGAACAAACACACAAACAAGAAAAACAATGGAACAGCTTTCAAAATGTCCCAGGACCCTAACATTTCTGATAAAAGGTACTTTTCAATTTTAACATCATGATAACAAGGGGTGATCAACGGTTACCAATCAAAAGTAAGACTTTTCTTCTCACAGTTTATTCTAAGGAGTTGAACAAAGTTTTCGTGATTAACTTTCACTTCTCTATTTGAAACGATTTGGCTGTGAGAAAACGGGGAGGGGGGGAGAGATACCGAACAAGCTGTAAAACCATGTTTCATTCCTTTACGAATTGAAAGAGCTGGTCAATCAGGATAACACGTCGGAAGCGTTTGTCAGCAAGGGGTTAAAATTGCTCTATTTTCTCGCCTTTGACCATAAGGATACCAACACTGAGAACATCCAATTCTGAACTTTTTCTTAACGTCATTTTCTTTGATAATGAAGAATTACTGCAATTGGAATCACTTGGAAGAAATTAATAAAATCCACTCGCTCCACTCCTGTAAATAATTACCTGTGGCATAACATCTTTTTCTAGCCGGGATGTTATAGCCTTGATTAGGAAGGCAGATCAAGCTGACTTGTTCATTCAGTACAGCGGGACGGTTCAGTCTTATTAATGCTGATTGAGCCGGAAAAGATAGAAACAATGTAAATCTCATTGTTATTGATAGCCTTGTTGAGGTATCCGGTTTAACCTGGTATTTTCTGGGTTTCAATCTTAAAACAAGATTCTCCTAATTCACAGCTTTGAAAGACCTTCGCTGAATCTTATGTTAACTTCGCCGATGTCTATTGACTTAAGCAATTTTAGTTCTGGGATAGGATTATTGGTTTCTCATGGAGCTCGAAGAGTTCCATGGAAATACTCTAACGAAACTGTAAGATGATCTTAGTGTAAAAGGATCGGGTTATCTACTCCAAAACAAAAGAAAATCAATTGATGTTCTCTTGCTCCAAAACTCGTTTGTTTATTTTTCGTAATCATTTAGTTCCTATTTCTTCACTTGAATGTTCTTACTTTCAGTAATTGCACGCTGCTAAACACCGAGTCAATCTATCACTTTCCCGTTCGGTCCAATTCCCATACACTGTATTTCATTGTTCTTTGTTCGTTTTTAGAGCGTGACTTGCAATGGTATCAGCCTCTTACGACAGTTATCAATCAGTAACCTTGAATTACTGAATACTTATCTATTTGGCCTTACCAATATCATTGTTCACAATCGAAGGCTTATTATAACGTGGGTGTACCACGATATTCGCCACATCGAACACTTGTTCATAACCCTCTCGTGTGCTCCTTCGGTGTTCGCCGAGAGTTATCCGAAAATCCCTGTAATTCTGAGGTTTCTTCGCATGATCCACGCAATGGGCCGCTGTTACGATCCACTGTGGGCTAACTAGGGCACCTCCACAATGATGGCCGCGAAGATAATTAATTTGAACCATCCAAGGCCATGAATTAGGGGCTGCATTATAACCACTGATGATTCTTGTTTGCGGGCGAATTCCACAGGTTGCTGAAAAAGATGGGATAAAGCTATGATACTCGCTTAAAAAAATTAGGTGTTATTCTGATACAAAAGCATCTCAAATAAGAACACTTTAATTTTTAAGTGGAGTGTTGAAAGTGACCTGGGAAAGACAATTGTAGGCATTTGGAGAAAAATTTTGGCTAACAAATATTAATTTGCATAGTATATTTTTTCGGAGTTGAATTACTGAAATTAAATTACGTACCTTCAGCGCTGGTAAGAAGCCCTGAGGAACAAGATATATGTAATGTTAAAATCAATGTTCGCAAATTAGAGTGATGGTAAAAACTGCAAAAGCAAAATGTGAAAAATCCACATTACCTGTGCTATAAAGCAATACAATAACACCAACAGAAGTGAACATTCTTCACGTCTGCCTTGTTTCAGCGATCTCTGCAAAACTGATTCCGACGCCCTTTTGTATAATGATGCTAATTTGGAAAACTTTTATTTTTGAAAATGAGTGTCATGGTTTAAACAGCTTTTAGACTGTTAAAATAGGTTGCCAAAACTATTTTATTAGATTCTTAGTTGGAACGATAAAAAGTAATTAAAGGTAGCGATCTTCTGGCACTTTAAAATGACAAGAAAATTCATTCTCACGTTTGTGTCATTCACAGAGGACAATCTGAATGTAGATTGAAACATACACTTGCTCATATGCTATCAAATTTTCTCGGCTTGATGGGTTACCACTATTTTTTTTAGTATGGGGCTTCACTGCACGATAGAGCGCTTCGCGTGCGCTGCGAGCTCCGCTATAAAGGCCAAGTATCTAGGCCAAGTGTATGGGCCAAGTATTTAGGCCAAGTTCTCCTCGGCTTAACTGATAGAACATCCCTCAGTAAAAGCAGAACAGACCAAGATTCAAATCCTTATAGGGCTTCAGATTCTCCCGCCTCTTCCCAAACTTAAATAACATGGCTGAAATTTATTCCTCGTGGCCGGGGGGAACTCAGATTTTTCTTTTGTCCTACGCTCATCACAAGACAAGTAACATCTTTCTCATGACTCTAGTTCATTCCTCAACTTTTTTTATTCTATTCAATTGTATGACACCTCCGACATTGCGGATCTTTGCTGTATTCATGAGGCGTATCACTAACGAACTTTAAAATGACCCAGCTCTCCAAGAGATTACTAACTCTGTGGTGGAACATCGGAGCGTGGAATTCGGGCACCTTTGATCTTACTCCTCATTAAACAATCACGGTCTTTTTTAATTAACACAACGGGTCAATACGGCGAAATTACAAGTATGCTATGTGAGTAATAATTTTTTTTTTTAATATCTAATTTAGACGCCTGAACTTTTATAGGAAAATGGTAAACACACTCTGATTTCATTTTCGGGTTTGTTTGTTTACATCTTGATCAAAGGTCAATACAGGGGGGAAATCTGCTCAGTTCCAATAAAAAAGACAAAGCCATTTTATTGCACAACGTTTTCGTGCTCTTCAATGTTTCTTCAAACGCAGTTGAAATAGAGAATAATACATGGGCGCATAGATATGGATTTTCTCTTCGAGTGTTTAACACGATAGCTCACGAGTGAGCGCAGCGAAAGAGTGGGATGTCGAGTTGAACACGAGAAGAGAAATTCCATATCTACAAGCAACCATGTATTATTTTGTTTATCATATAAACACAATAGCCCTTTATTGGGAAGAAAACCCGACTTTATTAATGAATGAAAATAAATGAATCGGCAATCCTCGAATAATAATCGTATAGTGCGTTGGCGCTGACTCTTAAGATGGAAAAATGCGTTGAATCATGATTACAAAACAACAATGGTCGTAATTTTCAGTTTACAAAATTCTCATTTACTGAATTTGTTTTTACCGACAGAAGAAGTCTTTCAGGTAAACGGCCAAAGTCGGCTAGTAGCAAATCTTCCAGTTGTCGATTTTCATTCTCAGACGAGAGAAAAACAGCAAAGCCACTGAATACGCAACTTTCGGTTTTTCTTTTAGTATATTGGTTTTCTTCCCTTCTAGGAAAGTTTGAACCTCATTGTCTGCAAGCGATACGGATTTTTTAGTGTTTTAGCCGCCATAACTTGAGAAAACTCCGACAAACAACTTGTATTGAGAGTCGTGAAGGCTTTGCCGTTCATTCATCAACCTGACCGAGTGGCGCCAAAGGCGAGTGACGTATAAGCAGCTGATTGGCTATATCAACACACGTGGAAAAATACGATATTTTTTTACGCGAGTTGTTACGGCTTTTCTCAGGGCCGGAAATCCTTGTATAACACCGCAGTTTATGTGATTTATTACACTCATTTTGAAATATCTGGTGGTCCCTGTAATCTGATTGGCTTTAATTGATGTAATTTATCCACGAATCGCACTATTTTTTTTATTTAAATCGCATCATTTTCCCAGGCAATGAGGAGACTACACTGAAAATACAACGACCAATCAGATTTCAAGGCTTGTTTAAAGTAACCGATCAAATTGCAGAAAAACGAAAGACAAAGAGTATCATGTGGCAAATGTTGCAACTTTTGTTTCCAAAACTCTTACTTTTTCCTCCCAAGAGATGGATGAATTTTCAGACCGGCTCAGTACTGCATCAATAAAATGTTTGTACTGACCAAGTCCTGTATTTGGGCGATTTCAAAATGGATGTAATAAAGTGGTAATTGAACCTCGTGTCGTGTAATTTTGGTCTGAAATCATACTTGTGATTTCAAATCGAACTCGCGCTGCGCGCTCATTCGATTTTGAAATCACGCGTATGATTTTAGCCCTAATAATCTACATGGAAAAATTACTCAGTTTTGATTGGTATAACAAATGCAGTTTACAGGTAATTCAGTGCACAAGAGAGTTAATTCAGTGCAGAAGAGGGTTAATTCAGTGCAAAGAAAATACAAATCAGACATTCTGATTGGTCAATAATCAAAGAAACTCGCAGATAGCCAATCAAATGCGAGCCTTGGATGTCGCAACAAAATTTGAAAATTTGCGAGCGAAACAATGGCCGGCGTTTTAAGTAGGTTTTCTTTCGCCACCGCAGCTGAAAATCAGCTTAAACAACGAAAACATTGTAAAAAGCACTGCTTTTTGGTTGTCCGTTTGGAAAAAGTTGTGTTTAGAGAAGGGAATTGCCAAGGAAATCGAAAATTACGAGCCGACCCAGCTTAACACTTTGCTCGAGCGATCCAACGCCGAAATTTAAAACAAACATGGTTAAACCTCGGAAACGACGATTCCATTTCATCGAAAGTGATTTGGACACAGACTGAACAATTCCTTGAACTGTTTAGCCGGACTTTGAACTTTTTTGCACCTTAAAGATGTGAAGATATCATTGCATATTATTGTTTTGATCGTATGCAGTTGTTTTGACCGAACACACGGTTTGAATAAATTATTTTTTGCACTTGATGCGCGCGCTTTGCTTATGTTTAATTATGATAGACCATCTCGTATTTTTCCATGTATATTATTAACACGTAATCACATGATTTTTCTCGTGCAATTTGGAATAAACAAGCACTTGTTAATTTTTTCAAAGACCACAAATTGCAAATTGCAATTTTGTTAGTCTTTGAAAAAATTTACTCGTGCTTATTTATTCCAAATTGCACTCGAAATCATGTGATTACCTATACAAATTGCACTCCACTCAGTTCAATTACCATTATAAAACAGTTTTCATGCGATGATGAGTATCTCGATCTGGAGGAAAGATGTCATGTAGAGCTTTTGTTCTTTGTTGTTGGAGTGAAATTCTTGTCACTTAAAAGTCTTAATACAGTTTCAGTCCATTCAGAATAGCGAAATGATATATTTGCCTGTGATTTACAATCCAAGGTTATGCCCAAATGTCGGGTGCACTCTCATTTTTTTACAATTCTGTCCCTGAATGTTATGGAGATTTCTTGTTGAATTTTATTCCTGAATAGAAAATCGAAGCTGTTCGCTCTTTAAGAAGCACTGAGTTCACTGGGCCCTATCATGAACTGAACTGTATCGTCTAATGTCATTAATATTTATCATGACAACGTAACTATATATACACAAATAATCAAACGTTCTCGTAACGTAAATAGAGCGAGTATAACCTGACTCGCTTGAGACAATTTTACGCGGCCTGAGACTGGATCATTTTTATACATTTTAAACTGAATGACCTTCCTGTCGAGAAGAGGAAAGTTTAAAGAATATTGATATAGGACAGGGTTGGAGTACTTTATTTATTTCAGAGCTATTATGGGTCATTGTAACAGAACAAAGATTTAGTGCCGCGTTTATAACGACACAAGCCAAGGAACATTTTACATTTGACTTCGACTATCTTTCCCTCTATTTTTTAATAGGACTTACAGAAAATTTAAATATATTAATGAGCGTTTGATATCTATAACAAGAGATTCCAGTCGTTGTTAGCAACTTCCAAAACACCTTTAAAACCCAAACCAATGCTGTAAGAAAGAAAAAAACCGAGTTAAAAATATAGACAAATAAAAATAAACTAGACCAAAGGTGTCAATGCTTTTAGCAACCTTCTTTTCTGGATTGCTCAGCTTTACAGGCTCGATTTTGAAACTAGCGTAATTTGTTCTTAATTATATTCTAGGTTATGATATCCATTGCACAGAAGGAAAAAAAATGAAAATAGTGAAAACCTACCGGGTTAAAAAATCTTAACCCTAGAGAAATTTCACCATAATGAGCACGCGCCATGAACACCTGCCCAGCTTGATCAGAACCAAAAGTATCACAACAGCCAATCAAATCGTTGGTAGATATTAAACATGGCCAGTGAGATATCCTTTAATTGTGGCCATGAGGTAGAGAACTGCTTTGCCCACTAAGCATATCCTGTAACTGTACGAGTTTGGGTGAGCCGAGGATTTTAACTTACTTCACATCGGGCAGCTACAGCACAACTGACCATCAGCACAGGCATAGTGGGGACTGCCCGAGCAGTCACCCCTACACATTGTCGCACAGTATCTTAAGTCATATCCAGATATGCACTTATCATTGGGTTCCTGTGCAACTAAAAAACAGAGATAAAAAGTACCGATTTCATGATTTTTTCTTAAAATACCTCTTAGCTCTCCTGAGGACAGTTAAGTCTTTGTTTACAACTTAATTAAAGTCGCTTGTATCGTGAAGATTAACAAGGCTGTGAAAAGTCCAACACTTTTTTTGGCAGACTCAGCCTAATTAAAGTGAAAAGGTTGAAGAAGAGGGGGTGAGGGATGGGTGGGAGGGATGGGGGAGGGGGAGGTGAGGGATGGGTGGGAGGGATGGGGGAGGGTGAGGGATGGGTGGGAGGGATGGGGGAGGGGGAGGGAGAGTAAGGGGACACCGCGGTCCTTTTTTCTTCGACTTACCTTAGTGTAGCTTAGAGTCTTTGACGGATCGATTAAAATGGCATAGAGTGGTAAGGCTCTCACTTTGTAACGCATCAGTCCATTCTTTCTAAATATTTTATATATCTCCGTGATTTACACGCTAAGGCATCTAAGATCAGCGAGATTGAAATCACACTACAACTCCCAGAATGTACCCCCTGGAAAATGAATATCAAATCCTTCACGGAATACAGACATCGAAAAACAAATGTTAAAACAAGTGACTGGTGTATAAACCATGAGCAAATGACGAAAAACAAATTAAGTTACCTTCAGGCTTGGGTGCCACGTGATCAGCAACCAGGAATATTACAATAACTGTGAAAGTCACAAACAGCTTCATAGTGTAATCTTAAACCACACAGGATATCAATCTGAAAAGTAGTCACTGTGAAAACAAAAATGCAGCTCTAAGAAGAAGTTTGGCTTTTGAATATTTTCATGCGTTTAGACTAACAGAATATATGTTGCTCTGATTAATCCCGAAGTATATATACAATTACAATTGCATGGGCCAACGGCTTGTGACGTTACGTTTCATGCCCCTTAAGGCATTTTCACGATAACTGATAGTCTTAGCGAAACGCAAGTCCTCTGTAAGTTTGCACTGAACAGACTAGGACTTGCTGGACTCAAAATTTAAAACAAAGAAACGAGCTCTCTCCTACCTTGATGTCGACAAAAAAATAACCAGGTTTGACTCGGATCTCTACAAGGAGATGTATACTATCGATGTCTTTGTAATTACAGCTGATTCGATTACAATCATAGAGAGATATGCAAAGATCAATCTGGATAAATAGAATGCGATCCGACAATCACAACATATTATTTAAGAACGTTGAGCGACAGAAGGTTGACGTGCGTGTCTTTTCATTTGGTTTTCGGTTACTCTTGAAAATGAGGGAATTTGCATTTGAAAATCTACTGTCAGTCTAGGTTAACTCAGGTGGAAGCGCAGTCTGAGAGTTAGTCAAACAGAAATTTGAGAGAGAAACTCTATCGATGACGACTTGAACCAAAAGCTTGGGGCAATAAAATCCGTGTACCTTAGTGCCAACCGATTTTCAATTGTTAGGAAAATGAAACACAAACTTTATTTTCGTTTTTCTTTGCCGCAAAAAAACGAAATTGGACTTCCATTTTCGTTTTTCATTTTTTCCCCGCCGGGAAGGAAACGGAATCCGAATTCACTTTATGCTCTCCGTTTTTCCTTTTTTGTAACTTTTGAAAAAACGGATTTTAATTTTCTTTTTCGTTTTTCGGTTTTTTGGTTTTTCGTTTTCGTATGGGATTTGGAAAACGGATCACAAGTCGTTTTTCGTTTTTGGCCAATGGCAGTGAAACTGACAATCTTTGTTTAAGCGGGGAATATTTAGGAAACTAAGATGGCGGCGTTAGAAAATGTCTTAGAAGATTTTGTCCGCCGGTTTCTAATCGCACAGAAACATACGTACGAGGAGCTTGTCACTGAAATCAAGGCTCGATATCCGAATCTAAAGGGCTGCAGTCTACAAAGCGTAAAAAGGTTTTGTAATCACCAAGGAATAAGGAAAAGAACGCCAATTTCGGATGGTGCGCTTAAGTGCCGCTCTCGCTAAGAGCGCTCCTCTCGATTTCCCGTCGGAGAAAAGTTTTCTTGTAATCCTCAAATGCAAAACGAAAATCGAAGTCCAATTTAGTTTTTTTGCTGCAAAAAAAAAAAAACGAAAATAAAATTTGTTTCATTTCCCTATACAATTGAAAATCGGTTGGCATAAAGGTACACGGATTCAATAAGTCGAGCTGAAAGTCCACAGAATCAGGACTCTATCGTGCTCCTTATTCGCTATTTGATTTAAAAACGTGTTTTCGGAATTCTCTGAGTTGCACCCACACGTTTGCAAATAAGCCCGTAGTGCGTCCCACACACTATATACCTCCGGCAGCTGTGTCCTTAGTACAAAATTATCGTTGCGTCTACTAAGGTTTGTGTAAGGTCTGGCAGGTTTCAATCAACAGCTTTCAATCTTGTAAATACAGCACATCAAGGTTTGAGAAAAACAAAACTAGTACTGATAGTGACAACGCAACAAGCTTTGACAACACTCTAAATTTATTATTATAGAGACCTACGTTCGAGGTCAGTTTCGCTTTTTTGCTTTGGTAAGAATATAATATTTTACAAAGAATCAACAATTCACGCACCAAATTACAATAGGATAACCAATACTGTGCTAGAGACAACAAATAGCGTGCTTTAAAGGTATCAAGCTTTAGTGAATACAGAAACTGAAGGTTCTTGGCTTTACAACGGACACGACAACAACTCCTTTTTTTTTTTTAATAACACAAACCTGCTGATAAAACAATAATTTACAACGCTCAAAATCTAAGCAGCAATATCATTGCGAAATTTTCAAGAGCAAGAGAAGGATCTACAAAACTACGGGACTCCTTTTCTAAGTGATGTACCCTGTTCTCAAAGAGGTGTGCATGATGGACTTGGCTCTCACGTAAAGTTTGAGACAACAAAAAGAAAATCTGTTGGAGAAAACTTTTGTCCTTCAAAATTTGTGCGCCTCTTACCTTAGACGACTTAGTTCGGAAAAAAATTATAAATATTTAAAATATCTTTATGTAAAATGGCACTAGCACCTTCAGAGGTATTTGTTTGATACATGATTTTCACTACTGAAACACAAGATTTAATATTCCTGGAAAATGACCTGTAGCATTGGTAAATTGTTTGGAGTGTAAGTTGTGCCTTTCTACGCGAGAAGATCACAATTAAATCATTACTTGAGACAAACAAACACCAAAACACTGTCATTTAAGACAAACACAAAGATGAAATTGAAAACGTCCATTCACAAAAATCCCACAGACATACTGTATATCAAGATCATACAAATTTCAACAAACTAAAACAAGTCCTCCTAAGTGGTAAGCTTCAAAATTTCTCAGTTCTAAAGCGAAGATTTCATTGCTACAAATTTCGTCGAGGCGGCTGGGTACCGTTTTCTTAACCACGGAGAGGCTACATTAAGGCGCCAACACTGCCAGTCGGATTGAAGGAAAACTATCCCCAACCCGTTAGGTCTGAGGTAGGCACAAAAACAAATACAAACGCTTCAAATGGCACGACCCCCACTCGAAACAAAATCCAACTATCTAAAGTTGAAAACCTGACCCACAGAGACACTCCCTTTTTCTTTCTTCTTTTTTTCTCTTTAATTACTATGACGGCAGCTACACCCATGTGCCAAATTTTGTTTGGTTACAGTTATGATCTGGTCATGCAGGAAGAGTCGAATTTGGTAGCGGAGACGTTGGCGCTGACGGTAAAGGCGAGACGATCTGTTGAGTTGGTGTACTGCTAGACTGCATAGGCACTGGGGACACAACAGTCTGCGCCAATCTCTGTTGCTCCTGTCTCACCACTGGATCTGTAAGGCACAGCACACACAGTAACTATAAGCACACTGTGTGGCTCCACTTACTTTTATTTTAGAGTGATTGTTCATTTTTCTAAGGACATATTCTTTACCAAATCTTCAACTACGAATATTGCATTTCTAGTGTTTTGATTGGTTCATTCAACATCGGTTATCAGCTCATGTTCCAAGACACCTTATATGAAAATGCATTGTACCAACTGTTTCTGAGCTGAAAAAAGATTCCAAATATTCAGGTTTTAATGAAAGTTAATGAAATAATTATTCCATTCGCGCTTGTTAGATACGAGAATGGTTAAAGCCAAATCAGCGCTACGGCCTTTTAACCATCTCATATCCAACGCGCGCTTCTTTTGCGAAAGATGCGATGAACACAATGTTTGGCGCTCTTGACAACGCATCAAAATGTCCGGCTTCGAAACCTTAGTGAGATCATTGTGTTGAGTTCTTGGGCATTATCGTTATCACTTTAATTGTCTTTTTCAAACTGAGTATGAAGGGGTAATGGCCAAACACCAGGGAACCTGACCCTATTGAACCATCACTCCTATGCCATATTAAACCGCCTGATATATTGCAGCTCCCACAAGATGCCTTAGGACCATTTTCTACGTATTAATTTTACAAAATGTATTGAAAACACTACAAATTTACTTACGGAAGTACGGATGTTCCATGGCTTCCCTTGCGGTCAAGCGTTCCTATTGACAAGATAATCAATCAGACCAAAAACTCATGAAATCGAATTTTGGTCACGTTCTCCCTGGTATCAGCTTGATCATATGGCCACACGCAGAGGAACGACCATTTTGATAATCATTAATATAGCTGACTGATCGTGTGGTCTAACAGTTCGGGTGACAATGAGGTTGTTGTCTACGACGCTGACCATCGATTTTATTACGAACAGAACTTCTTACAATTGACGGAAAAACAACTCGTGAGACTCCGATTATGACTTTGGCTCGGATTGACGTAACCTGAGCCCGTGATGCAGCCGATGGGGTATCGTTTAAAAGGAGCAAAGGGCAAAGAGCACAGAGAGCACGCGTAGTTCTTTACATGTACATTCTCGACTTCGGTGATATTCAGGCGGGAAAAAGAAAGGGGATATGCAATTTCCACAATAACGGAAAATTTCGGGAGCATATTTTCTTTGATGCAGACGCAAGAAATTTTTTTTTACATGTACATGCAGTGTGTTTATTGTTTCGGCATACCGCAATGTCGTATCTTAGGAGCTTGTCCAGCAAGTCAATTGCTTCAGGGCTCACTAGAAGTTCATTCTCTGAATGCGTGAATCTTTCCCATCTCTTTCTTGAATGTCTACGACAAAACAACAAACAAACTTGAATATGCTGATGTAAAACATAAAAGAACAAGACGGCTATGTCTGCACATGGATTTGACTCATAGAAACGCCCCGTTTTTGTGTAATGAAGCGACAAATAGTGTTACCAACACTCCCGGAGGGGATATTGATCCATGGCATAACATTAGGTTAAACAATCAGTTCGGTGGTTGAGTACCATACCATGATAGAAACTCCTCGGACCAGATGGTCTGACGTTCGAATCCTACACGTAGCGTGGGACGCCTTGTTTGTTCTTTGTCCAAAGCTCGAGACGAGCGACTAAGAGTATGGTTTGATTTAACCCTTTTCACCCAAAAATAAGACTTCACATTCTCCTCACTATTCTTTCCACATTTTCGATGATGCTCGCTAGAATATGTTTGAAAATCTGGGGCTTCTTAAACCGGTGATCATTTCCTTTATTATCATGACCTTTTCATTTAATTTAAGGGAGACACTGTAAGGGGAAATTAGAGACAAACACTCTAAGAGGTTAGACCAAATGTTTAGATCTAGAATTGAATTCATTATAAAGAAACGGGGCGTTTGTTTGAAAAACGAATTTAAAGTGTGTGGCAGACATTGCAGAGGATTGTTACTGGATCTCGTAAGTGACGGGTTAAATACTATAAGCCAAACGATAACGCCCAAAACGCCAGCCAAACATAAACAAAACTAACCTCCCTAAGATGTCATTGAATCTTGGGTCTAATTCAATATGATACTTCTCGATATATTCAAACAGCTCATCTGTTCCTATCACTTTGGCAATTCTGACAAGCTGGAGGAAGAGAAAATTAAATAAAAATCAATAATAAAAATCACACATCATTTACAGACACAGACATCCAAAACATTTTGGATATCTCTAGATGTTTAAAGTACCAATAAAAACCAACACTTTGGTAGAGGTCATCTAAATTAAAAAAGTAAAATAATATCCATTTTTTAAAATCCCTTCATTAAAGCAGTGGAGGCATTAAAAAGGAAAGGAAAGGGTAAAATTTTTACCCTTTCCTTTCCTTTTTAACTGGACCGAGAGGGAGGAAATTAAGGCTATATATGTTTCCTAAACATCTGAGGCGTCTCCTGTCATCAAGCTTCAAAAGTACTATTTTCATCTGTTATGCACACCTAGAAAGTATCTATTATTGAACACTGCAAGCAACAAATAGGTAAATTAATTAAAGAACAAGAAAACACATTACCTGGTCATAGTTGTCATGCCCATGAAAGAAAGGTTCTTTTCTGAAAATCTGTTTCAGGGTGACAATTAATTAGAAAATTAATCATCTTAATTAATAATACAACTTACTCAATGTAAAACATATGAACATGCTGTTAAAACTCTGGACATAAAGTTCCCTCCTTCCCCCATCGATCAGAGGAAAAACTCTAGAGTAGCAAATCAGTCCCAAACATACATACATGAATATTTAAAAGCCTTATTTGTTTTGATAAACCCACTGTAGCCCTATAAGAGTGTATATACAGCTTTACACTATAATATGACCTCTGTTTTTGGAGGGAAATTCTGCAATGAACACTGTAATCCTGTGCATGATAACTGAGTACTCTGTGCTTTCTATGCTTACAGAAGTGTTCACACTAGTCAGAAAACAGTTTTTGTGTAACAATTTCATTCACTCTTGTCCAATGATCTCACAAAGTGGAACATGTGTAGCCTACTGGTTTGATGATCAATTAGTCCCTCACCATGCTGGCCAGCATACAACCAAAACTCCACATGTCCAAGGAATAGTCATATTCCTGAAATCACAAACAAATGGACATCATTGAATTTTTTAAAACTGTGAGTTCAAAGCCACATTAAAGAGGAAACATATGGGGAATCTGACACAGAAGTAAAGGTAACAATGATAGTAAAAGTTAAAAGTAAAAGGCATAAACTGTTGAGTATTTTTCTCTTAATGAAAAGCCAGTGTAAAAGATACTTGCACTGAGTTAAGAATTGCAGGTATTCTAAAGACAAGCAACAGACATTCACGATACATACTTGATGGTCAACCAGTAATTCAGGTCCTTTGAAATATCTGGAAGCCACTCGAACATTGTATTCTTGTCCAGGATGGTAAAACTCTGCCAAGCCCCAATCTATCAATCGTAACTGATGACACAGAAGAAAATGAGAAAAAAAAAAACATATAGGAAAACAGAAGAAAGATAATTGTTAGCACATGATTTAAACCACAGCATAAAGCTAAAAAGTGATGGGAATAAAAGGCCTAATGATAACAATAATGATAATGATAATAGAGAAATATAGTCGACAAATATATAATTATTAACTAAAGAGAAAAAACAATACAAACCTGTCTTTTGTCATGGTCAATCATAACATTGTGTGGCTTCACATCTCTGTGCATTATCCCCATACTGTGACAATAGTCCAATGCCTGTGTTTGCAATAAACAAGATTATTATTCATTCAACACACTATCTCTTTTCTGATCGGCCAAAAGCATGTAGTGAATCTTCAAAATCAGTGCCTGAGATGTCATCCAGCTGCAGATTATTCAACAATCATGTCAAGGACACTCAAGGTCACAGGCAATCACATGACCACAGTGTATGATTTCTAAGGGTATGTAATCATGTCAAGTTCAAACACTTTCTGTTGCATGCTGATTTGTATATTTCACTTGTTTAGAAATAAATTGTCAGTTCCACATACTGTCCTCAACCAATTTTATTTTGTTCGATGTATAATAAAACAATTATTAGATACAGTTTTTGAGATATCCAGAATAATCAAGGTCTCAGTAAGGGTTATTGGCCTACCTCCACCCTGATTATTTTGGATATCAAAAAAACCTCATCTGATAATTGTTTGTAAGAATCATGTTTACAGAGCAAGGAACCCTTTACCTAACATAACAAGGACATAAGAAATCTTCATAGTTTGGGGTTCTTGTGATCTGATGCAAGTGGTTAAGTACTACATGTCCTCCTATACATTTATTTAAAAATCATTCACTCTATAGTACTGTAGCTTTGTATTTAATTTCTGCACCAGACTCAAAGCTTACAGTGGAATGACATGAAAAAGAAATTAATAATTGGCTCCTTTGAACATGCTCCTAAGAGGCCTTGAAAGCTTGTACCTTCAAGGAAAATAGAAATACAAGTATGCAAAAAGGTCCCAGTTATCACTGTTAAATTTCTTGAGAGGAGAACAAGGGGAATCACTTTAAGTTGGAGTTCTCTTACATGTAATATTATCAATTAAGTAAACTGGAAGTGGTACAAGTTTTTTTGTATACTTACCTTTAGGAGTTCGTATAAGTAGAATCTGATGTCATAATCAGTAAATTTCTGGTACAGTTGCTGAGAAAAGTAGACAAATTTGTGATTATTCACATATATATACAGTATGCTTAAAACTTACATGGAAGTTACATTAATGATATTTATCAGTTTAATCAAGGTAAATGCTGTTCTAACTCACCTTAAAATCTGTGTTGTTTACATACTCAAAAACTAATGCAGGTGTCCTGGACTGTTGAAATAAATAATATGTAAACTGTCAAAAAAGCACATTTTAGAAAATGTATGTCACAAGAATAAATACATATACATATAGAAATGTGTTGACATACATGTAACTCAGGGCATGAAATTAATCTTTTTTTCTGATAGCCACTTGGCTCCTAAATTCTTCAAAGTGGTAGCCAAGTGGAAAAAAGTTGGTCCCCATTTTCAAAGACAAACATAACCTTTTTTTAAGCTGTCGGCTTTCTATATAGACCCTCCAAAATTAAATTTGGGAAAAGATCTTTAAAGTGCCACAAAGTGGACACTAGGATGGACAATATACAACATTAAAGCTCACCTAAATCCAAGATGGCGTCTTGTTATCGATCGAGATGCATGTGTTGCGTTTTGGAAACAATCTTAACGAGGAAGTTTGCCGCGGATTTATCTTTGCAAATCTTTTTAATTCACTATGTCTCTTGGTAAGGTTATGATGAAAAATTCTAGTTGCCAATTTGGCGACTAATTTCCAGGATTTGGTCGCCAAAGTGAAAAATTTAGTCGCATTGGCGCCTGTATTAGGCGCAATTTCACCACCCTGTAACTGTGAAATCTGTTTGCACTTTTCAAGTAAGTCTTCTATAGAATTGTGTTTAAATGACTGAGTACTCAATCTATCAACTTTGAAACTTAAATCATACATCAAGTAACCTGTGCAGAAAATGTAGATGAACATACATGCACATAGTGTGTGTTTTGGTTTAGGTTTTTTTACCTATGTTTAAAAATGTTTTGAAACTATGAAAAAATTATAACCACACTAGACATGCATGTGTTTTGGTCCCAAATAAATTTAAGGTCAAAATGACTTTTCAGCAGTTTGATTTATATTTTTTTGTCTTTGCCCTAGATACACAATTATAGTCCTCAAGCAAAGAAAGTGGTTTGAGATAATTCATGTACATGTACATATACTCCTGCTTTACCTGGACATTTAAAACTGCAAATTATTAACATGAAGACATGCTAAAAATTTATAAACAATTTATTACAACACATATCATACAAAAATACTGTACATACCACAGGATCTTTGACAACATCCAGAAGATTAATAATATTGGGCCCTCCCCTCAGATTCTCTAGAATTTTTATCTCTCTCTTGATTTTCTTCTTTTTAACTGGCTGGAATCGAAACATGGTTAAATCCAATTACAATTTGATGCTGCAAGTGGTAAGGTTTCAAGATTTAACCATGTACATACATGTACAATACTATTCTTACTGCTTCCTGTGTAATAATTTAAACTACATGTAATTGTAAAGTTCACATATTACTTCCTTCTTACTAATCAATATCTTGCTCAAAATGTTTCTTAACTGATGAAAAAAGAACAGTTTGGAAATTGCATCCTTTATCCAACAGGAGCATGCAGGCATCCAGTAAAAGTTTTTACTGTGTAGTCTCAAAGTGAAATTCCAATGCATCACAGAATTTAAAAATCATCAAAAGTTTTCTATTGACTCATCTAGTTAGGAGTAAAGGCTGATCTCGTCTGTTTTTTTACCCAAGACCCTTCTAAATTGGAATGTTCACTGGCAGCTGCCAGTTTAAAATGATTTCAGGTTATTATATCTACAACTACTGGTAGTAACAATTGTATCAATGTGCCTGGTACAAAAAGGAAAGCAATTAAAACTAGTTTTAAATCATTTTGGTATTAAATTCATTTTAAAATACAACATATATTTAGTAGTGTTTAGGGGTTTATTAGCATATCAGCATTTGCTGATCAATACCAATTTCTAAAGGAGTATGTCCCATGGTTTCCAAAATTAGATTTTTCTTTCCAACCCCAACTCTAATACGTGGCATAACAAAGTTCTTAGCTGATTGGCACATGAATGGTGTTGGATCAACAATTCAAAGGAAAAATACGCTGAGAAACTGTACAAATTGCCAAAATTACTACTTCCATTTAGTTACAATAGAAATGTTGGACTAAACCTAATAAGGGATTCCACTTGTTCATGGATTTTCTCCGATATATAGTTTGTACAGAAACATGTTTGTACTCCTTGCACAACACTGCACAGGTGTTCAACTATGGTTTACAAACTCCAGATGTACATCTGAACACATCTGATGAAGCATAGTGCTATGACTTCCTAGATAGTTACACAAAGCTGTAAATGTACATGTAGGAAAGTGAAAATAATTTTTGCTTTCTAAAAGATACAGTTGTAGTGTTGATCATCTAGTAACCTTAACATTATAAATGCTAGATCTCTCTTGAATTACCCAGAAGCCTCTTGCATAACAAACAAATCTCCTGGTCTCTGTACCCACCATAATACACATGTAAACCACTAAAGTTGACCATACTGCACTGCAAAATGCATACATGCTCACACCACACCAAAGACAAAGTAAATACTAACCTTTAAAATTTTTACAACCACTTTCTCCATGTCCTCACTTGACACATTTATTGCTTCAAAAACTTCACTATATTTTCCTCTACCCAGTTTGCGAACAAGTTCATAGTTATCTTGTTGACTGAACAAAAATAGATACTAAACATTAGCTTTAACAACACAAGTGTAACTCAAAAATTACAGAGCACTCTTGATACTGTTCTCTACAAAATCACAAAATCAATTTCCCCTGTACATATGTTCAGCATACTATTTATTGTTATTATTTTTTTACTTTGACTAGTAATAAACAAACTACCTCAAGATATTGATAAGTAATCCCTTCTAATCCAAAGGAAAAGAAAGTAAAAATGAAATAGAGGAAACACATGGCCATGAATTGCATTTATATCACAATGTATGGAAGATAGCAGCAATTGATCAGAGCTCTTTTCAAAATTGTTATGGTCATTTTGTCACATGCCCATAACAAAATAAAGAATTTACTTTTCTGATGTATTCACTAGTTTCTCAGATATACAGCAAATCTCCCAGTCTGTGCTATAGCTTCCTAAAAGGTAAAAATTTGGACTTTTGAAATTTTCCTGGATTTGAAGTGCATTCCATGTAACCAGCCATTAATTAGCAAATCTTGGAAAGGGAATGGGATGTGATGCAAACTCAAGCACTTCCAGAATTTGGTTTTTGAGAAAATAACATCAATGTGCATGTGCATTTAAGGTTAGAATGTAAGTTGCTTTTTCCGCACACAAACAGAAAATTTTCAATGTTGATGAGTACATCTTCATGCGATAATGCATTAACAATTGTTCTACACAATAAGCATATTTTTGGCTTCATTTCAGTGGTTGCCTTCTAAATTTGGTTATGTAAATGCTTCTCTCATTCTCTCAAAACTTCCAGCATGTTTCATACTCCCATGAATACACCCTGATGTACAAACTGATTGCTAATTTTGAGATACTGTTTTCCCTTTATGGACCATGGTAACATGTGCAATATTATAACTCTGCTGAAATGGCAAATTCAATTATATGCACTTCAGCTGAATTTCATTAAATATTTATCTGTTTTTCCCTCAGAATGTTGTATGACTTATGTGTGATGGTAAATTCTGAGAATTAAATACCTTAATCACATGCTTATCTGCAATGGCAGCTAAATCATGGTGGAAGGTAATAGCAAAGAAAGCCAGATGTGAAACCACCCCCTTGAGGCAGTGCATTTCTTCAAGATCAAATAAAACTAATCTTGATGAAAAGTATTGAGAGCTAAGCTCTATGGCAACTCTGATTTGAATATTAAAATAGATTACTAAGTTTGAAAAATATATTCTAAAAAAATCAATCCATCTAATGCCTCTATAATTTAATACCACAAAATATATCCTAAATTCTCCCCTAAAATTTCAAAATAACTTGTACACACAATGTTAATCAAAGTAAAGGTTACAGAAATCTCGCATAATTTAGCACAAAAATGTCAATAGAATTTGAAATTGCATACGCTACCGCTTAAAAGTCTATATGTAGCAATTACAAAACCTAATGCGTATGCTATATTGAAACGTGGAATTTCACGTTCAATAAAAACTGCTTTTTGCAAATAACAGTTTATTATCCTTAGATAGCAGACCGTTTCGTCACTCATGCTTCGTTTCGGACAATAAACCACGTTGGTGCACAACACTTGCGCTTGTCCAAGGCTTAGCTGGATTGTTAATCACTTAAACGAAAAAATACCGCTTTCACAAAGGCGTCTATTTACTCACTGATTTTCACGTCTAGTGAATTACAAAAAGGGAAAGAATGAGGAATACTTACCCCCATTCAATAACATGCGATTCATAATCCCAATATTCTCTAGGCCGGTGTACATTTACGTCCGAGTAGACTCTGGCACGAGCTGTGTTCGCCATCGTTCTGATAAACGCTTTCTTCTCGGCAGTTTTTGCCAAAGTAAAAGTTCTTCGGTTGCAGGTCTGATAAACCAGCCAAAATATTGAGCGTGTTATAATTCTTGTTTGCGTGTCACCCCTTTACAATGTGTTCCAAGCACTGAAACTTCGGCAGTTGCGAGCTCACCGGCGTCGTTCCAAACCCAAATGTCTCTTTGAACAATTTTTGATAACAATTCTTACCACTTTCTCGGCTATTTTCTTTACAATAACGCTATCAGTCACTGTGGTGAGAAATCATGGAAAAGCCTCATGCATGAAACATTCTGATGGGAAAAGGTATGTACCACAGAAAAAGGAGCACTAAGGGCAATTGCAAGAATATGGCGGCTGTTGAGACACAAGGAAATCAAGAAAAAAGGCATATGGTCAAAGCGAGGCTACGGAGACCTGGGCCGAGCGGAGAAGCCGACACTTCGGCTGGCGCGTGGAGTTGAATATGACTCGTTTTTCTGAGATATCTCGACGTTTTTATCTCAAAAACTCAGTTACTCCATTTGAAGAAGACTCCACTCATGAGTTTAAGGGTCACAGAAACATAAGTGCAGAGGAGGTTCCACCATGGTGTTATATTCCAGGAACAGACAGGCGATCACGAAAGGCGGTATCAAGGTAGTTATACATTCAAGTTTATCCTCAGAAATATCTCCATAGATGTCACAACAGTACACTTATTTCAATATTTTGATTTTATACTTAACGGAATAAAAAGGTTGATAATGTGTCATGAACCGTGGTATGGTGGGGTCAGCAAATTATTGTTATATGACATGTAAACTTATATTTACATAGGCTGTAAAAACCGGTAAAACTGGTCGTGACAGGAACTCTTGCGCGACTGTCACATGATCGTCCACTTTTTTTTAAAGCTTAAAATAGATTTGCATGTGTTAAGTATCCATTCAGGCAGCTGGTATGTCGGCTGATAATGTTTGTGGCCGAGAAATTGTCTGAAAATTGAACATTTTGGCTGTTAATTTTCGCATGTGAACAGTAAATTTTGTTTACTTTTTTGCACTTTCCTGAAAGCCGCAATTGAGATCAGCATTTAAATGTCACTATCACTCATTATCTTTTTCCATGAAAGTGATAAATGTGAAAAAGTGAAGCTCATTTGCTGATTTTTTCCCACTGGCAAAAGTATGGGTGATAATAGTTGTTATTATGTAGCTGGCAGCGCCTGTGGGCAATATAAAGCGAATCCTGTGTTCTGATATCGGTTGGCTACCTGAGCAGACTAGATTGGCCCGCCTTGCCCACTCAGGTTTTCTTGCTGAGATCCTACACAAAAAAAACAATGGGTTGAACAGACTTACAAAGTTCATAATTTTTGGACAACATTGGCGATGGAGTTGCAGATTCAAAAGGACAGAAGACAGTCAAAACAAAAAAATTAAGGATCCCAGTGGGTTTACTGTGCTGACAATTACATATGTAAATTTTCAAAAGACAAGATAGTCTACAGTATTTTAGATATTTGTGTAAGTATACTAAACCGGAAGCTCATCTTTTTTCATACCAGTTTTAGTTAATTAGGTAGGGTCAGCGGTCAGTGGTCAGCAAGAAAGATGGCAGTAAATTTTGAGCTTCATTAAATTTACAGCGAATTTAGCTTATCAAAGCTGCATTTTCCTCTTTTTTCTTCTTTTTTATACATACCATTACGGTTGGTCTAACAACAGAAGAATGCAAGAATTTGTTGGAGAAGGCTCTAGAGCCTCTATGCAAATCAATTGATGAAGTGAAGATGTCTACCACCACTGCAAACTCTAATTATAACCTTGACTACTATAAAAAATGTCAACGTGGCTCCGCTAGCCCCCATGGTTATTCCAGGCAGCCAGCACTCTAACTTTTACTTTTAATATTTTCATTGTTGTAATTCATTTTTGAGCAAGAGTGAGTACAATAAAGAGTGATCGATTGATTGATTGAAAAAAAATTTGTGAAATACTGCATAACAAACTGAACCACTGACCTTTCTCAGTTTTTTTTTTATTTTGGATAATGCATTATTGCTTGTATTTGTTTTTGGGGATCCATGTGACATCTCCTAGCTGAATTTTTTTAACAGCTAAGGAGAGAGAGCTGGGAGGTGGAGAATTTGAACCTTGCCAGGGTGGGGTGTGGAATTTGACCCAGAACTGTCTAGCCTTTCCAACAGAATAAACATGTTTTATCTTTTAATATTATGGTGTTCACTTTCTCAAGCAGATGGCTTGAGGAGAAGGAAGAAAGTCACAAAACAAGAAAAGTAGTGGTGGATAATCTTGCCTTTTACAAAAGAAATAATGATCAAATCTGGCACTTGGGTGGGGCATTTGAACACAATTTTGGCCAGAGAGGAGGAGGAGAATTTGAAAAAAAATCAGTCTTGATCAAGGCATTATTTCATGAACATAATTACCCAATGTTCCTTCTTTTCAGGAATATCAATGGGTTTTTAAATACTGGTAAAGGTGGTACCATTTATCTTGGGATTGTGGATGAAGGCAAGGTGAAAGGCTTACTGCTCACACAATATCAGGTGAGAAAAATTGAATTTGAATTTGCAATGTCAGTAATGATTAATGTTGAGCAAGGACTCTGTAATTGACCTCTGACTTTTGATAATATTAATTGTTTTGTCTTTAGAGAGATCATGTCAGAATTGCAGTAAAGGATGCCTTGAGTAGATACACTCCTCCTGTTCCTGAAGAATGCTATAAAGTAAGCTGTTGGCAGGATCGATCTTGTGATCATTAATTCTTGAAGCTCTGCTTTGATTTTCTCTAGGTGATAAGGATTAGCTATCAGAGTTAAACAGAAATGAAACATGTTGCAACTGTAGACAACAATTCTTTATTTATTTTATGATATCAAGGTTGAGATTATACCAGTCATTGATTCTGAAGAAAAAGTAGATGAGTCAACGGCGTTCCTTGATCTTCAAGATGATAGGTCAGTTTGTATGAGATTTCTGCACAAAATGTTCAATGTGGGGAATTATTTAAAAATAGAGATTAGAGGTGTGATTTTCTTTTGTAACTTAACAATATGTTTACATGTACCCATAAACTGACAACCCTATTGAGAAGTCCTGTGCTTACACAAATTGAAATGTTAATTTTCAGTATTCTAGCTTGTTTTGAGTATTAGTGGCCAATTCATTTTACATCTCCAGTGCCAGGGATTTGACTATCACTCTCCAATTTTAAGAAACTGAGTACATCAAACTGCAAACTGTGTTACATGCTGTGTAAGTCATGCAGGTAGTGAAGGGGTTAAACTATTCCACCAATGGGGTAACAAAGATGTTTTTTGATAGAAAATGTCTAGAAAAGTGCCAAAATTTAATATTGCTGGGTGAAGATCACAATTATGTGCAAAATACCACATATAAAAACAAAGTTTACCTAATTTTTGAATATAATTAAATCATATAAATCAAGCAAGACTGCAGCATCCTAGCCATAATGCATTTACATGTATGTGTAAGTTCTATGGTGTTGACAAACATTGAACTGTCAACAACAGTAACATCAGATCATGTACTCCCTGTTCACCGTAGTTGCAATGAAGTGGACAGTAACCGCTTGAGGCCACACATCCTCAGGACATCTGATTTCTGCTGGTGTGATAGCCATGCAAAGGAACAATTTTCTGAGGTAATTGAGTATATTTAGGAGACACTGTACACTTACAAGATATTTTTTACTTTCATGAGTTAATTTTTTCCTGGTTATTTTCATTCATTTTCAGTTTTTGATATTTCGTTTCAATTAAAAAAAAAAAAACTTTTTTGCAAGTAAACTTTTATTGCTTGAGAGGGGAGTTTTAATCTTTAAAAAGGAATTCCCTTCAAAGACAATTGCAGTTTTAACATAAAATGCCAACAAAATTACTATTATATAATATTTAGTAAAATGTCACTAAGCCAAAGTCACTTACATGTACCAAGTGTGTTTACTGTTAAGATTACTTACAAAATTAAAGCATAGACAAGAAATTGTTTTTCTATTGCTGCCCTTTCCATTTCAATGGGAAGAAATAAATAAATGGGAATTAAACAATGGACATTCCACTCCTGGCTCCTCTTGTCCATTGTCTCCAGATCAAAATTAATTGGAATTTGTGGTGTTGGTTTTTGTGAGGGAAAGAAAACTCAACCCACATGTGATGCCAAGTCTGTGAATTGAAGCTGAACCACAGTAGCAGAAGGTAAGCGCTGTCACCACTGTGCCACCCTTGCTCCCCCCCTCTCTTTATATGGTTGAGATTACTGTGTTTCCTTTCAAAAATAAAATATAGACAAGGAATTTCTTTTTCTCTTGTTTCTCTTTCCAGTTAAATTAAATCTTGAAATTTTTAAAATTTTGTTTGTTTGTTTGTTTTTTTCAGGGATTCCCTCCCTCTCTCTATGTGGTTGAGATTACTGTGTTTCCTTGGAAAAAACAGCAGCTTAAGATAGAGAGAGGCCGTATTCAATTTGACCTCCATCCTGTGTATGAAGACGAGGAGGGCAAATGTCACTTTAGAAGACAAGCAAGCTTAGTTCAGGTAAGTTGAAGTGTGTACTACATTTAATCATGTAATCTTCAAAATTAATAAGATATCTAAAGTTTCCTTCCTGATCTGTCTTGTTGAATTTTTACCCCTTTTCTTCATTTTGCTTGGGTGTTATATGTACTTGGAAGTTACTATTTTGGTGGTGAGAAAGACACTCTTATCTGAATTTTTCCCTTGCAGTATTCAGTTCAAGAAGTGGTGGAACTTACAAAAGCAGAAATAAAAAATCACTTTATGCCTTTGCTGTTAAGGTATTTATGTGACTGAAGTTGAAATGATTTCAGAAAATTTACATTAATTTTCTCACTAATTTTTCTTAAATGTTTTGTAGATTACCAGATAATAACTTTTCAGATCATTTTTCAATAATAACTACAAATCTGATATGAAGTAAAAAGCAACTTACTTGATATATTCTTTCAAAATTGAACATGTAATTGACATCTATGTGCATCTTGGAGAGGTAACTTAGATTTTAGAGTTACTGTTTGTTATTTGAGTTCTACATTGCACAGAATGTAATCTAATGTCCAGATTGCATGGCTCAATATTTATGTTAGATAATACATGTAGATACATTTTTACTTTGACAAAAAAATTATAGATCGAGTGTATTCTGCTGCCTTTTGCAACCCCAGGCTCACATTGTCCAAAAATTAAGGAATTTTTTCTTTCTTGCACGGGATCAAATTGGGCAATCCTTAGCAGCCAAGATGGACCCATCTAGCCTGCTGTGGTAGGTAGGATTCACTTCAGCTTGCCAACAGGCACTGCCAGCGATATAGTAAGATGACAATATTAAATCATTAGCCTGTAAGTGTCGGGTGACTTATCTTTTTCTTCATCTTTCTCTTTAGTCTCAGAGATGAGATGAAAACCATCCGAGATAGGCACAAATTACACAGCTGACAATTGCCAGGAGCTCAAGTTCAAGAAAGAATGTTGCAGCCAGGATGCTTCTCAATACTTCATTTTGCAGTTTCCTTGGAGGTTCACTTAAGACAGCCATCAACAAAAGTGGAATTGTTTAGGCACAGTTACAATGGCTTACAAATCTACATGTACCTTTCTTAGTAGAGATGAAACAGTTTATGTGGAGAATAGGTCACATGTTACTAGTGGGCAAAGTTGTGAACAGTGTATCAACTGAAATCCCCTCATCAAGAGGGTTTAGTTCTGAATGATTTAAAGCATTTGGAAATACAATTTACAGCATAGTAATTTTGACATGAATGACCTTCAAATCTTTATGGATGTACTTCTTTTCAAGCTCCTTGATGCTTTGATCATGGCTCTAAGTTGTAATGGAAGCTCTTGGAGATTTTGGTCAAACTTTGTTTTTTGGTTGTTTGTTTTGTTTTACTCAAGAATCTTCACACAGCCCAAATTAGTAAATCTGGCTATCATACAAGAGATTTGCAGTAGTATTTTTACCAAAAAGCTTTGTTTAAATTTTATTACTTTTTTTGAAATGTAAATAGAGAGATGTACCATTAAATGTATAAACTGCATGTAAAAAAAATTGGTCTGACTCATAAATTTTGAATCCTCAGTACACGTAGGGCAAATTGACCATGTGCTTATCATCAAAAATTTTCTGTACTTACTGAAACTGCACTGCGCAAAATTCATGGCAATGGAATGAACAACTCCACATCATGTTGAAATAGGTACAATTCACTTTCATTCCTCAATGGCATAGGTGACACAAGTTGAAACTTAAATAACATATGATTACAAAAGTTACACAATATATGATATAGAGAAATAACAAACATTAGAGAAAGAGGACTATAAAACACTTAAATTGTTACAGCCATAGAAAAGATCAAGATTGATACTGCTAAGGCCAAAAAAAAAAAAAAGGAAAACAAAAAGGATGAGTGAAAGCGGCAGTATGTTACTTAACTGCACTTAGAGTAAAAAACAAGAAAACAAGCAAACTATTGCTATATGTACATCCATAAATTATGCAAAGTAGCAATAAGGCAGCAATAAGATGGCAATAAAATGACAAAAAAGGCACTAATGAAACAATAAGTATAAACGTTTGCCAGTGACAGGATGAAAAGACTTGAAGAATGAACTTTACACAGGCAAAGAATCCAACAAAAAAACTGTTCCACTTAGAGCCTTCACTTAATGTACAGTATCTTTTCACACAGCTTATTTGATGAGAACTCTCACTTACGTCAATATTTATCAAGTTCAACAAGATTTGACCTCTTGTTATCCATGATTATTGCAATTATAATAGCTCTGATAAGTGACTGGTATACAAATTGACATCAGTGAGAGTTAAGAGCAATGCTGGGTCATCTTAGTTTAAGAGAGCTGAAACTAACTCCACTCATGATCACTACACATACACCACTTTCCATTAATTTCTTTATTCAAGATGACAAAGCCAAAGATACACTGTTTAGTCAACAGATTAGCATTTGTCTGCTCCTTACAGAGCAAACTGCAGTTTCAAATTGCAGATTAGCATTTGTCTGCTCCTTACAGAGCAAATTGCAGTTTCAACATTTCCACCCTGGTAAATGAAGGCTGTGAATGATTGCTTTAGATTTTTTGGGCTTTCACTAATGGTCTGATATTCTTTTTTATGTCAAGTGTTTGTTAGCCTCTCATGCTCATGTCCTAGGTTTGTTATCAGCAAAAAGAACATTTGAAGCTATATGGAGGGTACAACAGTTGAGAAATGAGGTTTAATGTTGGAGTCTTTCCAGCTTCAAAAGTGGGCTTAGTGATGAAAATATTGTTTTGAGGTTAAAAGAAAATATATAAAAGTTAAAAAAAACAAACAAACAAACAAACAAAAAACAGAAAAATAGACGAAATATTCACAGCTGCCTTCAGTGTAGGATCTGTTGCAGAGTGTTGATGAGATATCACCATTTCAAAATTGACTTGACGTAGATCTCTTTGTACTTTGTCCCAATTTAATTTTGCCAAGTTAGCATTATTTTTCCTCAGGAATTGCTGTGAAAATCCTCAATCCATGCATACTTTTGACTTCATCTCCAAGGGCCTATAATTGAAAGAAAAAAAATTAATGATCAATAATAATGATTGCACAGTAATATGATTAAAAACTATATTTCACTTTGTATTCTATCAGTGGGGAGAGATCAAATGTAGCATTATCGAGAATCTTTTAGCCTTTGACCTCTAAAAGTGAGGGGTATCTATTTTCTCCTTACAATATCAGCCTTGAATCAAATGCAAGGGTTAGGAGAATAAAGGAAACGATCATCAATTTAGGAAGCTCCTGATTGTTAATAAAATTCTCCTTGTCAGTAAAGAGAAAAAGGGGTGTTAAGAGATATATATTAGGTTATAATGGTTTAATAACAGATTAATATGTTCAACAAGCAAGAAATAAAACGATTTTCTTGTGCAATTTCAAGATTTTTGAGTAGTAGAAAATAACAACAAATTGAAAATCTATACTTACTTTATTGACAAGGCGATGCTGTTGCACTTGTCTCTTTCCTCTGAAGTCTTCAGATTCAACAAATATTTCATACATGGCACCACACCCTCCTGTATGCAAGTTTAAAGAAAGAGCAAAATGACTGAATGCAGTCATTATTTTTCACATTGTATGTTAATTCAGTAATCACTGCTTTGAAAAGATACCTCAATCCCACTATGCATAGTTTTTAATTTTGCTTGTTTGCTTTCTCTTCTTCTTTATTAGTGGCCAGTTATCTTTTGATGGCAGGGAGGTTGGGGGGAAGGGGGGGGGGGGAGAAGGGGCAGAGGATTTTTGGGATCACATGGCTTCCAGGGGAAATGGAGGGTGGATCAGCCCAAATTCTGCAAACTCCTTCCCCCTTCCCCAGGCAAAAAATAATGACCGATTTTCCTTCTCTTTGCAGTCGGTTTATAAACATTCGCGTATACCAACCTGAGATGTCCTTGACGGCAATTTGTGAAGCGCTGAAATTCTGTTTTAAAATTTCTGCAATTTTTTTTTCACCTTCAGACTCAGCCTGTATTTGAAGAGATCTAAGAAAAACTCCACGAGGTAGCAGACCCTAAGGAAATAATAATAACAATACTTAATTACTACGATTTCCTATTTAGCATGTAAAAATTCCTCTACAGAATGATGCGAACGGCAGCTTACGGGTTATATCGCTGTTTAACTCGGCCCCCATGAAACAAGCAGGGTACATAGACATTCTACAATTTTCTTTTATGATAAACAAGCCGGTTATTAGTGAGGAATGGAAAGTTTTCCCATACATACTCACCAGAAGTCGTCCTCTAGCTAACACGATGCAGCTCATGACAAATTCCACTTCACAAAGGAATTAGTCGTGACATCGTAAATGAACAGCTATATACCAAAACCTTTACGCTGACTAGTTGTTAGTGCGGTTGCACTTTTCGGCCCTGAGAACCCGATGCAGGGAGGATGGAAACTTTTCATCGTTTTAATGAGCATTGCCTGGCAACTGATTTTAGTAACCGAATATTTTACCGATAAAGAGGCCAATAGAATATTTTCAAATGGTGAGTTACTTTTCTGAATCATTTTCTAAAGTTTCTTTAGTTGTTCTGCTTCATTAAAAAAAATTAGTGTAGAGTGGCCGTTCCATTTGCCTCCCCAGGTCCCTCTTCCTTCTCTCTTTAGCAGGAGACATCTCCCTGAAAAATGTATCTTAAATAATTTTGAACACGCGATTGTATTTCCAAAATGAATTTCTTTTTAATAGCTGAGTAAGAAAGCTTCCTTTTTTTCTTTTCTCCTTTTTATTTTTTCTTTCCTCTGGAGGTGAGGGAGGGGGGGCTGGGGGTACAATAATGTATTGAAACTGTGATATTTTCTATCTTGAGGGTTACTACAGTGAGTTCCCTTGCAAATGGATATTCAAATTAAATGATTTAATAATAAGCATGTGTTAAGGGTTGGAGATATACCTTATTTAAAAAGTAAATCATGCTTTGCAGTCTGCAGAGTATGGTAGCTGCACATGAAGTATGAATAATTTTTCTAAAACCATCATTGTTTATGCTAGAATTATAGCAATCTATAAGGCACCTGTAGAGCCAAGAGGCAGTATTGTTAACCACACATGTGATTGAGATGCACTTCAAAATGGCTCTATTCACACAAGATCTCATTATTCTGTAGAATGGCTAGGAATATGATGGGTGCTGGTGTAAAATTGTTGGCATTAACTAGCTTACAGTTCTGACATGAGTGGCCAGAGGTCTATAAATGGAAAACATACTGAACAGAGAGGCTTTTTGTTTATTCTTAGGAAACTTCTCTTTACCACCAAGTTATGATGTAGTCATTGGTATCTTATCAGCAAGGGGTAATACTGAGCAGCGCCAAGCACTCAGAGAAACATGGGTTGGACATGCCCTACAACACCCCTCCCTGGGGCAAAGGTACATCATCATGTATATTTGGGTTTGTTTTCATCTCTGTCTATGCTCTATATATCTGTAATATTTGTTTTCTTGATAATAAGTGTTTGATATTTCAAATGGCCTACTGGTATATGCACAGTTAATAGCTGTATGATTGGAAAATTCTGTAAACAGTGTCTTTATGTAATGGTTAATTTTATAAAAATGCAGTTACAATGCCTAGTAATCCTGTGTGTACATGTTTGTCATAATCTTTACAGTTTTCCTTTAAATGCTCCACAGGATATTGATCAAGTTCATAGTTGGCAGTCAGCCATGTCCCATACCAGCATTAGACAGGCTTGATCAGTATTCCTGTGAACCAGACGTTGTTGTTGACCCAGGTATTTCAATCCTTTCATACTTTTCTTCTTTGATATTACTATCAATACATAATATCAATGTTTAACCTTAATTGTGGGAGTTTAAAACTAATCACCAGCAGATTAGAAGGAAAATATAACTTTTTTTGTAACTGCTAATTGCGGCCTAACTTTTTCTCACTCTTAAATTAGACATAAGTTCTTTACATGTTAATAATTAAAAATGGATAAAACCTATCACCTTTGTTCTTATGAGCTGGGTGCATTGAAGACTTTCAGTTCAAAATGTACTTTTACATATTGGAGGTGGTTTCATTGAATAAAGGGGGTAAGTTTCTAAAGGAACTGTGGTGCTACATGGTTTGGGGGTAATACAAGATAATTTGGTTTTATCAGCTGTGTTGCTGTGTTGCTTGGAATTTTAGCTTACAAACCCTTTGTGGTAGCCAATTAACATCATCAACTCAGTTGTTAATATTAATTGAAAACTTTTTTTCAGTACTGCAGCAAGACATCATAGCTTACATGGTTCCTGAAGGAGCAGTTGGATATCACTATCACAATGGCCCCTTGGGTATGGACTTCAGGGTAAGTGATTTGAGTAGCTATCAGATAGAAGCTCCAGCAGGCATTCTGAAGGATAACTCTTTGTGGGGAGTGCTAACTACAAGTGGGAAGGTGGTGGACCAGACACTTAACACTTGGATAAGGAACTTATTTCCTCTGCAATGCCTCTCTTCCTTCATAATAAAAATAGCAGTGTAGGCTAGCTGTTGCTTAACTGTTGTAGAAATCTTATAATGTATTTTGCAGGTAAAATGTAAGCAATTGACTTTTCATTTTGTGGGCAAAGCAGTTATCTCAGTTGCTTTATGCCATAGCAGTTAGGATAAGCTTTGGCAAATTGTACACAGTTAGTTGCTTGTCAGTATAAACTTCCATTAAGAATTTCCCGATTGTTTGTTTCAATGATTTGTACAAGACTGAATCCTGTAAATGCTTGGCCATCTACACCGAACAGTTGTCTCACTTGTTAACTAGATATATGATTTATTTCCTTGAAGGTGAATTTTCCTATAATTGTCACTCAGCTTGGAGTATTTGACAGCAATTCAGATGGAATTAAAAGTCAGCTGACAGTTCGTCTTTACGACAAAGTCTCACAGGTAGGGGGTTAACCCTTTAAACTCTATGTCTGACTAGCATCTAATTTCTCCTTACAATATCAACCCTGAATCACACATGAAAGTCAGAGAATAAGGGAAATGATCATTTACTAAAGAGGCTCTTGATTGTTCAACAAACTCTTCTTGTCAGTATCGTGGGATTGATTTGATTGTTGATCAGTATACTTGTCTCATTTTAAGGATTACATTCTGTCCATGGCAGATATGTTCTTCTGTAAATGTCTCTTCAAATAGTTTTTTTTCCTCTATAAAGAGCATTTCACGACTTAGAATGAATGTAATATTTTTTATTGGCAGGCGGAAGTACTGAGTGTGAACTTTACCCAAGATGAACCTGGAGAGTTGATTGGTGGAAGTAGATTTAAACCTGTTGACCAGTTTCTCTTGCCAAAGGTTGAACATGCTATGCATTTTTACAAATCTTTGTGCATATAAGTTTACTCACAGTCAGTAACTGATAAAAAGTAACAATCTTACAGGTTCAGAGGTGATATGTATGCCCTTTACGTTGAAGATCACTGATCCATTGCACAATCCAACCTTACTGAGGGGGGGGGAGAGAACTTGTGTCCCAATTACTTTGGCAAACGATTGTAACTATAGAAAAGAAAAAAAATACATCACAGTACGATTTCACGCATGTAGTTATCTGCTGAAATCAGCCAAGGAAGCCACTTTAAGCACAGCATCCATTGCGTTACATTATTACCTTAGTTGTTCGGCTTGTTTAACTTATCTCCACTGGAATTCTTTTGAACAACAATTAAGCATTGGAATTTTGTGTTTTACAAATGTAGAGCGGCTTTTTATCAATATATATTTTCAGGGATTTGAAGGTTCCATCGTTGGAGAGAACTTCAGTTTGTCTGATCCCAGCAGTAACAACCCTTTGGTACATGGTGGATTTGACAGTGGTGGAGGTTTGATTTCATTTCACGGTGTAAGTGACAATTAAAGGCAGTAAAACAAATAGACTCCGAGCAGTCCCTCCTTTTCGGCGAATTCCGTCACATTAGTCCAAAATTTAAACTAATTTTTAATTAGGTGTTGAAAGTATGATTCCAGTTTTCTGGTTTTGTTTTAGGTGAGTCGCTTTGGAGTGAAGCAAAGCGTTTTCCCAGAATTTGAAGAAAAATTCTTTGAAGAGGACAACCAATATGGTGCTGGATCATTTATGTATCGCGCTTATGGTAAGGTCACTTTTAGATGCTACAACTTAAATATGATAATTGCGAAGAATAACTCCCTGAAACAACTTGTCGGCGAAAATTTTAGTAATGGTCAACTGGTAACTTGTCTGGAGGCTCACGGTTATGTGTCGTATGTCAATTGCCTGTCGGCCGACAGTTGGCCGACGGTTGGTAGAGGGAAGCTTTTGTCCACATATTACCGGTTACATGAACACCTTTTCTCGCAGAGGTGATGATCACTGGTGGGTAAAAAATAATTAGACGGTCTCTGGAGTAATTACTTTTCCTCTGAGATGCATAAGCCGAGACTCAAACTAACTCTTTGTGATTTGTGGTATGACGTTACGTCCTCAAGCGGTGAACTTTTCAGTTGTAGATGACGAATTTACGAAGGAAACGATGGAGGAAAGGAAGAGAGAAAGGACTGAAAGAACGAAAATGTGGCATAAAGTTTTGTTGCGGGAAGAAAAAGAATTGGAACGAGAGATGCAGCTTTATGATGATATTTTGATGGTGGACGTTGTAGATGTTTACCGCAACCTTCCAATGAAATTACTTAAATTTTATTCTTGGTGAGAATTGTTTTTGCCCTTTTGAATTAATTTGTGTTGCCAACGCTTACGTTATTCGCTCGTTTGTTCGCTCCACGCTCGATCATTAGTTTTTCATCCCTGTGTTTTCTCTTGGTAATTTTCTGTTACTTCAGTCACTTGCTGCTTTGCTTTCTTGTACCTCTCCACTGCTCACCTTTGCCTCTGCGTCTTCGCTTTTCTGTCTCTCCACCGTCTTTTGTCCCAATCGTTTCCCCCAACCACCTTTGTTAAATTTTGTTTTTCTCTTCATATACCCCTCTGGTATTTATGATTGCGTCCTGGTGTCTTCTTGGTAAAATGTTCTGCTTTTCTGTTTACTCAGGGTTGCACTGAATATGAAGTTTAACTTCACTCTCAAAACCGACGATGACTGCTTTGTGCACTTAGAATCAATTGTCGAGGTAAAAGTGGGCTTTAAGCTCAGTTGCAATCGTGTTTTCTATCATATGCCGGTTGCTTATTTTCCTCGCGTACTCTGTTCAGCTTTTTCTTGATTTGTTGTTCCAGGGACTCAATGATAGAAAGTTGCGAGGGAAAGAGCGCACTTGGTGGAGCAGGTATTTAGCTGTGACTTATACTGGAATATCTTATTTAACTTAATTCAGTCGATACGGATTGTGGATGTACAGTTAGAGCTGCTATTGAGGTGATAAGTACTTAGTGAACTTCGGGCAAGGGCCAGGCCATTGGTTGCTTATTTGCGGTTTACGCAACCAAGGGAACTTACAACGTAAAGGGTGGAAAGTAATTTCATCGCACGTTCTCAGTTTATTTCATGACAGAGAGTTTTCGGTGTTTGCCACTGTAAACCCTATTCGTCTCCCAACAGGTTTCGCACTGCTTGGCCAGTGGAGCGCGTAGGAAAATGGCGGGAACTTGACTACACCGCTCCTGTGTACCCTTCATTCGCCTGTGGCGCTGGTAATATGTTGTCTGCTGACCTAGTGAGATGGCTGGCGTTGAACGCCGACAACCTTAAACCATACCAGGTAGTGATGCGCCTCATTAATATACTACCCAAGGGGCCCCGGGGAATAATCTCTCCGCAAAATGAAATTTTCAATCAAGCATCGAAAGTAAACCAATTCTGCAGAAGGTTTTTTTCGCTTTGCTACGTGAATGATCTTGAAAACTTTCTTCATTCTCTGAACCATCACCCTCAAAACTAAATCTCGACTTGGTCACTGCGATTTTGCGCGCTTGGAGCCGTTTGCAAATCATTTAATCCAAGTTCTTCATAGCTTCTATATGATATCCATCTTTGTCCTTATTGGCTGTGGCGATCACTTTCGCTTCTAGTTTCCGGAACTCAATCCAAAAGCGCTTTACACCACTGAGTGTAAGCAATTCTACTCATTTCCTCTGCAGGGTGAAGATGTTTCTGTTGGAATTTGGCTTTCGGCGTTGGGACCAAACTTAGTCAATGTAAGTCAGCTTGTTTTCTTATTTTATATTATTTTTCACAAGGATCATGATCAAGCTTGTTTTCTTTTTGCGGTTATGTCTGTATTATGTCATGAGTTCAATCTTGAATGCAGTTGAACTGCCTCGATAGAAAAAAAATAATACAGGCTAGGTACTTGAATCCTTGCCGCTTGTCAGATTTGACGGCTGATGCTACATGTGGACTTTTCTTTGAAGGATTACCGCTGGTCATGTGGACGCGAGTGTGATACGGGAACTTTCACTTCCCCTGAAAATGAACCCGAGGAACTGCGAGAGATGTGGGCTGATCTACAGGCATGTGGGGATCCCTGTGGCTGTTCCTAGATCACAAAGTTTATTGAACTTCAGAGGTGATTGTTTTTTAAGTGCATGGTTTCCTTTTAACTAAAAGGCAACCTCAAGAACTTTGGGACATCCCATGAAACCCCTGGCTCTTGAAATTACTCGAATAATGAAGGTTATAACTAATTAACTCACTGAATAAGTTACTTTATTTGTAGCTTTCTCTGGGAGCTAAATGTTACTTTACAACAATTAGAATATTTGTACCAAAAAGATTGGAAATTTTTTAAAAACTTGTGTTGAAACAACTTTTATACTACATTTTTACCAAGGGTCTTTAAATTTCTTATATATGTTTCTTTTTTTAAGTAAGAAAAACTTAGCTAACTTTTAGCTGGGAAAAAACACTTTGAACTTATCCTAAATCTTTAATAAATTAAAAGCCTAGTAATCTCTCTCCCATTTAAGGCTTGATTTTATTATCATTAATCCCCTTTGTCCACAAAGAGTGTAGTGCGGTTTTCATTTCTTTGTTGAATTCATTGTTAAAGGATAGAGCGAGATACTCTAGAATGGCGCGCTTATCTACAGAAGGCTTATCTACCTCAAGAAATCGGTTCTGGATCCATTGAAAATTAAAATTATCGTTTTTAAATAGTGCTCGTAAATTACAAATTAACAGAAAAGAAACATTGGCATATTCAAGGTACTGTGCCAAGTGTTAGACAAACGACCATAGTTCGGGATATGCTGGAGGCAGATTCGTCTGCTGTTGCGAGGTCTGGATTAAAGTGGAAGTTTTTAAAAATAAACATTATCCTACTAAGTCCCTTAGGAACTTCGTTTGACATGCTGGAGCAATTTTTAGTAGAATGTCGAAAGTAATCAGGGATTGTTTTGCTTTTGCTTTACTTCGCTCTGTGATTGGTCCAAAATAATTCGCAGCACTCTTTCAACCAATCAGATGTAATACCTAAACCAATCATGGCTTGGTTGCTCACATTTTCCCGTGCTTTTGGTATTGTTCGTCGGTTTTACTTCGAGTTCTCATTGGTTCTTGAAGGTATTTTTATTGCTTCCGAAATGAAAATACCTTTAAGAGGCCATTGTGGTTACTTTGGTTTTGGTTTTACGATACAATCAAAAAAGCGTTCTAATAGAGAGAAATCTCTAATCAGTGAGGTTTTTAGTAAAGTTCAAACTGTTGGTTTTGCGAGGCACTCCGGCAAGTTTTTATGCACAAAGCCAACTGTTACTGAGAATCAGATGCGTTTTTCTGGGAAACCTCTCTGCTATGCACGGAAATCGAACTGAGCGATGATGTTGAAGATGATGCCTGATTCAGCTCCTGTGGAAAACTCGCTTCCTGGCTTTCATTAACGTTGGACATCAGATTCTTGGAGGACTTTTCCTTGTCTCGTTGGCAGTGAGGTAGCTGTGATGGCGGCAGCTGTGATAGTGGCAGCTGTAATGGCAGTCGTTTTGCTTTCAGATCACCTCCTGTTTCTTTAACAGGTGCGGTGAAAGCTCGCTGTCGTCGGCGAGAAGTTATACTATCTACTGGATGGTTGTCATCTGTCATCAGGCGAGACTGAAGAACAGCTAGTTTTTCACTCAGTCGCCGCATCTCGTCCTTTTCAGAAAAGTAAATATTTGTTTCATAGTAAACTTAGACTAACAATTTAGTCGCATCCGTCTATAGAGGAAGATGAACAAATAAAGCATTTTTCCCTCAAATGTCTAGTTAGATTTTGCATTGCATTTGCTTCACGATGATTTTCAGTTGTTTTAGAGAAAGAAATCCTCGCAACCTGCTAAAAGGATAAATAGCTTTGGGCGAACGAATTCACTTCGTTGTCGAGTCATATCACTTGATGAGTTATTTAGAAGGTTTAAAAACTGTGTCTGTTTTTTAAATACCCGCGCACTCAGCGGTGTGTGACATATTTCAGAAGTCTAATGATCTTCTAAAGTAAACTGTCATTAAGTAACCAAATTGTGTGGCTAAGAGGATTTCAACCTGTCCGCCGAAATCTTTTAACAGATACAAACTTAGAATGTTCCAATTTAGTCATTCGCCTTCTCTGGCGCTTAGACCGGTCGTACGTATCTTACGTACGTATCGGATTGGACTGAAGAAGCTTTTAAATCCAAATTGCAGAGAGAGTGTCAATTGTGTGACCTTTAACATGTTTTAGATGATTTTATGACAGGAAAATGATTTTTTTTCGGCTTGTTCCTATTTCATCAATTCCTTTCTGCTGTTTGATTGTAATTAATGTAGATGTGCCAATGCAGGATCCAAAAAATCATTGCATTAGCATGAGTTCCAGTTTATGGGTAATTGATCCAAAAATGAGGCTGAGCCGTTAAAAAGTAATCGCTTAAGTCAGCGCACGCACTTTCATTCTGTCCATCTGATCAATGCACCTCCGACCATCTTAGAAAAGGAGTGTCATTGTCCTACCTTCAATACTTGGTTTTCTTTCATCAATAAGTCCTCTTGGTTATAAGGTATTCTTTCCACAACAATTTCGTCATCTGATACAAGCATGTTGTTGTTGTTTGACGGAACAGCGTTATTCACTGATTTTTGCATTTGGCGTAACAACAAAAACTAATGAAAGGGAAAAATACGCACATAAGATGCTACAATCTGACGAAAATAAATCAAATCTCATAGTGGTCTTACATCCCTTATAACAGTTGGCCATCTTGGCCACTTAAAAGACATCCAGACTAAAAACTTCCTGTAAACGCTCGGCAAACCTCCTCCCCTGTCTTTGATCTTGTGCCCTTCGTTACTTTGACAAAAATACGGTGTTCTAATTCATTAATTAAGGGTTGGGGGCGTTTAAGTTTAAATTAAATTTTATTTGGAAGTCAATTTTAGTATCTTCTTAAAGTACTGTGGATTTTTTAGCCAAACAAACGCACAATGCACACGGTATAGCATAAGGCTGGTTGGCATTTACAAGAAGAGACTTATCTTTTGACTGATCGAGATAGAGGGTAACCTTGCTATGGACATTTAATCGTGACTAAGAAGGACTCATTAGGCAGGAGTACACAGGAGAACCTAAAGAGAATTGTACAAATACAAAAACTCTACTTTTTTTTTTTCAAATCAGAAAAATAAACTTTTCCTTTAAGTTTTTGCAACAAAGCCGTGTGATTGGTGGGCCAGAAGGCTTAACTCAGACAGGCTCATGTTCTCCAGACAGCTACACACGTCAGCTTTCGCTGTTTTTTATATGTTCTGGACTAGCATCTCTTCCTGTGGGGAGTAGTTATGCTCCTAGTTGCTTCATGCTACATGGAAACCGGGGTTAGCTGTAAGTGGTTGGGTCATGGCCAATGGGCTTGAGTGCAGGCTTTACTTTACCTTATGGATGAACATCAGAAATAACACAGTAGAACAGTCCATGTGAATCAGAACAAAGTCTAGAGCATACATCATATCTGGGTTGGTTCTTCTTTTCGTTGTGATCCTGGTATGGCAGCAAAATTGACAGTTAGAACTGAGATTCGGAAATGAGTTGTAAAAAGTTGTTGTAGTCTTATGAACTAGCTGGTGAGATATATCAAGCCGACGAACAAAACTCAAAACTGAAAAAAATGCTCAACCAAACAATGAGGGAAACTCACGTTAGACTTGGCAGATCATCAATGAATTGGAGTTAAAAAGAACAACGCTTGGGGGATTCATTTATAAATGTCGACGATGATAATCTTTGAGATCTGCATGGAGTGGCTTTTGCTTTCAGTTACTATCTTTCAAATGTTGAGTGCAGCTTTTCTCCGTTTTGTCTGGGATTTGGCATTAGCTTGAGAGGGATTCGTTGCATAAAGGACTATATATGACCATATATGGGACTTTCAGTCTGGTAATGCTCAAGATCATCAATGAATTGGAGTTTAAAAGAAAATCGCTTGGGGGATTCATTTATAAATGTGATAGATTCGACTATGTTAATCTTTGAGATCTGCATAGAAGGTCTTTTGCTTTCAGTTCTGCCTTTCGAATATTGCGCGCGGCTTTTCTCCAATTGGTTTGGAATTTAGCATAAGCTTGAGAGGGACTCGTTGCATAGAGGACTATACATGACGATATATGGGAGTTTCAGTCTGGTGATGTAACTCTCTTGGTTACAAGGAAATAGAACACCCCAAAATGTATTTCATGTAGTCTTGCACAAACCTGACCACCATAAGGAAACTGGTGACGAACATAGCGTTATAAATGGCCCAGCTAATGTACTTGCTCTCGTTATAAGCTGCCGGTGCATTTCTGATCTTGTAACAAAGCCACATTCCCCAAATCAACAACGCAATGTCCCCGGCTGAAAATGGTTTGCACTCGTTAATCATGATTAAAACAAATTTTTTTTTTTCAGTGGAGGAAATGTTAAATGTAACTTTGGGTTTACCTGATTTGCCTTCGTCATTAATGGGAGAAGACCCGAACCACTTTTTCAACCAGTTAATAAGACATTATTGACTTCCTCCCTCTGGTTTTCTGCGCTTGGAACTGGCTGCGCGGTATTTTTTTATATGACGCTAAAAGAGAATTGCGCTTTTGTAATGAACCTCGCTAAGATCAGAACCTTCTTAACGACAGCGACGACCGTGAGTGAAGTGTGAATCACATTCTCAGGGCAGAATCTGAATTTCATCAGATCACTTGTACTATTCAGAATGTGCGATTGTACAAAACGATTAAAGGATCTATAATGTGTTGTGTTCCCATTGGCTCTTTGCGATATGAATCTGGTTTCGATTGACCATTTTTAGAAGCGGAGCTCTTGGCGCGCGAAGTGAGCGCACAGGGAAGCCCCATATCCGTATTAGTATTATTAAATGATTTCGAGTGCAATTTGGAATAAATAAGCACGAGTAAATTTTTTTAAAGACTAACAAAATTGCACGAGCCCGTAGGGCGAGTGCAATTTGTGGTCTTTGAAAAAATTAACAAGTGCTTGTTTATTCCAAATTGTACGAGAAAAATCGTGTGATTACGTGTTAATAATATACATGGAAAAATACGAGATGGCCTATCATAATTAAACATAAGCAAAGCGCGCATCAAGCGCAAAAATAATTTATTCAAACCGTGCGTTCGTTCAAAACAACCGCGTACGATCAAAACAATAACTGCTTTTAAAAAGGGAAAATTTATAAAAGACGTCCGAAATTAACCATCGCTAGATCAGTTACATACCGAATATGACCGTAAAATCAAACCAATTCTCTACACAGCGCGTAAACTTCAGGTCATCGGATGTCCTCACCACTTCAATGTCTGGCGGCGCCATTGCAGTCCATACAGTGAGATAAGCAGAGTATAACAGTACTAATAGACCTAACCGTCTCAACAACACCCCGTCTGATAAAGCGAGCCTCTGGGCCGATCGCACTTGAAATATTAATGCCACCCTGCAAAGAACTAGCATCAGTCTTCTAGTGTTAATCCCTCTTTCGATATGTCTGTCTACTATTTGTGAGACAGACCGTCTGTTTGTCTGTCCGCTTTCCTTGGGCTTGTCTTTATCTGAGGTGGCGAAGGATTAATGGCTTTTTACGGCTGAGAACCTCCTATTGGCTCAGGCTGTTTCTTCAGTTTGCCTGTCTTCCTGATAGTCTTTCATTTTGCCTTTCGCCAACTCTTTTGTTTGTGAGCCTGTTTACTTCTCTATAGAAAACTACTTCACGAAATGAAAATGCACACATACCTCCAGGTTTTAAGTGCCAACGATCCATACACCAGAACGAATCCAATATGACGCAACCAGGGTCGTGCAATACAACGGAGGCTTGTAGGTTCGAAGTATGAAACGATGAGCTGGAAATAGATGCAAATAATCACGCTTAAAAACGACAGCGGAATAACAAGGTTACAAAGACACAATTATGAAGGAGAATGCTTACCTTTGAGTACATTAAGGTAGCGCCCAACAGTATTATTTCCATGAAGCGCGGGCTGGAGGCCTTGAAAATCTGAAAACGAAAAAAGGGACAGACCGAGAAAAAAGTAAACAAAACAAAGACAAGTTCTGGAAAAGCTAATTTTTAAACCTGATCGTATTTTTTATTTCAATGCGAATTATCCTTTTTCTATAATCAGGATTGGCCTGAATGCGGCACATAACTGGATGCACTTCATGTAGCTTTCTGATATAGCCGTACCAGAAAACACTGAAAAGCCAATGACAAAGTAACGTGGCGGTCAAATTATTCGCAAAAGTTTTGTTACACTTGCTTGCGCTGTGATGGCATCCAATCATTTGGTGTCACGATATGCTTGTTTCTATGCTGCTACACACAATCTGTCTGCTTCTCCAAATGGAGAATAGTAAATTTAGCATACCTTATTATTCCAGTGTATTCCCACGCATACAGCAAATGCTACAGCCACACACATAACGAATGCATTCAGAAAAAACAGCGGTAAACGGATATAGCTGTTAGAGCTGTAAACGCATGGTTTGTCGTCAACACACTCGTCGCATCCAACACTGCAACGAATGCATTCGAAGTCCTCTTCGTAAGAGTTTGGGTCGCCTTGTAGATATCGATCGTGTTGGAGCTCAATGAGGGTTCCGTTAAAAGCCTTTACAGACGCCTGACTGTCAGGGAAGTAAAAGCCTCGCTTACATGTACATATGTAGCTCCCTCGCTTGAATCCTTGATTGTGGATTGCTTGACACTGTTCAAGAAACACAATAAGAGCGGTGGCCGTTACCAAGATGCAGTTTTCTTTTCGTGTACTTGTCCATCACAGTCAGTGATCGTATTAGATCAATCCAAGAGAATATAAACGGAGAGAACTTATTCCCATCCCCAGTTTATGTTCTCTTGGTCAATCTAGAACTGTTTATCTTACTAGCATTATACAGAGGTAAAAATAAAGGTGTACTCGTGAGCCAAATGCCTCACGCCGGTCAGAGCCTATCCCGGTTTCCGTCGCTTGAGGCGGCAAGGAGTTTGCCTACTCTTCTATCATTGAATGCCACTCCATAATCTGTCCCTATGGATTGTTTTTCTTTAGGTATTCCTACTAATTTACTGCTACTCATCTTTACTCCCAGGTAGAGAGAAGCACTGTTGTCCAAGAACAAAACGCAACTACCTGGCCAATTCTCGAATCCTGACCTCGATCTCGACTCGAAGTCCAGTGCGCTAATTTCAGGCCGCTGCATTTCCAACTTACTCCGTAGGGTGCTTCTGAAAGCTATTGGTATCAACTTAGAACATTCTCCTCTCAACAAATTTCATTACTACCCACACCTTACAAACCACGAAATTAACTTCTTGACGGATCAGAACTGACCAAAGACAATTGGAGAATGCTACATGGGTCTTAAAGTCAATAACTTCACGGTGTAAGGCTAAGAGGCCTCCCTCATTTAAACTCAGGCAAACGATTACCATCAAAATCGTTCCTTACTTCATATAAACCAGAGCTAAATGGTTTGCTTACATTCTTTTTACCTTTCTAGAAATATGACTTTTACCTCTGTTGATTTCTTGCAGAGATGAGTACCCATGAATTCCATTAAATTATCAGATGCATATCCGAGTCCTTTCCCCTCTCCTTCACCAGATTCAGAGGACTCCTGCTCGTCACACTGGTTAATGTCAATGTCGCTAAGTACCACATCGATACTGACCACACCTCTAGCAACCATAAAACAGAGATTAGAGACATCAATGCTATTGATAATACCCGTAAGATAAATATGTAGAACTTTCTAGAATTCTCAGCCAAGCTGACATGCATACCATTGAACTTTCTGGAGCATTCCATTAGGTCTTGTAGTCGTGATGTAATACTACCAAAATAGTGGTGTTGTAAACTTTCATGTAGAATACTTTGTGAGTGTATATAAGAACTCAGTTGTGTAGAAGTAGTAGTTGTTGTTGTTGTCGGGAGTGACTTACGGTTGGGAAAGCTATACCGAGAGAGAGCTACCGTAGAAGACTGTTCATTTCGAGGAACTTTGGAGACAAATGTGTGTTTGTGTCAGTGGTGAGCTAAGAAATAGATTGTAATGGGCTTAAGTTTGTTGAGGATAATTACCGTACTGCCTTTAGGATTCGCTCTTTCTTAAGAATATTGCAATTCTCGTTGAAGTAGTTGAGTCTGTAGGATTGAAGTGGTCTTTCTGTCGATTAAATTATACCGTGAAACCAATTGGATTGAAAGGTATACGTCTTTTTGTTCCTTTTTTTTCGTTAAGAAATATTCGTTTTAAGGAAAAGGAAAAAAATAAATAACATGTAACAAACAAAATTATTATGTTGAGCAATTTTCAATTGAATACTGAAAGTAATCCTGAATTGAATTGGTTTTGCTTCACCTCGCTGTGTGATTGGTCCAGAAATATTCGCTACCCTCTTTTACTCCCGACTGGTGACCAATCAGAAGTAAAACTTAAACCAATCACGACTTGGTTGCGCGCGTTTTCCTGATAGTTTAGTTCGTTTTACTTTGAGTTCTCATTGACGGTTTTTTCCTCTGCTCTGATTGGTCATTATTATTACAACTTTGGCTTTAGTATTAAGACACTTAATTGAAAAGCGCTCTTAATGCATATGCTCGTATAATTTTTATAAATTTTTTTTATTTCTAATTTTCTAATTTATAAATTTTTCGTCTTAACCGCTCTTTTCAAGGTCTTAAACGCACTTAAACCTGTCCATATCTATATTGCTATTTCGTACTGACCTCCAGCTAAATATAATGTTTTGGTACAATGTGACAATGATTGGGAGCATGTGTAGTGCTAGCAGCATGAAATGTTGCATTTTACCTAAAGGATCGATTTTGAGTGGTAGTTTTTAACTGGTGGGATAACACTAGTTTACTTTCGAGATAAATACAAATATGGTTTCTTCGCCAGTTGTAGAAAAATGTAAGGCAATATTTGTATATTTACAATTTGACGTGACAGCAGGTGTCAACGGAAACCAGGATAACAAATATTGTTCATTTTATCTCACTGTGTTCCTTCGCGTGTTTTTCGTTTCTCTCTTTTTTTTTCCATTTTTTTTTTTGTATTTGTGTGCATCATTGGGTGTGTGGTTTTCTTTTTCTCAGATAAACACTCACGAGAAGAGAAACATAAACTTGAATAATCTTTGATCTCAAGAAATTTCCTCGTATATATATCTTGTGATATAGACTATTGGCGTCAATATCACCACGCCGAGTAGGTGTTCTATCTTTAGGCAAAGCTCGGTTGATAATTTGTTTTGATATCTAATGATGGTGAGAGGAAATGTAAGTAATCATGGAAAGTACATCATTTTCATAATGACTTTAAACGACAAAGTGCCAAACTTGTGAGCGCTGACTTCTTATAGTCATCAGTCGATGTCTCTAAATTAAGAAAAAAAATCGGAAGTCTTAACAAATGGTGAAGTCATTCTCAATGCAAGAATAAGGATTACTGTACTTGCTTTAACGCCCAGCAAACAATAGCTTATATTTGAACAGTCTTTACTAATTTTTCATTGTGATGAAAAGTACAACCTTTTATCCAATTAATTGGAGCACGCCATGTTTTTAAACATACACTGCCATATTAAAAAAAATATATATATATATATTCGTGTCATGTTTGCGTCCAGTCTACCAATCGCAGTACATCGTATTTACGTAGTTCATGGAATATAGGACATGAATAACAACTTGTTTATTCAACTCAGAATTTTTCAAAGCTTTTTTGCTGATTAATTAAGGTTTGCTTTCAAAGACAATGTTTCGTTGCATTTAGGCACTGCTATCTATTATCAGATGGTGAGCACTTGTAAACCAAGTTCCTCATGTTAGGAAACACCAATTTTTTTAAATTGTAATTTTCAATTATTAATTTTCAAATCTTTTCTTAGCAATATCAGTTGTGTTGCTCAGATCGGATCGTTCATGATTTGATGCAGTCCAATATATACAAAGAGAAGTGTCAGGATTTTCTACAAAAGTGACAGAGCTCTTAATTTGGGTTTTGAAATATCAAAAGATCTTCGCTTCGAAGATTGTAGAGAATATGGTTCCGACAGCATTTCTAGTATAGAATTCAAGATTGTAGGGAAAAAAGTGACACAGCGTATACTAGAGAAGGGGGGAGAAATGGGCAGAATTTTAAGGCCAGATTATTCAAATAAAAAGCTCAGCTTACGCAAAAATTTGAATTCTAAAATGTCAGTCGAAATATTATGTAAAATCAAACAAACCGTACCCTTCTCATTGCTCTATAACAAAATTTTTCCAAGACAGCTTATATTGCTACCGGTGTAACTCGACTGCATCACCGAGACAAGGGAGAATAAGCTTCTAAAAAATTTTCAAAAATGTATGAAATAAGTGAAGAAAACCAATTAGTTGCCTAGCATCATACTCATCCGAAACAATCCTCTCTGCGTTATGTCGTCACTCTAAATTTTAAAAATGAGAAATGCGCACAAATAACACGAGTTGAAATAAATAGCTTGGGTTATGATACTCACAGGAAGTCGTCCGTTTCGTTGTAAAAAGGAGCGAGATAGGTCACCATCCAAATCTTTCCACCAAAGCAGTCGAAGTAAGGTCGTGTCCATGCCCCATCTTCAAATGTCACTTGCGGGAAGACCCGTTTTTTCAGCTTATCCGTGTGGGTTAAATTGTATCGTACTTGATAATAGCTTGTGATGCTCTCGGGACGGAATGTAAGCGCTTTATTTTTAGGTTTGTGCCACCAAATCGCGTTTTCGTCCGTCGTGTAGTCGTAACCTTGACTCGCCGAAACTATATCTTTGACACGAATTTTTTTTTTAATTTAGAATCCCTGAATGCATAGGGACAAAACCTTGTATAGTTCTTGTACAAATAGTTGTCAAAGCAAATCACTGAACCGAAGACAGACGGCGAAAATAAAACGATCGAGCGCACGTAGTGGTACAGAAGCGCGTCGTTAGCTCCAATGGGATCACCGTCTCTCCCGCGCGAGCGCCACAGCGATGTCATAAGGTTAGCCACTTGTACCGTCAAAAGAGCTTCTTGCCTCCATCTCCTTTCGTCAAAAGTTATGTTCAGTAAATCAACCTTGTCACATGTGCCATTCCGTTCTTGAAGCTGTCGCTCGACATCTGCGACTCTGCGAAGTGCAATTTCTACGAGAGACTTGGCTTCGCGCTTTACCTCGTCCTCGGTGGTTGTTGTAGGTTGTTCAGCATTGGCACAACATCTTCTTTGCGACCAAAAATCGTTGCTGGCAATTTGATTCAGAGCGATCACTACAAGCAGAGCCACGCGAAACGATATCATCGTCATCGTCGAGTAAGGAAACTGCGGGTTTATTCAACACGCGGAAAAGCAAAAGGCGGAGAACAGATATTGGCCCGAATTTTTATAGCATTGACCTCTGGGCATATGTTCAGCTTGATGCCTTTAATTAGTGGAAGACAATTGTGAATTTAATGTTGATTAACTGAACGCATTAATTTTTAAATAGTTTGGCGAACACTGGAACAAAATACTTAAATAGCCAAAGCCAACTCGTAAGTGGAGAGGCTACACTTCCAGTCGGTTAAGTTTGTTTCCTGTCAATAACTATCATTTTTGCTCCGCCCATACCACGCCATGGAATCAAATGCACTTGAAGTTTCTTTTAAGTTCTGATTTGAATTAACCCAAAATTGCCATTGAAGCTTCACGTCAAAGGCATATGTGAACGTGGAAGTAATATTCTGAAAATTATATTCTTTGAACCGTATCATTTTCCACGTGGCGTTCAATATTTCAGATCGATGGGATATCATATTTCCTCGAATATTGAACGACTCTAACGTGCCGCGCGAACTGGAGCCCCATTATCAATTTTAAGGAGGATCGGAGTCAACAATTAGTACATCCGTTCTGTTTTTAATGTATAATGATTTTAATGCAAAGAAATTAAGTGTTTCTATTTAAAATTCCTTTTTAAAACTTGGATATTTACTTTATCTTTTCCACAAGATGCTTAAATCGTCAAAAAGGATGTATAACTAAGCAGTTAAATTTCTACCGCGTTAAAATTTCTGACCGTGAGTCACTTCATTCCTATAATATCTTTTCTTATTTTTGTTTCGGTTCATCCATGTCTGACAGTTTTTTGGTAGCTATTAAGTTGTGGCATGTTGACGTCTTTATCTGATCTCTTCAGCTTGTAACCTTACGCTTTTTTTTAAAATATAAATGTATTCGATCGACCCCTCACATTTGATCACAGATACGGATATTCAGGGTAACTATAATATATGTAAATTACCTAAGTTTTTTCGGTTTTTTTCACCTGCTTCTTTGTTTGAATGCGAAACATCTTGATGATAGTTATTGTATGAAGATGTCATACAGGCTTAACTTTTTACTTCTTGAGGTTTTGTCTTTATCTTGGCTTGAGACGTAAAATACTTTATTTGAGAAGTGAAAATGAATAGTATCTAAATATTTGAGTTCATTTTGTTAACTTTTAGTCACAGCTGAGAATACCTCGAGACATGAAAACTTTGGGGGTTTTGATTCTTCAGATTTGGTTCCCCACTTGAACAAAAAAATAGAAAACCAGCCTAAGAAACAAGAGTAAATTCTTATTTGTATTCTATAACTCAGTGCCTCACTGATAAAATATTCATTTGCGACGCACCTCCCGTGTATCTCTCACAAGAGTTAGCTTCCTGCAGGAATTTTAGTCAACTTGAGACGCAAACCTTGGTCACGTAAGCCGAAGAAATTCGCAAACGCGCGCTTACTTTTCATGGCGTACTGTATCATTGAAAACCCAATTTTTGCAATCCTGTTCCAGGCTAATAAAATGTCAAAATTTCTGAATCGAAGAAAATTGGGCAAGGCCGAGTTGTTCGAAGAGCGATTGGTTTTAATCCTGGTTTGATTGCCATAGCAACGTAAATGTTTTGTATGCAGTTATCCCATGATTGATGTTTATTGGTTTTCGCACAACCCGCCCCAGGTCTCTCATTGACGATACAATATTTTATATGCTATTTTAATTCGGTGGCGCTATTAATAACCTTTATGTGGTTTTATATCCCACTTGTATATATACCACAGCTATTGAAAGCTTTGATACCTTTACATCCAGGAAATCCAGCCGCTGGATACAGTCAGTTGTGAGCTGTTTGATTCTCCAACGTAGTTGATTTCGAATACAAGATTTGCAGCAAGGGCAACAAATCCAAAAAACCAGAAACGGAAAAATTTAGCTGATTCGAGTCTCGATGTGTGGCTCATTCAGCGACTTTCACTAACCACTTAGGCTATGTAGAGAAAAAAAATATGGCTCTTCCGAAAAAAGGTAACAAAACAGTTGTTGGATTTGACTGAAGGTTATCGATCAAATTAAACGTCTTTAGGTTAAGGCTATCACTTAATTAGAGCTGCCTTGGCAAATAACGACGCAATAACAAGTCAAGAAGTTAAACAAGCGTCGCATTACATCCTCGTAAGCCGGCGATCACCTCTCTACTTTTCTTAACATCATGCCCTGGAAGGGTTGATAATGGATGAAAGTAGGTAATTGAGCTAGAAGTAATCAAAGATTAATGAAGTTTGTTCAGTTCTGTTTTTTCATTCATCAAAGTTACCACAATGGTTGTGCATTTAGAGGCCGGAGTCATCTCTCATCGATTTTTACAAATTCAACTAAAGAAACCTTAAGGAAGCTTTACCGCTACCTTTTTACACAGTAGCCATACAACCATTTTATATTAGGTAGCGTGTCAAACTGAATACGCAATTAAATACTGAGCTACGTTTCTTCTTTTCATCAATTACCGTTCAGCCAACCTGCAACTTGAAAACTGTTGTCGTGCTTAAGTGTACAGAAGTGTTAACTGTGAACAAAACCCGGGAATCTAACTTAGTGCATAGTTACAAAACTGGGCGACGGTTTCCTTCAAACTTTGTCTCACTTCTCTGATCTTTCAGCAATAGAGGGAGGGATTTAGAGACGAATTTAGGTAGACTAAAGTGGCAGTCCCTACTCAGGTAATGCAAATTTTCTTTCCATTGTAAATCCTCAGCACGGTTACGGGGAAAAACGGAACGTAACGGCCTAACAAAGTCACTTGAATCCTAAAAATGGCAGACACTGTTATTTTATAGCGTTCTACATTCAGACCAATCCTTCCCTCGTTTAGTTGTCCCTGACGAACTTGTATTTGAATCTGACGATGGCGTTTTACTTTGACTTCTCCTTGGCTCTTAGCGTTATTTTCCTCTCCTCTGATCATTCGTTGTTATTACTTAGGCTTTGGTTTTAAGACACTCAACTAAAAAGCGCTCTAAATGTATATGCTCGACCAAAAGTAAATTTTTATTAATTTTAGTTATTTCTAATATTTACAGTTTATAAATAAAGCTAAATGTTACTTTACAACACAGAGTATTTGTACTAAAAAAATTGGAAATTTTTAAAAACTTGTGTTGAAACAAATTTTACACTAAACTTTTATGAAGGGTCTTTAAAATTTCTTATAGATTTTTCTTTCCTTAAGTAAGAGAACCTTAGCCAGTTTTTAGCTGGAAAACAACACTTAGAACTCATTGTAGATCATCAATAAATTAAAAGCCTAGTAATCCTTCTCCCATTTAAGGCGTAGGGTTACATTTTATTATCATTAATTCCCTACACAAAGAGTGTAGTGCGTTTTTCATTTCTTTGTTGAATTCATTGTTAAACGTAGAGTGGGATACTCTAAAATGGCGCGCCTCTCTACGGAAGCCCCATCTGTCTCAAGAAATCAGTTCTGGATCCATTGAAAACTAAAATTATCATTTTTAAACAGTGCTTGTAAATTACAAATTAACAGAAAAGAATGTCGGCATATTCATGGTACTGTGCCAAGTGTTAGACAAACGACCATTGCTCGCGATATGCTGTAGGAGGCTTCATCTACTGTTGCGAGGTCTGGATTAAAGTGGAAGTTTTTAAAAATAAACAGTATCCTTGTAAGGTCCTTTAAGAACTTCATTTGACACAGCTGAAGCAATTTTTAGTACATTGTGCAAAGTAATCAGGGATTGTTTTGCTTTTGCTTTACTTCGCTCTGTGATTGGTCCAGAAAAGCTCGCACCACTCTTTCAACCAATCAGATGCAATACCTAAACCGTTTACGGCTTGGTTGCTTACGTTTTCATGCGCTTTTGGCAATCGTCGTCGGTTTTACTTCGAGTTCCTATTGGCTCTTACAGGCATTCTGATTTCTTCCGAAATGAAAATACCTTTGAGAGGCCATTGTAATTACTTTGGTTTTGACTTTATAATACAATCAAAAAGCGCTCTAATAGAAAGAAATCTCTAATCAGTGAGGTTTTTAATAAAGGTTCAAACTTTTGGTTTTGCGAGGCACTCCGGCAAGTATTTATGCACAAAGCCAACCGTTACTGAGAATCATAGAGAAGAGTTTCTCTGGGAAACCTCTCTGCTGTGCACGGAAACCGAACGGAGCGATGATGTTGAAGATGATGGGCGATTCAGCTTCAATGGAAAACTCGCTTCCTGAATTTTATTAACGTCGGGCATTAGATTCTTGGAGGACTTTTCCTTGCCTCGTTCGCAGTTAGGCAGCTGTGATAGTGGCAGCTGTAATGACAGTCGTTTTGCTTTCAGATCACTTCCAGTTTCTGTAACAAGTGTGGTGAAAGCACTCTGTCGTCGGCGAGAGGTTATGTTATCTACTGGATGGTTGTGATCTGTCATCAGGCGAGACTGAAGAACAGCTACTTTTTCACTCAGTCGCCGCATCTCGTCCTTTTCAGAGAAGCAAATATTTGTTTCATAGTAAACTTGGACTAATAATTTAGTCGCGTTCCTCAATGGAGAAAGAAGAGCAAATAAAACAATTTCCCTCAAGTGTCTGGTGTGATTTTGCATTGCATTTGCTTCACCATGATTTTCAATCGTTTTAGAGAAAGAAACTCTTGCGCCACCTGCTAAAAAGGATAAATAGCTTTGGGCTAACGATTAGTTTCGGATTGGACGGAAGTAGATTTTAAAACTAACTTGCATAGAGGGTTCAATTGTGTGACCTTGAACATGTTTTAAATGATGTTGTGACAGGAAAATGATTCTTTTCGGCTTGTTCCTATTTCATCAATTCCTTTCTGCTGTTTGATTCTAATTAATATTGAGTCCAAAAAACCATTGCATGAGTATGATGCCAGATTATGGGTAATTGATCCAAAAATGAGGCTGAGCCGATAAAAAGTAATCGCTTAAGTCAGCGCACGCACTTTCATTCTGTCCATCTGACCAAGGCACCTTCGACCATTTTAGAGCTGGGAGTGTCAGTGTCCTACCTTCAATACTTGGTTTTCTTTCATCAACAAGTCCTCTTGATTATAAGGTATTCGTTCTACAACAATTTCGTCATCTGGTACAAGCATGTTGTTGCTGTTTGATGGAACAGCGTTATTCACTGATCTTTGCATTTGGCGTAACAACAAAAACTATAGAAAAAGGAAAAATACACATAAATCTCATAGTGGTCTTACATCCCTCATAACAGTTGGCCATCATGGCCACTTAAAAGACACCCAGACTAAAAACGTCCTGTAAAAGCTCGACAACCTCCTTTCCTCGTCTTTGAACCTGTGCCCTTCCTTACTTCAACAAAATAAAAGTGTTCTTATCCAGTAAGGGTTGGTGGCTTTTAAGTTAAAATTAAACTGTATCTGAAAGTCAATTTTTAGTATCTTCTTAAAGTACTGTGGATTTTTCAGCCAAACAAACGCACAATGCATACGGTATAGCATGAGGCATCTTTTTGACTGATCAAGATAGGGGAGTAACCTTGCTATGGACATTTAATCATGACTAACTCGGACTCAATGGAGGGGAGCACACAAGAGAATCTAAAATGGATTGTACAAATACAAAACCTCTTCCTTTGTCTTTTCTCAAATCAGAAAAATAAATTTTTCCTTAAGTTTTTTCAATGAAGCCGTCAGAGCGCTGGGTCAGAAGGCTTTTCCCAAGCATGCTCATGTTATCCAGTCAGCTACACACTTCAGCTTTCGCTATGGTTTTTTAAGCTATGGACTAGCATCTCAACCTGGGGGGAGTAATAATACTCCTTGTTGCTTCATGCAACATGGAAACCGAGATAAGCTGTGAAGGGGTGGTTCATAGCGAATGGGCTCGAGTACAGACTTTACCTTGTGTATGAACATGAGAAATAACACAGTAGAACAGTCCATGTGAATCAGAACAAAGTCCAGAGCATACATCATGTCTGGGTTGGTTCTTCTTTTCGTTGTGATCCTGGTATCGACAGCAAAATTTACATTTAGAACTAAGATTCGAAAACGAGTCGTAAAAGTTGCTGTGGTCTTATGAACTAGCTGGTGAGATATATCAAGCCGAAGAACAAAACTCAAAACTGGAAAAAATGCTCAACCGAACAATGAGGGAAACTCAGGTTAGACTTGGCAGATCATCAGTGAATTGGAGTTAAAAAGAAAAACGCTTGGGGGATTCATTTATAAATGTGGTAGATTCGACTATGATAATCTTTGAGATCTGTATGGAATCTCTTTTGCTTTAAGTTTAGCCTTTCGAATATTGTGTGCGGCTTTTCTCCGTTTGGTTTGGAATTTGGCATAAGCTTGAGAGGGACTCGTTGCATAGAGGACTATACATGACGATATATGGGAGTTTCAGTCTGGTGATGTAACTCTCTTTGTTACAAGGAAATAGGACACCCCAAAATGTATTTCATGTAGTCTTGCACAAACCTGACCACCATAAGGAAACTGGTGACAAACATAGCGTTATAAACGGCCCAGCTAATGTACTTGCTCTCGTTATAAGCTGCCGGTGCATTTCTGATCTTGTAACAAAGCCACATTCCCCAAATCAACAACGCAATGTCCCCGGCTGAAAATGGTTTGCACTCGTTAATCATGATTAAAACAAATCTTTTTTTTTTTTTTTTTCAGTGGAGGAAATGTTAAATGTAACTTTGGGTTTACTTGATTTTCCTACATACGTCATTAATGGGAGAAGACCCGAAACACTTTTTTAACCAGTTAATATAACAGTATTGACTTCCACCCTCTGGTTTTCTGCGCTTGGGGCTTGCTGCGTGATTTTTACATGATGCTAAAAGAGAATGGCGCTTTTGTAAGGAACCTCGGTAAGATCAGAACCTTCTTAACTACGGCTACTTTCTTTATTTAAACAAAACCGTGAGTGTGAATCATATTCTCAGTGAGGAATCTGAATTTTATCAGATCGCTTGTAGTGGTCAGAATGTGCGGTTCTACAAAACAAATAAAGGATTAACAATATGTTCTGTTCCCTCTGGCTCTTTGTGATTTAATTGGCCACTGTTAGAAGTAGAGCTCGTAGCGCGCAGCGAAGCCCCATATCAATATTAAGAATAAAATGATAATGATAATAATAATAAACGCTACTGCTTTTAAAATGGAAAAATTTATAAAAGACGTCCGAAATTAACCATTGCTTGATCAGTTACATACCGAATATGACCGTAAAATCAAACCAATTCTCTACACAGCGCGTAAACTTCAGGTCATCGGATGTCCTCGCCTCTTCAATGTCTGGCGGCGCCATTGCAGTCCATACAGTGAGATAAGCAGAGTATAGCAGTACCAATAGACCTAGCCGTCTCAACAGTACCCCGTCGGATAAAGCGAGCTTCTGGGCCGATCGTACTCGAAATATTAATGCCACCCTGCAAAGAACTAGCATCAGTCTTTTTGTGTTAATTTGTCTATTCATATGTCTGTCTTCTATTTGTGAGACAGACAGGTCCTTCCGCTTTCCTCGGGCTTGTCTTTATCTGGGGTGGCAATGGATCAATGGCTTTTTGCGGCTAATGATTAAAAGTTTCACAATTTTACAGCTAGCAGTTAATTTCGTTACGTGACGGTTAAGAGAGAAGTTTTTACCGTTAACTTTTTTTTCTGACAAACCTATAAAATTTTTCAGTTTCTGCGCCTAAATGCTAAATTTTTTTGCCGTTTTACGGCTGACAGTTAACCCCGATGAGAACCTCCTATTGGCTCAGGCTGTTTTCTCAGTTTTCCTGTCTGCCTGATAGTCTTTCATTTTACTTTCGCCAACTCGTTTGTTTGTGAGCCTGTTTACTTCTCCATAGAAAACTACTTCGCGAAATGAAAAATACATACATACCTCCATGTTTTAAGTGCCAAAGATCCATACACCAGAACGAATCCAATATGACGCAACCAGGGTCGTGCAATACAACGGAGGCTTGAAGGTTTGAAGTATGAAACGATGAGCTGGAAATAGACGCAAATAACCACGCTTAAAAACAACAGCGGAATAACAAGGTTATAAAGACACAATTATGAAGGAGAATGCTTACCTTTGAGTACATTAACATGGCGCCCAACAATATTATTTCCATGAAGCGCGGGCTGGAGGCCTTGAAAATCTGAAAACAAAAAAAAAGCGACACACCGAGAAAAAAGTAAACAAAACAAAACAAAGACAAGTTCTGGAGAAGCTAATTTTTAAACCTGATCGTATTAATTATTTCAATGCGAATAATTCTTTTTTTATAACGCTGCTGCACAAAATCTGTCTGCTTCTCCAAATAGAGAATAGTAAATTTAACATACCCTGTCATTCCAGTGTAATCCCACGCATACAGCAAATGCTACAGCCACACATATAACGAGTGCATTTAGAAAAAACAGCGGTAAACGGATATAGCTGTTAGAGCTGTAAACGCATGGTTTGTCGTCAACACACTCGTCGCATCCAACACTGCAACGAATGCATTCGAAGTCCTCTTCGTAAGAGTTTGGGTCGCCTCGTAGATATCGATCGTGTTGGCGCTCAATGAGGGTTCCGTTAAAAGCCTTCACAGACGCGTGACTGTCAGGGAAGTAAAAGCCTCGCTTACATGTGCATATGTAGCTCCCTCGCTTGAATCCTTGATTATGGATTGCTTGACACTGTTTTAAGAAACGCAATAAGAGCGGTAGCCGTTACCAAGATGCAGTTTTCTTTTCGTGTACTTGTCCTTCCCAGTCAGTGATCGTATTAGATCAATCCAAGAGAATATAAACCGAGAGAACTTATTCCCATCCCCAGTTTATGTTCTCTTGGTCAATCTTGAGCAGTTCATCTTACTAGCATTACACACAGGTAAAAAAGGAGTCTACTCTTGAGCCAAATGCCTCACGCCAGTCAGAGCCTATCCCGGTTTTTGTCGCTTGAGGCGGAATATATGCCTACTCCTTCGTGATTGAATGCCAGTCCATAATCTGTCTTTATGGATTTTTCTTTAGGTTTTCCTACTAATTTACTGCTACCCATCTTTAATTCCAGGCAAAGAGAATGCTTTGTTGTCCAAGAACAAAACGCCATTACCTAGCCAATTCTCAAACCTTGACCTCGATCTCCAGTCTCCAGTCATATAAACCAGAGCTAAATCGTTGCTTACATTTTTTTTTACCTTTCTAGAAATAAGACTCTTACCTCTGTTGATTTCTTGCAGAGATGAGTACCCATGAATTCCATTAAATTATCAGATGCATATCCGAGTCCTTTCTCCACTCCATCATCAGATTCAGAGGACTCCTGCTCGTCACACTGGTTAATGTCAATGTCGCTAAGTACCACATCGATACTGACCACACCCCTAGAAACCATAAAACAATGATAGCTAGAGACACTAATGTTATGGATAATGCCTGTAAGATAAATATCTAGAAATTTCTAGAATTCTTAGCCATGCTGTTATGCACGCCATGGAACTATCTGGAGCATTCCATTAGGTCATGTGGTAGTGAAGTAAAACTACTAAAACAGTGGTGTTGTAAGGATCCAGAATAACTTGTAAGTGTGTTAAGGATTCAGTTGTGTAGTACTAATTGTTGTTGTGATAATCGGGAGTGACCGACTGTTTAGAAAGCTATATACTAAGAGAGAGCTACTGTACAAGACTGTTCATTTCAAGGAACTCTGGAGACAACTGTGAGTTTGTGTGAGTGGTGAGCTAAGAAATAGATTGTAATAGGCTTAAGTAAGTTTATTAAGGATAATTACTGTACTGCCTTTAGGATTCCTTTTTTCTTATGAATATCACAATTCTCGTTTAAGAAAGTAGTTGAGTCTGTTGGATTCTAGTGGTCTTTCTGTGGATTAAATTATACCGTGACACCAATTGGACTGAAAGGTATGAATTTTTTTTAATTTTTTTTTTTTATTAAAAAATGTTCGCCTTAAGGAAAAGGAAAAAAGGAAAAATGATGGTCATGTAGAACAATTTTCAACTGAGTACCGAAAGTAATCCGGAATTGAATTGGTTTTGCTTTACTTCGTTGTGTGATTGGTCCAGAAATCTTCGCTACCCTCTCGACCAATTAGAAGTAAAACTTAAACCGACGTGGTCGCACGCGTTTTCCGCGTAGTTTGGTTCGTTTTACATTGAGATCTCTTTAGCTCTTGGCGATTCTTTCCTCTCCTCTGATTAGTCGTTGTTATTAGTCTGGTTTTGGTTTTAATAAACTCAACCAGAAAGTGCTCTAAATGGATATGCTCGACCAAAAGTATAATTTTTATTAATTTTAATTATTTTTAATTTTACAATTTATAAATTTTTCTTCTTAACCGCTCTTGTCAGGGCCTTAAACGCACTAAAACCTATCTATATCTATATTGCTAAATATAATGTCTTGGTACAATGCGACAATGATTGGGAGCATGCGTAGTGCTAGTGACATGAAATGTTGGACTTAAAAAGAGCAATTTACCTAAAGGATCGATTTTTAGTGGTAGTTTTTAACTGGTGGGATAACACTTGTTTACTTTCGAAAGAAATGCAAATATGGTTTCGTTGCCAGGTGTAGAAAAATGAAAGACGATATTTGTATATTTACAATTTGACGTGATGACACCAGGTGCCAACCGAAACTAAGGTAAATATTAGTTATGTCATCTCATTTTTTTAATTTCGCGTGTTTTTCGTTTCTCTTATTATTTTTTTTTACCTTTTATTGTAATATAGACTACTGGCATCAATATCACCACATCAAGTCAGTGATATTTCTTTAGGCAAAGTTCGGTTGGTAATTTTTTTGGATATCTAATAATAGTGAGAGGAAATGTACGCAATCAGGGAGAGCACATCATTTTCATAATGACTTCAAACGACTAAGTGCCAAACTTGTAAATGCTGATTTCTCGGAACTATAAAGTCATTAGCCGATGTCTTAAAATTGAAAAAAAAATAGAACAAAACGGGAGTTGTAACAAATGGTGAAGTCTTTCTCAATTCAAGAACAAGGATTACTAAACTTTGTCTTAATGCCCAGCAAACTATAGCTTATCTTTGAATAGTCTAGTAATTTACATTTTGATAAAAAGTACGAGTTGCTAATCGTATGCAATCTAATGGAGCACACAATGTTTTTTAACATAGACTGTTATATTAAAGAAACAATGGTTGTGTCATATTCACGTCTAACCTGCCCATCTCAGTTCAACGTATTTACGTAGATGATGGAATATAGAACGTGAATAACAACTTGTTTATCCAACTCAGAATTTTGTTTTTGATGAGGTTTGCTTTCAAAGATAATGTTTCATTGCATTGTAGCATTGGTCTTTATCATCAGATGGTGAGCACTTGTAAACCAAGTCTCTCTCGCCAAGAAACACCATTTTTTAAGTTTTAATTTTCAATTGTTAATTTTCAAATGTTTTATTAGCAATATTAGTTGTGTCGCTCAGCCGGATCGTTCTAATTTGATGCAGTCCAATCTGTACGAAGAGAAGTGTCAGGATTTTCTATAAAAGTGACACAGCTCTTAATTTGGGTTTACAAATATTAAAATTTCTTCGCTTCGAAGGTTGTAAAGAATATGGTTCCGACAGCTTTTCTGGTATAGAATTCAATATTGCGAGAAAAAAGTGGCGCAGTATATAGAAAAGAAAAGGGGGAAAACGGGCAGAAATGTAAGACTCGATTATTCAATTATTATTCCATTATTCATTATTCAAAAAGGAAAACCTGCACAAATAATTTTAATTCCAAAATGTCAGTCAAAATATTATGTAAAATCAAACAAACCATAATGGAGGTGTACCCTTCACATTGTTCTATAACAATTTTTTTCAAGACAGCTTATACTGCTATCGGTGTAACTCGACTGCGTCACCGAGACAAGAAAAAAACTGGGGGAATATGCTTCTAAAAATTTTAAAAAATGTGTGAAATAAGCGAATAACTCATCCGAAGCAATCCTCTCTGCGTTATGTCTTCACTCTAAATTTTGAAAATGAGAAATGCGCACAAATAGCACGACTTGAAACAAATAGCTTGGGTTATGATACTCACAGGAAGTCGTCCGTTTCGTTGTAAAAAGGAGCGAGATAGGTCACCATCCAAACCTTTCCCCCAAAGCAGTCGAAATAAGGTCGCGTCCATGCCCCATCTTCAAATGTCACTTGCGGGAAGACCCGTTTTTTTTTATCATCCGTGTGGGTTAAGTTGTATCGTACTTCATAATAGCTTGTGATGCTCTCGGGACGGAAAGTAAGTGCTTTTTTTTTAGGTTTGTGCCACCAAATCGCATTTTCGTCCGTCGTGTAGTCATAACCTTGACTCGCCGAAACTATATCTATGACATGAACACTTTTTTTTAACTCGGGATCCCTGAATGCATAGGGACAAAATCTTGTGTAGTTCTTGTACAAATAGTTGTCAAAGCAAATCACTGAACCGAAGACAGACGGCGAAAATAAAACGATCGAGCGCACGTAGTGGTACAGAAGCGCGTCGTTAGCTCCAATGGGATCACCGTCTCTTCCGCGCGAGCGCCACAGCGATGTCATAAGGTTAGCCACTTGTACCGTCAAAAGAGCTTCTTGCCTCCATCTCCTTTCGTCAAAAGTTATGTTCAGTAAATCAACCTTGTCACAAGTGCCATTTCGTTCTTGAAGCTGTCGCTCGACGTTTGCGACTCTACGAAGTGCAATTTCTACGAGAGACTTAGTTTCGCGCTTTGCCTCGGCGGTTGTTGTAGGTTGTTCAGCATTGGCGCAACATCTTCTTTGCGACCAAAAATCGTTACTGGCAATTTGATACAAAGTAATCATTACCAGCAGAGCCACACGAAACGATATCATCGTCAAGTAAGGGCAAACTGCACGTTTATCTAACACACGGGAAAGCAGAAGGCCCGAATTTCCACAGCATTAACCACTGGGCATATGTTCAGCTTGTTGCCTCTGATTCGTGCGTTGGTGGGATTACAAACAAAATGAGGACAATTGTGAAGTTAATGTTGATTGACTGAATTCATTAATTTTTATACAGTTTAGTGAACACTGAAAGATAATTCTTAAATAGCCAAAGGCAACTCGTAAGTGGAGAGGCTACACCTCCAGTCAGCATGTTCAGTTTCTTTCCTTTAAATAACTATCATTTTTGCTCCGCCCGTTCCACGTAATGGAATCAAATGCGTTTGAAGTTTCCTTTTAGTTCTGATTTGAATGAAACCAGAATTGCCGTTTGAGCGTCACGTCGAAGGCATGAGCGAACTTCGAAGTAATATTCTGAAAATGATATTCATTGAACTGTATCATTCTTCACGTGACGTCCTTTATTTCAGATCGATGGGATATTATATTTCCTTAATTAAATATTGAACGACTCTTACCTGCCGCGTGCACTGGAGCTCCAATATCAAATTTAAGGAGTATCAGAAACAATAATTGATACATTCGCTCTGTTTTTAATATAAAATGGTTTTAATGCAAAGAAATTAAGTATATCTATATAAAATTTCTTTTTAAAACTTGGGATATCCACTTTATCTTTTCTACAACATGCTTGAATCGTCAAAAGGGATGTACAAGTTCCATTTTTTTTTTGATGATTGTCTAAATGTTAAATTTCTTCGGCGTTGAAATTTTTGACCGTCAGTCGGTTCTTCTTATTTTTGTTTTAATTCATCCATGACTGAAAATGTTTTGGTGGCTCTTGAGTTGTGGTATGTTGACGTCCTAACCTGATCTTATTAGCTTGTAACCTTACGCTTTTCTGAAAAAAATGAATTCGATCAACCCCTCACATTTGATCACAGATACCGTTATTTAGGGTAACTTTAACATATGTAAATTACCTAAGTTTTTTCGATTTTTTTCACCTGCTTCTTCGTTTGAATGCAAAACATCTTGACGATAGTTATTGTATTAAGATGTCATACAGGCTTAACTTTTTACTTCATGAAGTTTGCTTTATCTTCGCTAAGGACGTAAAATACTTTGAGAAATGAAAATGAAAAGTATCCAAATATCTGAGTTCATTTTGTTAACTTTTGGTCACGGCTGAGAATACCTCGAGACATGGAAACTTTGGGAGTTTTGATTCTTCTGATTTTTGTTCCCACTTGTACCAAAAAAAAAGCAAAAGAAAACCGGCCTTGGAAACAAGAGTAAATTCTTATTTGTATTCTATAACTCAGTGCCTCACTGATGAAATATTCATTTACGACGCACCTCCCGTGTATCTCTCACAAGATTTAGCTCCCTGCAGGAATTTTAGTCAACTCGAGCCGCAAACCTTGATCATGTAAGCCGAAGAAATTCGCAAACTCGCGCTTACTTTTCATGCCGTACTCAGTATCATTTAATACCCAATTTTTGCAATCCTGTTCTGAGTTTATAAAATGTCAAAATTTCTTTAAGTCGAAGAAAATTGGACAAGGCCGAGTTTTTCCGAAGCGCGATTGGTTTTAATCCTGGTTTGATTGTTATGGCAACGTAAACGTTTTGTATGTAGTTATCCCTGATTGATGTTTATTGGTTTTCGCTCAACCCTGCCCAGGTCTCTTATTGACGATACAATATTTTATATGCTATTTTAATTCGGTGGCGCTATTAATAACCTTTGCGTAGTTTTATGTCCCACTTGTATATATACCACAGCTATTGAAAGCTTTGATACCTCTACATCCAGGAAATCAAGCTGCTGAATACAGTCAGTTGTGAGCTGTTTGATTCTCCAACGTGCTTAGAACTTTTCCATGATTTTCAATTGGTAGATAAGCAATAGGACGTAGTTGATTTCGAATACATATGAAATTTATGAAAGATCTGCTGCAAGGGCAACAAATCCAAAACACCAGAAACGGAAAAATTTAGCTGATTCAAGTCTTGATGTGTGGCTCATTCAGCGACTTTCACTAACCACTTAGGCTATGTCGAGGAAAAAATTATGGATTTGACTGAAGGTTATCGAGCAAATTAAACACCTTTAAGTTAAGGCTATCACTTAATTAGAGCTACCTTGGTAAATAACGACACAATAACAAGTCAAGAAGTTGAACAAGCACCGCATTACATCCTCGTAAGCCTGCGATCACCTCTCTACTTTTCTTAACATCATGCCCTAAAAGGGTTGATAATGGATGAAAGTAGATAATTGAGCAAGAGGTAATCAAAGATTAATGAAGTCTGTTCAGTTCTGTTTTTTCATTCATCAAAGTTCCCACAATGGTTGTGCATTTCGAGGCCGGAGTCATCTTTCATCGTTTTGTTACAAATTCAACTAAAGAAACCTTGAGGAAGCTTTACCATTTTAGATTAGGTAGCGTGTCAAACTGAATCCGCAATTGAATACAGAGCTACGTTTTTTCTTTTCATCAATTACCGTTCAGCCAACCTGCAACTTGAAAACTGCTGTCTTGCTTAAGTGTACAAAAATGTTTACTGTGAACAAAACCCGTGAATCTAACTTAGTGCACAGTTACAAAACTGCGCGACAGTTTCCTTCAAACTTTGTCTCACTTCTCTGATCTTCCAGCAATAGAGGGAGGGATTTAGAGACGAATTTAGGTAGACTAAAGTGGCAGTCCCTAACCAGGTAATGTAAAGTTGCTTTTCATTAAAAATCCTCAGCACGGTTACGATGCAAAACGGAACGTAACAGCCCAGCAAAGTCACCTGAATCCAAAAAATGGCGGACACTGTTGCTTTATAGCGTTCTATGTTCAGACCAATTTTCCCCGCACTTGGTTGTCCCTGACGGACTTGTATTTGAATCTGACGATGGCGTAACAAAATCTGAATCTTAGTGTAAGAAGATATCGAGGTCAGCATACAAAGCGCAGCACAGATGGAGGCACTTATCCAAGCGATGCGGGAACTCCAGATCTGTAACGAGCCACACGAAACACCGATCAGCCAAGAAGACGCTACGAACACTCGAACGCGACTCATTGTTACAACCTGTCTGTATCGCAGCCCTAGATACAAGGCTAAGAGTCGATCAACACTGATCGCTGTCGAGGTAAGCACTGATACCCCACAAAGCGTGATACTTACATAAGGATTTATTTCCTCAATGTAAAAAGTTGCTCTTGTGTCCATCTTTGTTAAAAGAGACAGCAGAAAGGTCGCATGAAATGGCTGTAAAATTAGGCCCACGAAAAGATCTGTGACTGCCAGTGATTGGAATAAAAGTTTTGTCGGCTTATGAAGCGTTGAAACTTTCTGAAGAGAAATTAGGATAAGGACGTTGCTTAGAGACGCACTTATCGAGAGAAAAATATTGATGGCTGCGATACAAGCAATAACACTAGTGCGCCATAGTGTTCCTGGGCTATCTGGTGTAATTGCGAAGTTTGCCTCGGTAGTATTTAAGTCTGTCATCGTTCTTGCGGTTGGTCCCACGGTTTCGTTCATCTTCTGCGATAAATAAGAAAAAGACCTTCAAGTACCAGATTCAAAGCAGTGAGTGGCGCTCATTAAAAGTGTTTTTTATGCATATCACAGCCCTCGTTGGCCTTGACAGCTTTATATATACAGCTGCTGTATGCAGACAGTTGTAAGCTGTTTGCTCTGAACTTTTCCATCATATTTAATTGGTAGATAAAGAACAGGATGTAGCTAATTTTGAATACACTCATTAAAAAACAGATTTGCTACTATGACAACAAAGCCAAAACAGAAAATTCGGTTAGTCTTGATGTCTGGTTAACATAATGGCTGTCATTAGTTAGCTACTTAAGGTCCCTAAATAATAAATGCTGATTCTGAAAAAAAAAATTGGAAAAATTAGTTGGTCGACTTGACTGACGGTTATCGATTAAACTAAACTCCTCTAATTATGTTCCTTCGAGGGCGATATGTAAATGTCAGTAAAAACCCCCAAAAAAATTATCGCCAATTTACGTAAATGAAGATTTTAAGAAATCAGATGTTATCACAATCAATGTAAGCGGGCAAATAGGAAACTGTCCTCTTGCCACAGGGGCTCAACGGGCCAAAACTTATCGAGGGCTGGCTTCTATGAGGGTCTGAATGGGGGTACTTCGATAACACTAAACACTTATTTTTTTGACAGTATAACATTAAACAGTTAATTTTCAGCTATTTTAACACTAACATTAAAAAATTCGTTGTAACATTATTTTTTCCAATAAACAAACAAACCACACCCTAAAAGGGGAAATATCTATGTTGGGCCTATGTTTATTGTCTCAAAGAGGTTTTTTTGGCCATTTTCCAACAATTCGGGATTATTTAAAGACTTCCGAAGAGTGAGGGAGATATCCGAAAGCTGCCGAAGATTTCCGAAAGCTGTCGAAGATGTCTGAAGGCTGCCGAAGATGTCCGAACACTGCTGAAGATGTCCAAAGACTGCAGAAGATGTCCACTGAGACTGCCAAAGATGTCCACAGACTTATGACCGACGATATTTGAAGACTACCGCAGATTTTGGCTTGTATAACTCATAACAATTCTATTCTTAAAGCGCTTTTACAGCGAGGATTCACCAACCGTGACCACTTAGAGAGAATATATTAGTAACAAATCAGATTACGATATTCAAATCAAACAGCCAATGGGATAGAACATTGAAATAAACAGTAAGTGCCATCCGTTGTATGAATACCTCAGTATGATTGGTTGGCTTTGTGAGATGGTCCCAGTTGGTGTATCTGCACTGTAAACAAAAAGAGATGAATACGAAAATTACAAGGAAAATGAGAGTTAACATATATGAGTGTTTAAATTTGACTAGTAATGAATGCAATAACAGAATATTCTTTTACCAATAAGATCGGCTACAGTGCTCACAATGTATAATGGTCAACAAAAATGAGACATGTCACTCCCTCCTGGCCAAAAACATTTGATTATATTCCATACCTGAATAGTCCCGATTGTCCCAACTGTTTCTAGAGATCAAGGCGGAAATGAGCGCGGGTGGTGGGACCAAATCTGCTGAACGTTATGTCTGTATCATTATCCGCATCGATCTCCGAGTCGGTGTCGAATTCATCCTGTTTCTCGGGGAGGTCTGTCACGTCACCAACTGTGACAACTCCGAGCATGCTTTCGTCAACAAAGGTGATTCTCGGTACTTCGTTTGTAGCTCGCAGAATATTTGTATCCTGGTCGACTCGTTCTTCATTGTCTGTCCCTGGATCATCTTAAACATCCTCTTGGAATGTTACTCTAGTACACGATGGCGCACTGGAATATACAGTTGGCGGCAGGGCTCCCGCTTTGTCTTTTGTTGATTCGCTTCTTACCGTCCTTGACAGGTCGATACCTGTCAACCAATTCCTTCATGGCTGCCTCAATGTTGGGGGCAACGTTATCAGCTGGAGGAGGTTTCATCAAATCTACATCCCGTAACTCCACACTGGATTTAGGCACTGGATAATAAGACTTCTCTAGTGTGAAGTACTTCGCACCCCACTTTGTTGTTCTCTTTCAAGATTCCTTTGAAATTGTTCCAAAGTCTTGAGCATACTGAAGAGCGGTGAAAGTCTCGTTTTTGAAGTTGGAGACTGCATGAAGGTTCTCTACCTGAGTTGTTAGCAGCGTACGCAGGTCAATGTCACCAAGATAGTCCTCGTTTACATTCTTAACGTTATCTCGTAGCTGTTCCATACCTCTTTCGAGAAGCACCAATGACTCCTGTGTTTTGCTGGAAACAGTTCCTTCAGGGCCATTTATTGTTGCCGTTTCTTTCATTTTGTAGTGCTGCCTTACTTCAGCAACTGTGTTTTTAATATAAGCATTTACAGATGAAACATTGCACACAGCATCTTGAAGAGATAATTGGACCGCGTCGATCGTATGTGCACTAATTCCAAAACTATCATAGAGACATTCGAGATTGCAAAGAAAGGACACTTTGCCAGTAAGCCCCGAAGCTAGTTTGATTGTTTCAGCAGCTATATCGGAAACAAAAAAAATTTTCTACAAGGAACAGATTGCATGAAATTGTGTAAATGAGCAGCTTTCTTCAGTTCCATCAACAGTTCCTTCATGGCCAGTACCCAACAAGGTCTCAACTGTTGCACTTAAGGGATTAAAGGTCTTAACCTTTTGATCTTTGTTGTCGGTGAAAACAATGTTGCCCTCATAACCATACAGCCTCCTGATTTCCTTACAAGAATCTGAAGAATTCCGCAAGAGTCGCTCAACATTGAGAGAATCGAGGTTACAACCATATAACCCTCCAGCTGCGCTAGTTGCAGCCAAGTATGCTGATTGCCGCAGAACATAAAGAGATTCAACATTTGTCACGTCATTAGAGTAGTTTATCTGTCTCAGCCTACTACCGATGATAGCCACTCCATTTTACTTTAACTCCAGCTGCATTATGCTTCTCTGCTCATCATCTGCACACAAGAGGATATCCTTACTTGCCGCACAGATGGAAGTTGATTTATTTAAAGGTGGGTTAATCTGGACAATTTGTTTATTCAGTTCTCGACTTGTGCAGCTAAAGATCTCAGATGTGTCGTCAACCGCTTCTGTAGAACTGGACTTGTACCCTCAAGTGACAATCTGAAACGACTAAGCTGCGAGAGCAAATCAGCTCGCGATTTTAGGCGTCCGGGTTTGAAAAGTACTTCGCCTTTCAATTCAATGAAACGGATTGCTGATGAGCCTCTCTCTGCAACGAAGACTGCGCCATTGGTAAAGCATAAGTCCCGCGCATCCTTAAATACTTCCCTCCGAACATTTACATCGACTGGTCGGTGTAAAAGCAGTTCTACGAGACTATCGAGAGTCGAAATCGTAGTCTAACGCCAGTACTTTGCCTTAGGGCCCAATTTAAAGTGCAATTGGTCTTTTGCAAACACTACTTTGGTTGGATTTCCAGAAGCGATACTTTTCAGGAACTATTGTGTGGATTACCAAACGTATCCCCTTAAGTATATCCAGTACTGAGGGTCTAGTAAGGCGCATTATTGGTTCTAAGGACAAGAGCATTTCAGCATCGGCTCGCTGTTCGTGAGTGATTTTCTTGAGTTCTTGCAGAATTTAAAAGAACAGATCCTTAAAAAAAACTTTGGGGTCTCCTTTCAAACACTAAACAGTATTTTTTTCGAGAACAGTAAACATTAAAAAAAAAGCCAATTTAACAGTAAACATTAAAAAATATGGACAAATAACACTAAACACTAAACCCCATTCAGACCCTCTTCTATTGCACAATCCCCCCTCTCCTCACTAAAGAAAAAACAAAGAGAAAGGAAGAAAAAGAAGAAAAAGAGAACTTCATTTTTCTGCCATTTCAATTTTCCACGAGCAAGGAAAAAAAGATTTTCTAATCTTTGTAACATTCTTAACAGATGATCAGGTTCCTGATTGGTCATTGACGACCCTAACAGATGATCAGGTTCCTGATTGGTCACTGACGAATGTATAAGTACGTCATAAAGGGGTTTCTATATGATACTTTGTCGAAATTGAAGCTCTCAAAGATTGATAAAATATATATATATTTTGAAAAAAGAATCTACAAAAGAACTTGGTTTGATTTCCACTATTAATGGTTACCTATGAATTAAGAGAAAAATTACAAGAATTTTCCAAACCATTGAGAAGTTATTCATATGTACCAGAGATGCACAAAGAAGAGAAGAAGAGAGATTTTACTTTAGATTATGATGAACAACAAATCATTAAAACTGCTTGCACATTTCATAATCTATGGTCAATCGTGAAGTTTGAAAGGTTTGCAAATTGCATTCGCTCACATCTCAAGCAATCACGAAAACTTTTCTGACATGACTGGCGCCCTTAAAACACGAAATGCTTGCGCAGTTAATGCAATTTCCCAAACCTGTCATCAAAAGAAATGCCCCATTTTTTCCCTTGACGCTATGTGTTACCCTCTAACTTTAGCCCCGATGATGAAACAGCAAAAAAAAATTCATCAGAGAAAAAAGGAAGCATTATAGTCGCCAAGTTACATTTTCTGCGCGGGTTTTCGGTTAGCAAACAAACAAAATCTGCTCAAAGCTATTCACATAAACTCTATGAATTCTACTGTGCCGTTACAATCAAAGGCATTGGGAATCATTTCATGCTGGTGAGGCTGGTCAAACGCATTTAAGAACAATCATGGAAGTAGTTGTTACCGTATGGTACCAAAACACGCCCAAAAGATAAGGCTTCTTACTCAGCGATTGCAGGGCGCAAAAGCAAGTCACAGTAGCATCTAGAAGGTCTTCAAAATGGACGAAGCTACTCGAAGACTTTTTCTTCTTCAAAAGAAAATATTAAATGAAAAGTCGTCAAAAGAGGGAAACTGTCTCCTTAGAAGGCTATGCCCCAAAAGAGTGTATGAAATAGATAAATAAATAATAAACGCAAAAAGAGAGAGGATAAAAAAGGAATCCAATTTTTTAATTCTTACAATCTGATCAATAATGTTTTTTTAATAATTTAATATTTACAACAATTCACATGAAGTAGATCATTCCATGTGTATTTACATTGTTATTTAAAATATCTTAACCATTATTTAGTTAAAAAGGCAACCTTGAATTGAAAAATTCGGCTTCAAGCGAGTCATTTGAATTCCACTTCTTCATTTAACCCTTAAACTCCGAGGTTAGTAATTCTCCTTACTGTTAGATATACAATTCTTTTCATGTCAGTTCCGAGAATTTGATACTAGATCAATTAATGATTCCCTAAAATTGATAATTTTCTTCATTCTCATCACCTGTGTGCATGATACTGTATCGACATTGTAAGAAGAATTGCTGTCGTGGTCACTCATGGGAGTTAAAGGGTTAAGGTGTTAGAAAATTAATATGATGCTAAATGACTCCCTTAAATTCTTACGTCGGCGAAGAAAACCGTTATTGAATGGAAATACTTAAGAGCCTTGATAAGACGAACAACCAAAAGAGCTCTCGAGTTCAACTTTAGCTACGAATGGACTGAATCAGTCCATCAATTGTAGTCCAATCTATAGATACGTTTGAGGGTAGTAGAGAATTTGCGCTTCATATAAATATATTTTTTTGGTGTAATCTAATTTCTGTGTTGTCAATATATGAACCATCTTTGTAAATTGTCTCTTTCGAAGAATCTGATATTTTTCAATTCTGTCATTTTTAATTTGTTTTAAACGTACCATTCCTTACTCATCCATATTATTTCTTTTTAAATTTAATCAATGTCTTTTCCTTTTTTTTCCATTCTACCGAACCATTACTTCGTAGCCTCTATCAGTTTCCAGGCAGGTTAATACGTCGTATAAAACAACTCAATGCATCATCACGCAGCTTTTTCGAACACAGCAGTCGATCGTCTGCGTATATCGAAATTTACAATAGCTGGGTGACGTGCTTTTAGGCTCTAAAAGCCAAATAGTAAATCAACAGGATACCTGTAATTAAATAAGTTTGGTTTTAGAAAATTCTATAGTTTTATCTTTCCCTATTTTGATATCCTTAAACAGATTTCAATGGATTTCTCAAATTTGGCGTGAAAACGGCTAAAAACCTATGTTTTCATTCATCTGACACCTTTAATCGAGTACACCCTCAAATACTTCCTCATCGCATTAATAAAAAGTTCAGTTGTATAACGAATACTTTTCGACCTCATTTGCTCTGAATTTCACCCCAAATATTTAACCAGTGTTTTAATGGAATTGAAAGACAAATACTGCAAGCAGCACCTCTAAGTTTCTGTGGTTCGGCACGTAATTGCGAGGAATGTCCGTCGAGCAATTAATAAACATATTTTTCTCGTTTGGATTTACGCATTCAAAGCTAAATGAGATCTCTCTTTGTCACCACTAGGCTTCCACACTATTACTTCTGAAATATTTTGTAAATTGGGGTTTATTTAACATACTTTAGTTACTCTAATTGTTAATGTTAGTAAAAAGGCACTCATATTTAGTCAACCTGACGTTATGCGCATACGCCTCATTTGAAACGCAACGGTCATCGAAAGGCGCAAGTGGAAGTGTGCCTAATTCCCACTCTCAAACACGCGAATTTAGAAACCTGGAGCCTGGCAACTTGGAAATTCTCTTGAGAGTACTGTCCTCCAAATCGTCGTTGGTGGAGGAGCGCGCTCGACATAAACTGTTAGTTCCACTCTTGATGTGTTTATTCTTGTCCTTCATAAGACGGGAATGCATGAAAGCTACTTTTGAAGACAACCTCCTCACTTCATCCTGCAGAAAAAATTAAGAGAACGCCCGTATATTAAGGTCCCCGCCATCGCGCAAAATATTTTTGTTTCTCTGTGGCGCTGCGTCGGTGAGTTACAATAACAAGGTAATTTGGTATTATAAACTGAGTTGATAACATAAATTGGCCACCGGTCAGAATTTCAAACCTGACGTTTTGAGCGTTTACTCCTCGTTAGAGTAATGACGAAAGGCTAACGCTCGAAACATCAGTTTTGAAAATCTTCAATCTTAATGTTTTTTGCATAAACTGTAAAAAACCGGCTTCGACCACAAGAGCTATCGAACCACGAAGTTGACTATATTGCTATTTTGTGCCGGATAAGAATTGAACAACACTGCTGTTAGGTAGGCGAGCGATCCCACTTTAACGTAATTCCTGCCACCCAAACTGGCTTGTTTTGGGCTCACTAGTCGCGCCTTATGAATGGTTATAACATCATACATCTATTATTACCTTAAGGTCTTTGTTTTCCCTTTCTAATGTTGCCACATCAGTTGAACAACTGCCGTTAGGAGTCTGGGGGGAGTCACTCGGCTGACGGTCCGCGGTTAGTCGCCGGTTGACCTCTTTTCCGCGCATCTTCCGTAAAAACCAGAACTGTTAAAAAGATGTAATAATAATAATGAATAACCTTGACTTGTTAAAATAAGGGCACTTTTTATCCCGCCAGAGCAGGACTTTAAAAGGGTCAGATTACTTCTGAGGGGTAAGTTACGTTTATTCCCCAAAAGCAAACATTACAAAGAATAATCAGATCAACACAAATCAACACAGGACAAGTAACACATGAAGAGCAAAATGAGATTGTATAAAATTACGAAAAACAACAAAGAATATTACGGACATTTCGTATGCTTGCCTGTTCCGCACGTAAAACGCTCTGAAACGGCAGAGCGAAAATCGAGGGAGATTTGGTTCCGATTGTTCACACGCTACCAAACTCAAGCCTCTCCCGTTTTTTTACTCCTCTGCTACTATCGTGTCGTTTATTTTCGCGCCTCGCTTCATTTACCGTTCGATTGGAACAGGCAATTCATATAAGTGGAAGTAAACAACAAAATCAATCAAGTTGTACGGCTATCCTTTTGCCAGGTATAGTCAAACATCGTCGTTTACAATGTATCACAATTATACTTGCCTTTGGAACGAATAAGAACAGAATTGCAACGGAAGCAGTCATCTGAATAAGCATAAATTCCGTGGCAAAAAGAATGTCAGGATTGGTGTTGTTAGCAGTGAGAATCCTACGATAAAGAGACAAGATTAACCACGAGAAAAAACTACTGGATATCAAAAAAGAGTCCTTTTTATGTGCTCTATGGAGGTAAGATGCAAGGGCTCACTCTTTTCATCAATTCCCTCGACAACTTACCTCAACACGGCATCAAAACACGTGATAAATATGGCGTTGTAAACAGCCCAAGAAGTAAATCTAGTTTCGTTGTAGGCTGATGGTGCATTTCGAACGCGGAAACATAAAAACATGGCACCGACCAGTAAAATGAGTTCACCTGTGAGGGGAGAAATTGGAAAAAATTACGTTGTAGAAAATAGCAGACGTATTTTGGCTGCAATTTCCCAACATAATTCACATTTCTGGGCTTCGAGCGCGACCTTAGGAATCTCAGATTCCATTCAACGTGCAACCATATCAATTACCCGACAAGAAGTGAAAGCAACAAGGCAAGTTTCAAGGGGAAATTTCTGGATCTCAAAAAGCATTCCTGTTTTCCGATTGAAAAATCCAAGTGGAAACATTTCCTGTGGAAGTTCCTCTTCCCTTTCAGAAAGTTTCACTTGTTCCAGGCCTCCCATAACCACATCGGTAAACAAGAGTTGATACTCACCAAACAAGCTGACGTAATGCATAACACTGTACTCGCATTGTTTAAATCTCAAATCGCCTGTGCTGTGCTTCACTTGTGGGGGCATAAATAAAGTCCAAACGATGAGAAAAACTACAGCGGCGGCGCAGAGTAAAGCTAAACGACCAGCTATCATACCGTCTGTCACATCAACTCGCCTGGGAGATCGAGCACGAAATGAAACTGACACTCTGGGAAAATAAAAGCAATAAGAGCTAGGGTTAATGCTGAGTTCATTTGTCGATTAAAGAAAGGTGTTGAACATTTTTCACGAGTGTGAACGAAAGAAAAAGCTGAAATGCTGAGAGGATTCAGACCTCAGCCCACAAAACCATCATCACCAAACTGAATTAACAACCACAACAAGAGCTACACCACTACCACTAACAACAACAACAACAACAACAACAACAACAAGGACTAAAGCTAACAGTCTTATTACCTCCAAGCCTTTAGAGTAAGAATTCCATAAACAAGAAAAAAACCACATTTGTAAAGCCACACTTCTATGGTACAGGACAAAGAGGAGGGGTCCACATACGCAGCTCCTAACTGAAGAAATAATGTTCACCATTAAGTACTGTAGTTTTCAATGACATTTGTTGCTAGAATAATGACAGATAATGTACCCCTAAAACCCTAATTTCTCTCTACTGTAATTCGGCTGAATCATTCCTCAAGATAATTAGAATAAAGGAAATGATAGCCAACCCAAGAGGCTCTGATTATTTAACAAATTCTCCTTATCAGCACCAAAGCAAATGTAAAGAGAAGAGTTTGGAGAATATGGATATTGATGTTAGGGTGTTAAGGGGTTAAGAGAAATTATCATAACTAACTGCTTTTACAGGTGAAATACAGCATGAAGTGTATTTTACTCTTTTGACCGCCAAGGTATTCTCTGAGCTAATTCTCTCGGCTGATGACCGCTAATGTTGCATCACGGCAATTTCTACAAGTTTATCATTTTGCATTTCTTCTGCCAGCTTGATCATGAGTTACATACTAAGCGATCGTGGGAGAAATCTAACATTTAAACCATATCATCCAACAAAATAATGAAGGAAGCAACTGCATAAACAAGTACAGTGTTGATAAATCGCGCTAAGTCATCTTACCGACGAATACATCGAGATGGCACCAAAAAGAAGAATCTGCAGAAATATTGGACTGGATACTTCAAATACCTTTAAAAAAATAGCACAAAAAAGTCTCTGATGATTTATCAATTTTGTTAGCGTTGCAGGACGAGCGTTTCTCCGCCCGTGGGAAGATTTGAGAAGGGTCAGGTGGAGGTTTGCCGGGAGTCAGGCATTCATTTTTAGTGCTAGACTCTTGAGATCACTCACCGCTTCGCCTAAAAATTTCTCGCGGGCAAAGAAAAGCTCGGGCCGAGCGCCGATAATGAGGATCTGCTCGCAAGCTACATATGTTCAGACTTTTGACCACGCTCAGCAAAATACCATCCCTCTCTATGACTCTATATTATTATTTTTAAGAATGCTTTTGACATTGTTGGCTCTAACAGCAAACAGGACGTTTTTTTAGCATAAATTTAGCAATAGGATAAGTCCGTCGACCAGACAGCGGGCTTGTGAGAGGTTTCCTCCCTGCGATTCCCAACAGTGCACATGCGAACAGTGTGGATGCCTTACACTCTCAGACATAATTGCTGGGACACTTTATTTGGAACATCACCTGTGCTTATCTGTAGGCTTCACTTGCCAGTTCGTACACTGTCATTCGGAGATCAACCTTGAGAGGGGCAGGCAAGGCAGCAAGCGCCCTAACAAATGTGTCTATGAGTGAAGGTCACCCATGAGCTTTTCGTAGCTCAGTTGATAGAAAGACAGACTACTGAACTGGCTGGGGATTCTTTCATAAATATTCATCATCTTTCTACGCAATATTACCTCACTTTCTCTGAAGATGTATACTACCAGTCCACTGACTATGGCCAGTATGACAGCCAAAGTGTCTATACTGATCAGAACTACTCGCGAGATCAGGTTCACTTTATACATACAGGGACTGTCATCCGTGCATTCATCGCATCCTTCGCTACACGGCAAACATTTGAACTCATCATCATACAAATTCGTCTCTTTGTGAACTTTCTTGTCATACTCCTCTTCAATCTCACTGCCGTTAAAGTATTTGGTGTCGGAATTGGGGTGAGGAAAGTAATAGCCTCGTCTGCAAATACAGCGATAGCTGCCTCGTTTGAAACCTTGATTGGCGATCGGTTCACACTGCAAGAAAAGAAACTGTTGCCTTACATATCCCCGAAAATTTAAGCAACGCTGCCTGCGCGTCATCCCCACTCAACAAACAAGGTGAGATTCCAATATCTTGTACTCGACATTTCATGATCTCGATTCGAGAGGGTTACATCAATCGTTTCCGTGAGGCCCTGTGATCGGTTTTCTTTGTAGATGGCGCCAATTTCTGTTGACGCACTGTAAATCACGCCGCTCCTAAAGAGCAGGGGTCCTCTTCTGAAGGGTGGGTTTGCATTATAAGGATAAATACCAAGGCTACGCATAAAAGAGCGGACGGAGAAGGAAAAGTGTATTGTTTCTTGCTCTTCTCCATGTCCAATCAGTTATCGTCTACCCTTCGGCCTTAACTGGGGGCATGTAAGATGGCACCAATCGCGATCGTTCGCCAAAAATACGCTTACACCGCACAATTCACGCCGGGAAAGTTTGAGTCCAAGTGAATTGCTTTTTGAGTATAAAATTTAACTCAGAAAGAATCCACAGATATGAAACTGAATCTAGTGTTGTGTCTTACCTGTGTGGAAGGTTTACATTTATGCGTGCCTAAGAAGTCGAGCAGCTTTCCAGTTCTGTCTCTCGTTCCCTTCTTCCCTCTGTTTCCTTTAGTCAAAGTGTCTGGCGCATCACACTGATTTATGTCGATGCTGCTCAATTCAACATCAATGCTTACAACACCACTGAAATAATAACGATTGAAAAACCATTAATTAACAATTATTCGCCTCAGGCTCAGTGAATGTTGTTAAATGATCCCCGTGGCGAAGTCGGGGGAATTACTCAACAATATTCACTGAGCCTGAGGCGAATAATTGTTTAGTTATAACTGCTAAGGTGCTTTCGAACTCTGTCGTAAATATTCGTCTGATGTTGAGACTATTCTGTTACACTGTTTTGATTACTCACTATCGAGATGAAGAGCCGGTTTTCACTAGTATTTGATTGGTACATTTAATTCAATCAGCAAAAACTTCATATATTTCTTTTAAAAGGTGTTACTCCAATCTTAATAGCATCCTTTGCGCTCCTCTTAATTAAAATTTTCCAATAGCGTTCATCACTTCCTCGGTGACACTGACAAAACACAAGGCAGCCATTTTCAATTTTAGCGCTCCTACTATAGTCACCTCGCGCGAGGACCGGTGATTCTAGCGAGATATGAGGCAATCCTCGACCAATCGGAGCGCACACATCTTAAGAATCACAGGAGCAATTATGTTAAGAAAAATTATTTTTAATTTCAGGGTTGATAGTCGGTGAACTATGGGTATGCCTAATGTAAGAGGTGGACAGTGTCACACGCTCGTGGCCTACGGTAAATCCAGCTGTAAAGAAGAACGAAGTAAATTTTGACTCAATACAATAGAAAAGAGTTGATATTGTCACTACTCGGCGTCAGTGGCGATCCGAGGATGTCACCAGTTACCCATGGCAATCAAGGGAAACCTGTGGTACAGCATGCACTGGTTCCCATTTTCATTTTTGTTTATTCCACGCCGCATTTTAAGTCTTTTGGTTTGAAACTTGTGCTCTTAACAAAAGTCCTTCAGCAAAATAAACAAATTGTCCCAAATACCTCTGTTGACTTAATGATAATTAAAGATCAAACTTGTGGAAAAAAGGCATTTACATTCTCTGTTTCCTCATCTGGTTGTCAAAACCCTACTTTTTAATCAGTCGGGGCTGGTTGATCAGTTCTGTAGTTTCCTGCGCAAATAATTTTTGTTTGTGTCGTTACAATTAGCATTTAAATTTATCGAGTTCCTTCAGCATTTTCACGGTTGCATTAATTCAGTTACCAAAGCATCAGAGCAGGTACAGTCTAGACGCATTTCTCCTCAAAAACATCAACAATTGAATTGCCTAGCAACAGGGGGTGATTTTGATATGAAAATTCTTAGATTAAAAGATAATTTTAAAAAATTACTTAGATCGCAAGTACACAAACGAAAATGAAAACATAATTTCAAAATTTCATATGTCAGCTTGTGACACGTCAAACAGTCACTCAGCATCTTAAACAAAAGAAGGATACCAAATTGTCACCTTGAAAGAGATTCAAAATACAGCTTTATTTTTTCTGCTGTAAGAGTTTTGACGAACGAAAGTTGTGAGTCAATAGTTTTTCTCTTATCAGAAAAGTTATCATTGAAGTGGCACCTTGCTTCTTGCTATGACGCTACTGTCATAAGACTATTTGCGAATCACCGCCTTTTAGTATTACTCACAACTTCGTTTGTCTCAATTGACGAAAAGTGAAATGGAATAAATTTAAAGACGAGATATTGTCTTGAGAAAACAACAAGAATTTTTTCTTACGTAACTGCTGATTGTGGATCAAGCCACTGTTTCCATGCATCCTAAAATAAATCTTACGCTTTAACCCGGTTTCTATCAAAGCCCTAAAAATCAAAATGACGGGCTATGAATTTTGCAGTTTCTGTTCGTGACAGCACGAATACTGACAAGATAGCACTAACCTCAAATCAGCTACATCGAATCAATTATGTGCATCATTAACAATCAACGCAATGCTTACGCTGACATAAGCTCGGAGAGGATTTTCATCTGCATGTTTACGGGCGAATTAATTAACGTTCGATTTCCTATTTCCAAGTCGATTTCAAATAACGTGGCCTTCTTTGACCACGGCCACCTCAGGGGAAAGATGCTAGACAGTTCTGTATGACATAATGTTAGACAATTTGCTGCATAATCCATCTTGGCTACGTGACTAGGGCAAATGTCAAGATATCGGTAAAATCTGCTCGTGAGCAGAACTTACTATTACATTTTCATCTACTCCGTCAGAGTGCGCTATTTGCCCTAATTGTTAATGACCTAAACTCGTCTTTCACACATAAATTGGTTGTTAAAAAGTTGTTTCATGCATAATGATAAGGTTATTAATTCTCTTCTCTTGACTAACTGAATTTCAAGGAAGCGAGTAAGGAGAAGTTACGATGTAATCAATCTAGGGATCGCATTGAAAGAGGCATATCGTGAAAATAGATACTCGTTTACCGGTTTCCAATTGGACACACGTATATCACGACCATAAGGGTTTTTTAAAGCTTCCTGTCTTGTTTTGTTTTTTTGAGCTTCGTGTTTTTTTCCTTTTTTTTTTTTTTTTTTTTTTTTTTAAAGCAAATCGAGACACTGAAGAAAAACTGTATGGATGTAGACTTGAAATTTAACCTGTATCGTGGACAATTTACTTAATAATTATAAGTCATAACACAAATCAGTACTTTAAATTAAATTGGAACTGGAAACAATCGGAAGTTTCCACGCACAACATTAACAATTTTCTAGATGAGCACATATTCATAAGTCGTTTGTATCGACGAAGAGAGAGTCATTAACTGCAATGCCAGTACAACAGCGAGATACGCTTGATAGCGGATGATAGATGTACGCTACTGTAAACAAGAAAAGGTCTGCGCCAAATCAATTGTTAATTTTTACTAGTAGCAAACAGACACGCAAAAATGAAATGTGGTAAAATATAGATACTCACAGAAATCGGTTTGATTCGTTAAAAAATGGAGCCAAAAATGTGGTCATCCATATGTGACCTCCAAAGCAATCAAAGTAAGGTCGAGTCCAGTGACCATCCATATCGTAGCGAACAACAGGAACAGTTTTGGTGTGAGGCGTTTCTGCCGTCGTTCGATTCAGACGAATAGAGTATATTTCTTCAGCGTTTGGGATTACCGTTCGATTCACATTTTTGGAGCGTGGCTCCCACCACCATATTGTCTCTGGACTTGTTAAATAATCATGATCGACGGCTATATCTTTTACATGGATTGAACCATTATAAGTCTTGTCTCTGAATGCATAAGGACAAAACCTCTCGTAGTTCCGATACTGGTTCTTCTCGAAACAAATCACTGAACCAAACACGGACGGCGAAAATCGAACATTTGATCGCACTATGTTGTAAAGCAATGTGTCATTTTCCACCATAGAGAAGCCATCCGCGGTTTTCACGCGCTTTAAAGATGTCAACAGATTTGCAACTTCGACCGCGAGCAATGCCTCGCTCTTCCAGCGAGCATTCTCGAATCCAATGTCGAGAATAACCGACTCATTCGATTGGCAGGAATTGTTTTTCGCCATGCGTACCTTTTCCACTTGTCGCAATGCGTTTTTGAGATGGTCACTGTGCGTGTCCGAGATCTCTTCACCATGTTTGAGATTGCGGTCGGTGTTCGCTTCAGCAAATATAATCCCACGGCTCCCGTAATCAAAGCCTGCAAGAAGGAGATAGTAGACCAAACCCCAAAGCTGAGCTAATTTGGTCTTCATATCCTCAAATTCAGAAAATTATGGTGTCGAAAGAACATGTTTAAGACGATGGTTGAAACTGAAACCATCCGTGTGTGTCACATGCTTTCATCAGGTCACAGCACATCATTCTACTAACTTCCGAACTACATGTATAGTTACACTGGGTTTCGTAACGCTTTCTCGTCACGCTCCAAACGGCCTCGCGGGCGGTCAACGTCGTAAATAGTCTGTAAATTATTTTCAACTCTCTCACAAGACTTTTCTAATTGGCGAGAAAATACAAACACAATTGAAAATTGTTTCTGTGAATACATAAAACCATTTTTTGCATATTCGATTTCCTGAGCTACTTACTAAATGTACAAACGAAGCGTATTTGTAATCAGCGGGAACACAGCCAACAAGGTCTCGCTAATTATAACCATTTCACTGGACAAGAACCGGAAGTTAAGATAAGAAATAAACCAGCATGCTTCTATTACGGGTCATAATTAGCAAGGAACGTGTAGGTTTAGAAAGGCTTATTCTTGAATCGCCTTAGGCCTAAAAAATATGCTTTACAACAAATGAATTACATCGGGCTTCTAAACAATGAATTGATTACACTGCGCATTCCGTATTAAGTGGGCTGATATATGATTCCAATAAACAGAAAGTCCATCTGTGAGAACCCTTATCTTAGCGTGTTCCTAGATGACCTGTAGTCACGTCGACTAGAAATTCCCTAATAAATAAAGACAAAGTCGACCTCCGCATGCCACTTTTGCTAATTACAAACAGGACAGAGAGTAATTTGCGGGTACCAGAATAATGCGTTATTGTGTTTTTTTTTCATCTTTGATTTGAGTAATGAACTTGTCTCAACCTCTGCAAAGGCACCAGCCGAGAATTGAATTTCTTTTAATGGAGATTAAATCGCTTTCAATTTACTGCGCTCTTCCCCCTTATTTTATAGGCTAAATAGGACACAGGAAAATATCACCAAAAGACCTTCTCAAACGAATTCGAGTTTTAAGTTTTGAAACAAAACACAACACAATAAAACCGCAGTAAAACAAAAACGCATTACTTGGGAAATAACGCATCTATCATTTCATTTTCGAAGGGTTCCGTGATAGACTATTTATCAGCATGACCACAAAAATAAAAAATTTATAATAAGGAGAATTATATCACAATAAAAGGGAGGAGGATCCAAATTAAAAACGCACTGAAAGTTGCTAGTCAACTCAATTCATGTTGTGGCTGGTGCAAAATGAGTAATTCATTTTTCACTATTTTTAGACTTTTTTAAAATTGCATTTTCTAGCCTACTATATCAACTGGCCTAGAGCAACTTTGAAAGAAAGCCAAACCAAGCCTTTTTTTTCTTCTTCTTCTTCTCCTTCGTCTTTATTTATTTATTTATTTATTTTATTTGTTATTTTCTGATGGCAATGGTACTTCGGCTGCACTGCACTGTGGGAGAGACGGCATCTGGGCTGAAATCCTACAATGAAGGGATCGTTCTTCACAGCGGGTCCCATTTTTTTTCTTTATTGTAAGCATATTACACATCGAGTAACATCTATCTCTAATGTACGCAGAAGTTTATTTTCATTTTAATGGTTTTTTCATTTTCAGGATAGCCTGTAGAGAATCGTACCGTTGGACAGAATCGACCGAGACTTTCCGACTACATGAAACCAGCCACGTAGACAGGCTCTTCTCGGTCCCCACTCGACAATGTTGGTTTTCCTTTTTTCAAAGTAACCTTTTTTTAACCATGCGGCAGTTATTCTCCAGCCGGTTACAATAAGTCCAGAATTTTTTTCCAGAGTTGTGTAAGATAAAAACCCTTTTACTGAGCGGACTCTGAGGTTTCGTAAGATCCAATGAGTGTCATCGAATTCGCCGTGGTTCAGTGGAGGATTGTTTAAATATATATTTATATCTCGTTGAATTTTTGAAATCTTTACTCTTGTCTCACCCGCATATCAATCGAAGCGAAATGATGAGCGCATTTTAAAATCCAAAATGGTTACAACAGCCGAGCTGAGCAAAGGAAAATAGGAAATCACGAGAAGCCAATGAGAACTCTGAAAGCAAACGCGAGTAAACCGCGCGGCCGAAGTGCAGGAAAACGCGACTGACTAAGGCGTGACTGCTTTTAGCTTTGAATATGATTAGTTACAAGGAGTTTCTGGTCCAATTACATCGCGAGCAGACGAGTTAAAGCGAAACTGGCAAAGCAATCTTGGATCACTTTCTACATTCAATTGGAAATTGCTCCTCTAATTAGTCTTACTCCGAGTTGTACCCACAGTTCGCAGGGTCTTCGTATTCATCAACCAAGAGGAACACAGCCAAAGCTTTTGGAAACGGTTCTTCACCTTCACCTTAAGTACAATGTTCACGGACCGGTTCTTTTGTCAGAGATAAATGACTCCGCAATAACGATGTGTTTTTAGTACCACCCCTCGGGGATATCAGCAATTAACTTCTTCCTCCGTATTTGCACGGTGGAAAGCCGAGTCGCTTATCAAATTGTTTGCGTTTTCGATGCAGCTGTCATTTAAGGACGGCAGTCAGCGAAAAATGATATTTCCCAGATTGTTGACAAAAATGTCAGTAAATTATGTGTAAATGTTATATCAAACAAAAACGTGTTTTAAGGTCCAATATGTCATAAGAATTTCCAAGGATGATGAACATAACCGGGTTTAAATGTACTTGCCATTTCTTTTGTTACAATCCCTGGATAAACGCCGCACTCCTCTCATTGGTTGCGGCGTTTTATTAGATAGCAACCTTTATAGATGATTTTCTTCTGTTTGTGGTATTTACCCAAGAAAGCGGCATTTTATTGGGTATATACGGCTATTCAAATCATAAATTCAAATCATAGCAAACAGAGTTTAGATTTTTTTCAAGACTTTGTCGGCCACAAACCTTTAAGATTCCACGGAAATCCCACGGATACTATATGTTAATGACTATCACGAATTCTTCTTCTAGACTAAAATGGCTGAGATTTTACGCGACATTCTAAGTATTTTCAGAGTCCAAAACAATCTCCTTATTCCTAAGAAGTGAGTTCTCATGACAGAGTGATAAAAAAGACTATGAAATTTTGTAGTTCTGATGCGAGATATTTAGAGCTAATTTGAGAAGGGAGGATGAGAAATCTTTCGAAGCCAAGAGTCACTTATTCGAGTGACATTTGTTTCTTTGCCCTGTTCTGTTATTGTAAAATTCTGTATGAAAAATTATGTCACCAATTGCAGCGCTAATGTTAACTATTACAGTTTCCTGTAAGATGTGATTGGTGCATTTGCTGCTTTATTTCACCAATCATTCTGTATAGTTGTAATCGAATAGTGTAACCGGACAGTTAAGGCAGCGAATCATACTAAATTGACTCAGCTTGATCCACCTATTACAGAATTGAATACAATAACCATAGCAACCATACCTACAAAACTGGGGAATTCCAAAATAGAGGAATTTTTCACTTCAGACGATGTCCCTTCCGGAGGTATTTTACCCATTTTTAATTTTGCCTTATTTCCAAAGTTCGGAAGTTGTAACAGTTATCGTAATTGGTAACAGGACGTCGTGTAACCCAGTTCTGTCTGTAATCATACTCGTCATTAATAAATCGGACTCCCGATTTTGTAAATCACTCGTATGATTACAGACCGAGTTAGATTCCTTCCACTCAGTCCTCTTACCATCGCCAGTTAATCGAAACAAATTATTTTTTCCTCTCACATTTTCCATCCAAATTAGAAAACGGATCAATGTATTTATTCCTCACAATCACCTTGAGCATGCGCATATAAAGGTCTTACTAGCGTACCGGTGATTTGGCCACCCGTTTCCTCCTCTTGTCATCTCTAAGTGACTTGTCGAATTCTGCTCGGAAAATAAATAAATCTGATGAAAACAGCAAAACTGACTTTTCCGTGGTCGAACCGGTCAAAAGTGGGAAATTTTAAAATTAATCTGGCTTAATCTGAATAGGGTCTGAAGTAATTTATTCCTTCAGCTGGGTTGCATATAATACTACTGCATATAACCTATATATAGGTACGCGTCGTAAAATGTTATTAACAAGCAGGTGATTTTCCAGTATGAGCTAATAGCCTGTCTGTTAAGCTATGACCCGGAGGCGTAATTTTATTGTGAAGTCTAACAGGGTAAACATTTGTGTTATCTCTCGCTTATTCGTCAATAAACTGGGCGAGTTCCCGTCGAGAGATTTTAAGTACATCATGGACAACCTTAAGACCAGACTTTTAGAATGCATGCGAAACTGACTTTGCGTAACAATTGCTTATTATTGGTGGAGCTAGACTCTAGAGTTCACTTCTTGAAGAGCTACAGAGCTGTTTTTCTGTATTGTTTTTCAAAGACATCTAAAATCTATCTCTCTTCGAGATTAGTTTCTACTTATACTCGCACTCCGAGATTCGCTTCCAGACGAGATACAGAACCTATTAGATCAGGCCATGCTTTCTGTGTTTTCCTTAACATGAAACCTGGAATCTAGGCTGCTGAATAAGCAACTCAATTGATTTAGGTAAGATCAAGAGAAAAATATTTATTATCTCTTGGTTAGATGGCTTTTCATCCTTTCACATACATACAAGATAATAGGCTGCGAATCAATAATTTCAAACATGTCAAATCGGTGATTCTAAGTTTCCTTTAGTTTTGTTAACAATTTTGAAATATAGTGAAAGTTTTGTTTCATCTTGTCACGAGCGTAGGACAAAGAAAAAATTCTGAGTCCCCATGAGGAATCGAACCTCAGACCTCCGAATTCCGCGCTCCCATATATGGGACAAAGAAAAAATTCTGAGTCCCCATGAGGAATCGAACCTCAGACCTCCGAATTCCGCGCTCCGGCGCTCCACCACTGAGCCACAGAGACTCTATGGTGAGCGCATTACGAAGTTCATATGACAAGCGTTCTGCATCCTGCTAGGATCAGCAATATTGATAGCGTCATGTTTGTAAATAGAATAAGAGAGATGGTCAGCTTTGAGCTCGGTAAAGAAATAGTGAAAGATATTTTTGTTCTTGTCCCGAGCGTGGGACAGAGAAACATATTTCATTTTTTTAGACACTGTCAATATATTTGTATCTATTGGGGTTTTTTACATTGCTTTTGCGATGGTTTTTCACCAGCCTTTAACCCTAGTTTATCAGAGATTTCTAGGAAAAAGTTTTAGTCCATCTATGCGGGGTTATAAACATGTTCGTTAGCAGAAATCATGCGATAAAATCAGATTATTATTATTATTATCATAATCCCATTATTATTATTATTATTATCAATAATATTCTCATTATTATCATGCACATGTTAAATTGCACCTGTTCGACGACTGATAAGCTCTGCTACATGCAGCTATTTTCGATAAAAACTTCGCATATAAAGGTTTGAAAGTTAAATTGATCGACGTGCGATTGTTAGTTCGTGGCTTTAATTGATTGGTTATATAGAGGTACTGATGGCTATTGACCAATGCGAAAAGGAAACTTTGTAGGAAAACTAATCTATATGTTAATGTAGAGGTACTTGTAGGCGCACAGGTGAGACGGAAAACGCTCAGAGAACTGTCGGCGGTATGTGCTGCTTGCATGAGTATAAATATTGCGGTCAAATGTTATAATGATCCAGCTCGCTTGATTATAAAACCAATTAAAACCGGAGGAAGAAGGAAAATAATGCAGCTTAATTATTCAAAATCGGAAGAAAGCTGAGCTTCTTTTTCGACGCCTGCGTTGATTGGAACAATAAAATACAATTAAGCCAACTGTCATTTAAGAAAGAACGTTGCAGCTTAATTTATGCAACTTGGTTTTAAGACGCTAACGGCTGGTGTTTACCATTCATTTTAACCAATTTCTGGAAAGATGGCCGATCAAAGTTCTCCGGGGCCATTTGTGAAGAGTTTTCAAGGAAAGTCAGAGATTACTTCCGCTGATTTCCTGAAGATTTTCAAGAAATTTGATACAGACGGTGAGTATTTTTGAAATATTGCCATCAATTTGGAGAGCAAACAGTTGAAGGTTTAGCATGCGAGGCCGTCCAACAGTCGAATTTTTTCACGGCATAGATTTTCTTCCCACATTTCTCGCAAGAGTGCATTATTTTTGCTCTTTTCGTCGGTAAACCAGATTGTTTAGATGACGAACGGCGTGTGCTGTAAAATTGACGCGAAATTTATAGGCTTAAATCAGCTTTAATGACAACTCAAAGAAAAAGAAATTCTGTAGATTTGAGTAGAGGCGTGAACCGTATAAAGGTATAATGCAGTTAGAAAATTAAACACAAAGGTTACTGATCATTGGTAGGAATATGCAAGTCCGATGAAAAAGGAAAAAAAATTTTAAGGTACATCCATTCAGCCTCTGCCCTGTAAAATAGATACTTTATTTTAATGCAAATGTGCTTCAGTATCTTTGTTTCTCGGGGACACTGTGCTGACAATCATTAGCATAACCTAGAGCACAACAGTTCACCTCACTTGAAGAGAATTTCTTTCTCGCCACTGGGCCAAGTGACAAAAAAATAATTACGCTTCTGAGCTTGAATTATTCATTTCGCTGCGGTTGATTTGTCGATTTCCTCATAATTCGAAAAAAATTTGGGACTTGAATAAAACAAATAAACGATAATCCTTTCGTTCAGGCTTCAGTCCCACTTTATCGCTTTGGCTTGAAAATGCATTGCGTTTTCTGTGCAGGCAGATAGCGGATATTGCCAAGGTTAGCCATGATTTTAAGAATTAAAGGTTGTAAATTTTTAATGAGTAACAAAGGATTAACTTTCATCCATGATTCCATGTGGATTTTAGTCATACGATACCCTTAAAAAGTTCAGATTTTCTAGTACTTGTGTCCATTGTACATAATAACTTTCTTTTTTCATATCAGGAATTAACGCTAATGAAGTTTACTATGATTTCGTGTTTTCACCACCACACCCATAGGCGTATAAATAATATATCGAGGCAAAACAGGAACATTTTTAATTTATCAGGTTATGCCGAAGGAAACGACAAGTATTGCCTCATCAACATCCGAGATAAACATGAACCATACAAAAACCCTTTGACACGACTGTTAAAAACCAATTAAAATATCTTTAAACTAGCTTCAGAGCAGTTCAGTGCCGTTTAAATGATATAATATTTGCCAGATCTTTTGAAAGTGTAAAGTCGACTTCTGTTGTTTTTGGGGGAAAATTGAGTCCTAAGCTGAATACAAGTTTTCGGGTTGCAGAATTATGATAAAACTACGTCTCATATTGTCAAGAATAAACAGTCACAAATCAATATAAAAGAAATTAAAGATAAGCCTGTGTGGAATTGTTTAAATTCACGCACGTTTGACATGCAGATTATCGATTAATGTGTTCAGAGCTATTTCTCTGTCTCGGAAAAAGCTGTCAAATGTAGAGTGTATTTGAATTAATCTAGAACATCACCTAGGAGATGCAGCAAAGGTAAAAAAAATACGAAATATTAACATACGAAGCCAGGTGAAAAAAAGATGTACCATATTTTTTCCGATAATAACGCCTTTAGTAGCGGAGAGCCGTATGACAAATAAAGATGTAAGCTTCAAAGTAATACAAGAACTATGATATTACCTCAACGAAAAAAAGTGACAAATAAAAACAAAATCTATGAAGAGTCATAAAAGCTGTCATTCTCATTATGCATGGAGGATCGAGTGTAAACACAACCAATTATGGTGTCAATTTGGCTTTTTTCGCAAACTAAAACAAAAGCTTTATATATGCTCGGACAGTACAAAATTATTCGTTAGAAGCGCGAATCTAGCGTTGATGATCGCTTATTTATTCATTGAGGGAACATCTCAAAATATGTCACCCGTTATATGCGAAGTGTTTAATCAGCCATGTCACCAGTACACTCGAGAATCGGAAGTTTCCAGAGAACTTACTTGTGCGATATATCGGAATAAGCTCTACTTGATCTCCTCTGTGTAATTAATAATTCATGAGCTACACCACGGTGTTAGGTCTATGTGTAATTAAAATAAACCTACTTCACAGCATTTTCCTCGCATTTAATTGCTCGCTGCTTTCTGGAGCGATGTAAACTATGTATTATCATTTTTTAATCTCTCCCTTTCGTTTACATCTTAGAAAATGGTTTTATCGATGCTGGTGAACTGGATGACTTCCTCGTTGCTCTGGCAAAGGAAAACAAAGGGGTACAACTTTCATTCTTTCATTTTCTAATATCATCATCATAAATTTTTGACCCGAATCTCGTTCGTTTTACCGGAAACGAAATCGTAAATGAGATATTATGTTTGATCCTCTGACTCATTCTTAAAAGATAGGTTTAGAGGTCTCCAATAGGGGTTTAACGGCTTTATGACTTTCCCGGCCCACTACTCTGAAAGCCGTATAAAGTTTACAGAAGTAGATAGATATTTTTACTAAAATAACACTTTGCGGCTAAAAAACTGAATTGCGTGTATAAATTGTGTGTGGATCTTCGTATTCTGCAGCGACACTATCCCAAGTCAAATCCTTGATGATTTTCCTTCCACATCAAGCGTTACTATATCAATATTGTGCCAGTCATAACATCTGTCTCAATCAATAGTTTTGCAGGAATAATGTCTGATTGTATTTCTAAGTTTTGTCGAGGAAAAAACAAAGACGAAAACACAACAAACAGATGGCGAGAAAATAAGACCAAAACGTCAATCTGAAAGATCACGCTTTTTCACAATTTCCTCTAGTCCTTTAATAGATAATAACAAAGTTTTTTTCATTGATACAGGGCAATCCAGACGCGAATGAAGTTGCACAGATGAAGAAGACAATTCTCGAGAACTACGATGATAATTTTGATGGCAAACTTGATCTGGAAGAAGTAAGTTCACTATCTCTTTGCTTTGGCTGACTTCCACGAGGTGGAAAATTTCAAATACACGACAATGTACTGTTCAACGACAGATAGACTCATTTGAATTCTCAGTAGCTTCGTCCTTCATGAGGACTTATCTGAAAAAAAGAAAATGAAAGGTCATGTGGACGAAGGTGCACTCCCAACCCCCCTAGTTGTTATTCGGGTCCAACCCTACATGGTGCCTAATAACACTGGATATTAAAAGGCAGTCTGTAATTGCGTGTGCCTATTGTATTATAGTTGTAGAGTATGACAGTAAAAAAGCAATGTGGTGTAAAATGCTGATGGGTTAATGAAAAGCTCTTGTCGATGCCAAATTGTGAGAAAAGGAGGACTTGATTTGAGTAGAGTTTATTCAATGGTTTATTGAAAGGCCGGGGACAGGGCAGGAAATTAATAGAACAGGCATATGCATTAAATGTGCATCAAATGTATTTTGTACAAACCCAGTGTCGGAGCTGAACCAGATTACACAAGTCGACACGATAGTCTGCCATTTTAAAAACCGTGAATGGTTTGAGGGGAAGGTTTACAGGAATATAGTGCTCACGGCCTTCGAAGAAGGAAGGCTTAGTGAGTAAAAAAAAATCGACCTCTTTGTAAATTGAAAGCTTTAATCAGTAGAGTAGTCCAGACGTACTTGAAATTTTTTCTTATGTATTTTCTTAACAGCTAGCTAATATCCTGCCCACCGAGGAAAATTTCTTGGCCAAGTTCCAACACGCGAACACCTTAACTACTGTTGACTTTTTCAAGGTTTGAAAATTACCTTTGTAACTCCATTTTAGGCAGTTAATAGAAATCCAGCCAGCATCAAAATAATTTGTACATACCCTTATTTCCAGGTCTGAAAAACAAATGAAAAAAGTTGGTTTTAAACTACAGTTTATTTATTGTTTGAATTCGCATTTTACTCAGAGAATCTTGTTGAATCAAATGAGTTCTGTTAAGTTTCAAGTTAACAGTTCCCTTCCTTGTAAAAGAATTCACCTTTCTTTATTTGTTTAACCCTGTACACGCTAACACCAATATCTAAGTTCTCTAAAGAGAGCCTTTTGATATTGTGATCATTTCCCTCATTCTCATAAAATTGATATTTGATTTAGGGCTGATACCATTGGGAGAAATTAGATGCTTATCACTCTTGGGGTTTAAAGGATTAAGGTTTGCGAGAGGGATGCAGCATCTTAATTTACAGCGAAAGTTCTATTTATTATATCAAAGGATCATTCTAATCATTGCTGACCATTTTTTAAGGTGTGGAACCATTATGATCAGGATCACTCAGGATTCATCGAGAGTGACGAGTTGGAGGTACGGATTCTTAAAATTAATCTTTAGGCGAATGAAAATTACAGGAGAAAATGGTTATAAAGAGTAGGCAATTATTTCTCGACGAGTGGTTTGAACAAAAATTTTATGAATTCATGAAACCTATTAGTTGTGAGCCGTCAAAATATTCATACCCCTCTGGTGCAACATGCACGTTTTGAGTTTTTTTTCTTTTTTTTTTTCACCCCTACCAACAATAATCACCAAAAGAGGCCTAAACCATGTCTCTCCCAGTGTACCACTTATGTCGGACTTCGTTCAAAAACACGTTTCTCGTGCCGCTCCACCCACGCGCTGCTCGTAATCAGCAGGTTGTAACAAGACGCTGCTGAACCATATATGGTCTTATCTCATAACCATTATTATAATAAAGTTCGGATATAACGCGCGCTGTCACTGGTTGAAAGAGCGGGCTGTCGTTCATTCGTAAAACTCGCCTTGAGCAGTTTGTTTACTATTTGTCATGTGAAAACACTTACGTGTTTTTGTAAGCCACAATACGGCCGGATTTCACTGAACATTTCACCTCCACATTCTGTATTAAAGACTAAAAAAACTTCAGACAAAAGTGTTAGATTCGACCTGCCAAACTATTTAAGTTTGTAAACAATTGCAGAATGTGAACTTCGATGGTTTTTGAACTTTGATGGTTTGATATTTTGACAGCTTTAGTCTTGTACAGCCAATCAGATTATTTGAACTATTACAACAACGATTCTGATTGGCTTATTGTATGATACTGTTGTTCGCTTTGGAATTAAAACTTATTTTAAAAATTGAAAGTAATTCGCGGGGAATTTCACGGATTTAAAACGAATAGAGAAGCCTTGGCTGTGCTCTGTTCTGTTGTAAAGCACTCATGAAGCGGTTAGAGCACTCACTACGTCTTGTGTTTCTCCTTACACTTCTTTCGTGCTCGAACCGCTTCCTGCGTGCTTTACAACAGAACAGAGCACAGTCGAGGCTTCTCTATTTGTTAATCAAACAAAAATATATTATAAACTCCACTATTCTGGGATATATTCAGTTCTCTGGATGTGAGGACCAGTGATTGGAATAGGCGAAGTTCAAAAGACAAGCGTATTCACTCAAACTTTTGACTTCATGTTCTTCGTTAGGGATTCTTAACAGATCTACTTGGCAGAGATGGACAATCATTGAATCCTCAAAGAATCACTGATTATCAAAAGGCCATGGTAATGCAATAAACATTAATGATAACTCTAAGATTTTAGGCTTTCTTGAGACCAACCACTGGAGCCCATCTCCTATGTTCATGGGCTCCTGACCACCATGACTTTATTGATTATGGCTATATTAACATTACTCAAAGGACTTCATTTCAGTGTGTAATAGATTATTATGTTGGTTGCTATCAGGGTTGATTTCCTCTCATTCATTTCCGTGATGGAATGATGAGTGCGGGCTAATTTCATGAACGGTGATTGATCGACGTTTGATCGCTGTGTTCTGGTAATCGAGTTTTGCACTCTCTTTGAATATGGGCAGTCCCTTCTTTGTACTATCAAAGTCATTTAGGATGAAGCATGCCTCACGTACCCCTTTTTTTTTTTTTTTTTCACCCTGCCAAATTTACGCCGCATTGGAAACCAATGGAATTTTTCGTCTGTGCGGTTCACGTGATAAAGCTATTTAAATATCACAACGATGCTTTATTTTGAAAATAGTGATTTATTGGCTGAATGTCGCAACGTTTATGATTTATGACATTTTTGTTGTAGTTGGATTTGTTTGACAAAAATAAAGATGGAAAGCTGTCGTTACCGGAAATGTCAAAGTGAGTCAATATGTAACTTAACAGAACCTACTGGCTGGTATCAGTAAAATGGACCCTAAATTTTAATTGTTGAGAAATTTTATGGGAAAACTATGGTTTTTCACTTCGACTTTTCACTTCCGCATACAGTATCCGTCCTACTTGTATTCCCTTTCTCTTAATAGATGTACTATCCAGCACATAGGTAATGAGAATACTCAAAGTTATCGAGTAGAAGTTGTTATCTTGATCTAAAACCTAATTCTCGCAACTAATTTACAAAAACTGTACCGCAACTACGGGGGAGAGTGAACAATCGTATATTAGGACTTAAAGGGCTAAATAGCCTAATGCAAGTTTTATTTTATGATATACAATTTTTTTTTAAATTTTATCGCAGGATACTTCCTGTTGAAGTCAACTTTCTGCTGAAGTTTGGCCGGGTAATAACTTACAATACTTCATAAATGAAGTTAGATTTGATATGAGTGATTATTTAATGTAACTGTATCGGTTTAATTTGTGGTTTTGCGTGGATTTTTCTCAGGATGACATGACTGAAGCAAAGTTTAACGAGATATGGTCCAAGTATGATCAGGTAAGAACCAAAAAATGGTCCACAATGCTGACATAACATGCATGTTTAAAGGGAAAGTTTGCACGTGTAAGTGTGCATGCTGGGTGTTTCGCAAATTATCGAGGGCTCCACTGAAAACCATCCTGGTGAGTTAGCTTTCCTCATTAGATATTATTGTTCTTGTTACAATTAAATCGAAGCCGTGAAGCCGAAAGAGAGAATGGTAAGCAGATAGAACAACGCTTATGTTATAGTTCATGTCAATTTATGGCGGGGCAGTTTGGAAGACCAAAGTACCATGCTCGTGATGCCACATTGAAAACTTGAGAAGTAACTATTTTTGTTCCTTGAATTGTGTTCCTATGGTGCACCTCGTCCTTAGCGAGGCTTCAGTCCTCCGTCGGATCATTCCCGCTCTTTGGAACTGCGAAAGAGATTTATGGGAACGATTCATAATAGGACGCAACGAAAGGGTGACGGGAAGGCAGCCAACACTCTTCGCGCGTATGTGTTAAATAGTGCTAAAAGAAGACTCGGGGCGAGTCAGACGAGGCGAAGAGGTTTTGCCTTTCCCGAAAAGAACGGGCTAAAAAATATCATGTCAAAGGTGATTTGGTTATAGGTAGAAAATTCTTAGTTATTTTATCAGAAGGTATCCAGAAGTCTCGTACTCAGACGGTTAAGTGGTTGTACATTTAAGTTACAATTACACGGTAAGATCTGAGTACGAGATTACGTATCCAATAATGTACAATCTGTCAGTCGATCAATCATAGTTCTTATATTTTTTGTAGGATGGCAACGGCTTCATCGCTGACGAGGAGTTGGAGGCTCTCCTTTATGACATTCTCGATAAGGACCAGAAGGCAATGAGTTTTCTTCTAAAATCTTTCTTAGTTATTCTCTATCTCTAAACTTTTGTAACGTGTGTGAGTGAATGGTGCATGAATATAAAAGATCTAAAAGTATTTGACGTCAACTTTTCCAGACAGCTACGATTATGCTGTTCAAACTTAGGAGACAAAGTTTGAGTTTAGACGGCGGAATTCTTAGGTTAAAACCACACTAAGACAAACGGACAGACTGCAAACAAGCACCCACTGAAAGAAAAGAATCCGATCGCTTGGACTATGCAGTCCGACTGATGAACATACAGAAAAACAAAGACAATACTGAGCTCAACAGACAGAGTGACAGACAGCTGGTAAAAAGGCAAATAGACATGGAGGTAGCCATTAAAAAAACGGGTTTTTAAAAAGTTCTACTCACCAACACATAAGCCTGCACTCCCTTATTATAAATGCTTCAGTACGAGCGATTCTTCGTCTGCAGGAAATTAGGAGGCCTTTTTATGAGCAACGCAAGCCTGCGAGAGGTCTTCAAGGGGTCTAGTCCTCAACATTTTTGCCAGAACCCCGACAAACCTCTCCCCGACGCGCCTCAAATTTTCCCGCGTGAGGAGGAAAGCTCCTCCTCATCATTAAAGAGAATCAGAGACAGAGAGGGAAAGTTTTGGTACTGTTATTGTTATTGTTTTTGTTTTTTTGCAGGACATGGAGGACCCAGGTTGTCTCAAAGGTTACAAGAACAGCATAATGGACAGTTTTGACCAGAACAAAGATGGAAAACTCGGAAAGGACGAGCTAAAAATGATGTTATTGGCATGAGCAGTTAGTGATCTATGAAAAAATTTCAATTCCAATTCAAGTCGAGTAAATGTGATAGGTAGTATTTTTTCTTCTCAGCCAGCAATATTTATGGCTCAGTTCTGAAATTGTTTTTGTCTTTTTTAGCATGACGAATTTGCTTCCTCCTAACCTGAATTAGTTATGAATTTGTTCTTATTACAAAAGGTCATTCCCAGGAGAGTGACAAGAGACTGTTTACTCAGTGTTCCTGGTAAGAAAACTACGCGCCGATCAATTCGAAGCTTCAACATCCCCCTGGGCAACCCATAGGCATTTTGACCGTCGTCCTTGTCCAGGGTCCGGGGATGGTGAATTTGAACCTTGCCTGGGTGGAGTGGGAAATTTGAACGAGAAGTGTGAAGTCTTTCCAGTGGAATACACGTATTTTATCTTTTAATATGGAGGTTTCAAAGGTAAAAAGTTAACTTTTGAGAACAGATGGCGCATGGCAAAAACACCACAAGAAGGCCACGGTCGCTGATCTTGCCTTTTACAAAAGGTTGACCATCGAATTCGGTCCCTAGGTAAGCATCTTCGGGAGGGTTGTCCGGGGGGAAATGCTAAAGCTTCGAATATATTATGCACGAGGTATAGTTATACCAATTTAACATTAATATCTAAATGCAATTATTTAGCCTCTGTAGGCCATACAGCACTCTTTGTAACGTCAAAGAAATAATAAATCATAATCATTCAGTTTGATTCCGGTGTTTTTGAGAACAACACGGCATGTGGCGTTACCAAACGTCACGCTATGTAAGTTAAGCATGGCAAAATGCCACAAGTTTGAGCCTGAACTTGTTTGGCGGAAAAGATTTCATTGAAGATCTCAGGCTGTCTCTGCAATAGACATTGGTCGCTATAAGGTATCGGAGGTACGTGGGTTGTTTACATGAACTTAGTCACAATAACTTGTTTTGATAGCAGCGCACGTTATAGAGCATATGTTACAGACATGCAACGAGTGTGACAGCGACTGGTCGCCTCTTTTCACAGACCATCTGTTTTTGAGTCAAAGCATAATCGTCCACAGCCCGAACAAAATAAGGGCCACAGGCCGGGCTTGAATCAAAGCGAATTCAAGCGTGGGGAGCGGGGGAGGGTAAAGCAAAACTTTTTCATGGGATGTCTGCGGGTGCTAAAGAACATGAAAAAATAAACATAACCGATCCGACCTATTTCCTACTAAGGAAATACTAACACGACTTTAGCGGACCGAGTGCCAACAACTTAAAACAACCACTAAATCAGATTGATTTATTTCGACGTTTTCATCCAATCTCTCCTGGCTGGACGTGCTGGTTATTCCTAGGTACCAGTAAAATTACGATCCGAACGATCGTGAATCAGCAGATTGGCAAAAAATTTCAGGGGAGCAATATTCAAAATTCAAGCTTCAATCTTCCCACTCTTCGGAAGCAGCACATTTAAAGCTTAAACCGCTGATTTATCACAAAATTTAGGGAGTACCACCGAAAGGAAGGTGTGAAGGGGGTGGGGTCGGATCTATCTCCTGCCCGATGAATGAAGTATACATCCATACACGCTAAGAATGATCGCCTTTTTATCTCCTTACGACGTATCAGGGTGCTTGGCAGGCGCCTATATAGCGCACTTAAAACGAACGGTTGGCAGACAAATTACGAGAGAGCTCACATCGTCTCACGTGCCAGTCATTCCCTCTCCGTTAAATCACTGTTTAAGCTAATTTCATCACTCAAAAGATTTTCAATTTGCTCAAGAAGACTTTCATTTTTGAAATACTTAGGCATCGTTCTAGATCAATTTTAAGTCCTAGGAAAATTCAAAGAATCTGTTTCACTGATAATGTTTATAAACTTATTGTGCAACTTTATATCCCTTCGACCCCACGGGTTCAAATAAGCACGAACAAGTTCAAATTCCATCTTTCATGATGCTGCACTGCAAGTTCCGGTATATTTTTATAGCGCGATAAACACACGGTATGATCTTGATTTGATTTCATTCCAGGCCCCTAACTAACCGCAGTTGATAGGTGAGCTTTCCGATATATCATTTTTCGTCAAGTTCATCCAATAATATCGGCGAAAACGATTGATTTTGTTCAAGTGTGAACATCATTTGTCGCGGTCAGCTGGTAAAGTGGTGTTTGTTTACATTTGCATGAAAAGCTCCCTGTCTGTGACAAGCTCTCGTCGCCAGTTACCGTGGGGTTTCTTGACGCACGCAAGATGGCCTCATCGCAACCGAAGAAGCCTTTTGTGACTAAATATCATGGCAAAACTCAGCTAACATCGACTGAGTTTATGGAAGTTTTTAGGAAATTCGACAAAGATGGTAAGCTGTATTTTAATTAAGCATAATTTTAGGCGGCTATGGAGAGGGCAGCTGCACGAACTAGTCGTTGGCAGATCTTCGTGTCAATGTCCAGAAACCCTTTCACCTCTCGTGCGATTCGTTTGGGAGTTTCTTTTTTTTCCAAATATCGTTTTAAATTCTTCAAGCACTGGCAAAGAGAACTTTTGAAACAGACTATGTTTAATTTTCGGTGGATTTTCCGAGCAGATCGGTGGAAGTGACAGTAACCAGTCCGAATAAGTATTCATCACGTAGAAAATTTAACTTGAAATATAATTCCACAGTTTTAGCTCCATTGCAGGGTCATTGGGAAATGTTGCTTAAAAAATTCACCAAGTTGGCATGAATTTAGCCTGGTTGAAAGTGGGATACTCCTCAAATCTTGAACACTGCATTTATGAAAAAAATATTATTGAGTTCACAATACAATCAAATTCTACCTCAACATTTGCATAAGTCACAGCTGACATGAAACGGGTGGATTCAAAAAATGTTTAATCATGTTTTGGCTGCTTTCTCGCATTTTAGATCGGAAAGGAAAACAATGTCGGTTTTTCTCCACGTAATGTTTCTCCAAGGGAGAAATTCAGTCCTCGAGCAATCACCATGTAAATTATACTCCGACCGTTTGCCGCAAATGTATTATATAGCTTTATTCATTTCACAACTTCACGACCCGTTTAGGGAAACAAAGAAACAGTTCCTCAAGCAGTTTATGAAATTCTAATTTCAGGTAACGGCTACATTGAAGCAAGAGAATTGGATCCCTTTCTGCAAGAACTTTTCGAAGCGCGATATCATGTGAGTGTGCTAGAAATATTGCTTAACTAATGCTTTTTTTTTGTCTTTTTGAATGTTGTGTCGTTGTCACAAAGAGTTTTCGAAAGGAAACCCTAAGGTTAAATTCCATGGATGATAAAGTATTTATTGGACACAGAAAATATACGTGAAGAAGGCAGCCCACCGAATGAAATGAAAATAATTTTAATGGTAATCCGTGTGTTTAAAATGAATTATTTATTTCGTGTGGTCAGTCATATGAGATAAAACTGATCACAGAGGGTTAATTAATGGTTAAAAGCTGTTAATTTTTCGGTAACGCAAAACGACGTCTGATTGAGAATGTTTCCACTCAGACAACAATTTTCTACTGCATCTTTCAAATGGTAAAAAAATTTAATCGGTGGATGACATGTTTACGATTTCGATTATCAATTAGCAATGCTTTTTTAAAAGTGAGCTTAAGAGTTGGACCGCAAGAAAAATGAAGGGTAAAATATTTATCATACAGCCTACAATAAGATTTTGTGTTTTTCTTCATATTCAGACTTTTGTTGTACGAAATCTTTTAGGGAGCCTTAAAGCGTTTTTCGCAGATTACCGAACCGAGCCGAAAACTAAGTGAAAGAGAGTAAGCACAAATGACTGAGCCGATGTCCCTCCGCTTCATTCTTGCTCACTCTCTGGATGTTTCTAAATCTTTCGGAAACTTTTGTTGATTAGCTTTTATTTTGAATATGGCATTGCCTGGTGCTTATTTTATCTTTGCTGAACGTTGTTCATTCCTTCCGCTAAAACAAGAAACAAATAATCGCCTTTTTTTTTTATAACACTTTGACGGAATTACAAGTCGCGGCAAACAGCGAATAAATTAACAGAAATTGTTCATTAACAAAAACTGTTACGATTAACGATTAATTCATTCATGTATGCGATTAGCATTTTTCATTTTCACCAAAAGAAATAAAGAAAAGATTTTGCGACAACAGAAGACGTGGAGGTGCAACAATGTAATCATCTTGACAAGAATTTTAAAATAATGAACCATTTTGTTAATCCACATTATCCAGCAAAAGATAATGATACAAAAGGAAAGCTTGTGTAATATCACTTTTGATGACTAGAGATAAAAGCCATTGACACCGTCATGATGATTCATCATTTACTGTAAACGAAAAAGTACATTCGCTTCAATCATTTTGCCATTTATTTAGAGGAACCAACAGGGGGAGGGGTGGGGGGTATAGAGAATTAGAAGTGCATTGCTCCCTCCCTCCCTCCCTCGGTTTTAACCCTTTCAATAAACTCTTATAACAGTATACATAATCTCCATACTGTTCTCTATACATTTGCTTGGGTGCTGATTAAGAGAATTCGTCTCACAATCAAGACCTTCCTTAGTTAGTGGTCATTTCCGTTTTTCTCGTGACATTAATGTTTAATTCTGGGATGATACTGCAGGGAGAATTTAATGCCACTCACTCTTAGGCGTCAATAATATATAGATTTAACCAAGCCTAAAAGCGAAGCTCGCATTTTTTTTCCCGCACGTCTCAAGGGCACAACGCCTTGCCCCGGCCAGGACTAGAACCCAGGTCGTCCCACTCGGAGCCCAGTGCATTGACCACTGGACTACTGGACAAAGCCGTGGCGTTGGCGTGCCCGCGGTACAGTTGACTACGCATGTTAAAAGTAGCATCTTGTACGGTCGTACGGTCGTACATCCAAATTTTTTCGGCTTGATGGGTTACTACTATTTTTTATAATTATGGGGCTACGCTCTGCGAGCTCCGCTATTAGTCTGATTTTTTCCCTTTTATTTCCTCTTCCGTAGGGTTTGGCCAAAGACAAGGTGAAAGAGATGAGAGAGCTTATTTTAGAGAGATACGACAAAAATTACGATGGCCGTTTAGAAATTGACGAGGTTGGTAGCAGACGCCTTTTGGTTTCATCGTAAGTTCGAATTTTAAAACTGCTCTGTTAAGTATAGTGGCGGTGCTTTGTTAACCTATATCTCCATGTTCCGTTTGCGTTTGCAGTTGGCACAGATCTTACCAACGGAACAGAATTTTCTTCTCCAGTTTCACAGAGAATCCAAACTAACCAGTGTAGAATTTATGAAGGTGAGGACGGTCACTTAAATCATTCATTCTTAGGTCTCGTTAGCTCCTTTTCGAGAATAGAGGAAATATTGCATTATGGGAAGAAAACGGGAATTAAAACTTAATTCAGTTAATTCAACGATGGTCGGTAGGCAAAAATGATACAGAATTCAGATGGAAGTCACTGCTCGTGTTCTGTGATAAGATACGTCAGTTTTCTGTGAATGACCCCTGTACCAGTGGTATTTTGTTGAGTTGCAGCCGGGAGTTGCGACAGGTGACTCTAACGTTAGAGATAACGGTAATCCGATATTTTAAAAAATGTTATTCTCCTTTCCTCTGCATTGATCTGAGAATGACCATGTCTCTCGAGTGTCTTAATAAAGTATTTAAGTGTATTACTTAAGGATGTTGATCAAGAAAACCCCGGTTTTTTTCAGATTTGGAATCATTATGATGTTTATCGTGAAGGATACTTGGAGAAAAAGCATCTACGGGTTTGCTTACTTGAACATTTTTTAACGATTATTTGCTTGTTATGTGCCAAATAATGTTATTTATAAACTTCATCTTAGTTATATCAATGGCCAAAATGAATTTTTTTTTCAAGAAGCGAACTGTTTTCCGAGCGAAGCTCGAAAAAATTAACTAATGAAATAAATTTTCTTTCCTCATGTTTGTACATTGTGTTGCAGGGTTTCTTCAAAGATCTAATGACTGTAAACAATCCACACGTTAGTCCACAAAGAATTGAGGAGTTCGTCAATGGAGCGGTTAATATCTTGCTTTTTTGTTTTATTCTCTTTATTTCAACATCAAAAAGGAAAAAAAAATAGTGTAACTGTAACTTTGTGCATGATTGTCTCATCGATAGCTGATATTAAGAAGAACTAGAGAAGTCTTCAATCTTTGGCATATGTTGCTTTGTGTTCTCTCATATTTAAACACAGTTTTAAAGACTTCATATCAAGAAGCTCTTGCAAATAATGAAACTAAGATTTCCTTGTTTCGAAATAAGAAATTTTTATAGGTCTTTTCCTAATCTAAAAGAAGTTCCTGTAATTGCCATCTCGCTTGCTTGTCAAGGAGACAAGCTTTTCAAAATGAACTATACAAGCCAGTGTGATACCTGACCAGACTGAACATTGCTTAAAAACTTTTCAAGAGTTGAATTTTTTTTCCGGTTTCACAACCAGGATAAAAAGTAGATATTTTGCTATTTTTCGAGAATGTATGATTCTCATGGTTAGTTGGTCGTTGGATCACTATCATACTTGTCTTTACTTAATTTTCTTTATTCATTTTATAACTTTGAACTTCAGCTTGATTCATTTGACAAGAACCAAGATGGAGAGATAGAGTTATCAGAAATGGCCAAGTAAGCTTTTCAAAATAATTTCAAGTCTAGTACTTTCGAGGCTTCGTAAGGGACGATATCATAAGGGCGATGGGCGAGGCCTGTCTATTCAAGAGAGACCATCCTCCGAAATCAAGGGTAGTCGGGACTCTAAGATAAATTAAAGTCCTCGTAAGCTCATTTCCCCTGAATTTTTCAGGATGGCTTTCAAAGCAAGCAGTCAGGGTTACCCTCCTCCAAATACAATTAGTCCCTCCCCTGATGTAACGTTGGCAATACCATTCATGAACCCACCCCACCTGTGTAAGGTAATCATTCTATTCTTATGTATAATAAAACCTCTTACCTAGCGTCTAAGGTACCAATCATTCTCAAGCAGTAAAAGAGGCTGTAATTCGATTGATAACCGCAAGATTATTGCTGCAATGTGTGGCCCCCTTAAGATGAGGTTTAAGCCCTTTTTTCATCATTTACAGACTTCTTCCCGTGGAAGAGAATTTTCTTTCAAAATTTCAGGTAAGAAAGTTACACGCGAGCTCATCCCGAAAGGATTATCGAGCAGTTTTTCTCTTTACTGCTTATCATAATGCTTTATACCTTCGCGTGCTTTTCATATACAGGTCAGAGAAAACCTCTCTAGAGCGGAATTTGAGAAAATCTGGTACCACTACGATCAGGTAACTGAACGCGTTAATTTAATGATACATTTCTCTCTTCCCTCTTGTTGTTGTTGATGTCGTTGTTCGTTTGTTTGTTTTCCCAAGGTTCACTAGTCACAGAAAACCTATTTACAAAAGTGGGTAATTTAGTGTTAACAACTGTGTTGAAAACGTAAATTAGCCATTGTAAAGGGTAAAAGAGCTGACTTTTCGAGCGTTAGCCCTCCGTCTATCGCTCTAACGAAGGGCTAACGCTCGAAACTTCAGCTTTTTTACCCTTTACCGTGGCTAATTTGCGTTTTCAACTCAGTTGTTAACACCAAATTACCTGCTGTACTCTCCCACCGACACAGCACCACAGTTTCTTTAGAAACTTACCCCTTTATTTACAAAAGTGATTTATATTGTACAGGATCACAACGGTAGCATTGGCGGAGCTGAGCTTGATGCTCTCATAAGGGATTTGTACATCAAGAATAACAAGGTATGGTGATGTAATGGCAGTATTTATGAGATGCTCGAGCAGAAATGTTATCTTTATGTAACATTGTAACCGCGTTTCAGACTGCTATTCTCCTACTTATTTTTGAGCTCAAACTGATAACCAGTCACATTCCATCTGTGAACGCAGCCAGGACTATTTAGATATAGGAATAAGAAAAACTGATCTGGTGAAAGCTAACTTCAGTACAGGTGTGGGGCCTCCCTTGCGCAGTTTTGCGTTTACCTGGTGTTTAGCTCGTTTCTTGTGTTTGTTCAGCAATAAAGCAAATTAGCTCGATAAAACAGCGATAACTAATCTTATGAAAAGGGTGAAAAAAGGGCAGAGAGCAACACTTTTTTTGTTGAGCCACATATCCCTGACTTTGAAATATCGCCTCTAAACTTTTTCAAAAGAATTCACAAATTTACGGCTTGCACACAAACAAACCAATAATGTGGAGTTAACTGGGTGTGAATAAAAGTCAATTTAGTAGAAATTAAGAAAGAAAAATTTTTAGGTCAAAGCAGTAGTCGTAACGCCACGAACATAACGTTGCGTGACCAACCATATCGAGTTGTTTTATCTCTCAGGAGCCACCAGACATGAAAACCATCAGTGACCAGCGTGACATGATTATGAGGTTTGCAGACCGTGACGGTGATGACTCGATACAGAAGGAAGAACTGGGCTTGTTTTTCTCTGTGGCGCAGTCAAGACGAGTTCAAGAAATCAAGGTTGATGTGGAGGAAAGAGAAGCAGAAAGAAAAGCCGAAAAAGATGCTGAAAAGCAAGAACAAGCGAAAAAACCTGATGACGGAGGCTCTACTGACGGTAGCACAGGATGTTGCTGGCTTCTGTGATTTAAGCGAGCAATGAAATGCTCTGAAATGTCCTTTACACAACTTGTCGGAGTGTCTTCGACGACAAGGCGCGTTGCCTTAGCAATTACAACCTGTTGCCATGGTTGCTGAAACGTGTCGGTATATTGATAAAACAAATTGACTGTGCTAAATTAAATTTTGATTTGAAGCAATGCTTAGAACTGACTACCGCATTTGAAAGAGAAGAGTTTCCCAACTGATGTGCTCAATAATTGTACGCAAAAATCGCCATAATAACCACAGATACCACTACCCCCGTCTCTGTCCTCTGACAGTGACCTGACTTAGGAAATTAATACATCCATATATTTCGTTTTTTGACTGCATTAGAGACACAATAAAGTTATGAAAAAATGTTTCATAGTTTTCTGATTTCAGTGTTTTATATTACATTAGTACTATCATTTATTTCCTTTTTTTTTGCCTGGAGAAAATTCATCATTATCTCTGTCAACAGTAACAAACTTAAATTCGCGAAGATATTCTCAGTAGTTATAGTCTTCAGTTTACACTGTTGACATCTTACGCCGTTCTCTGCACAGTATGTCATCTCCTTTTGTACCTAAAACAAACAAAGAGGAAGTCAATATAATTATGACAAAAATCACGATAGCAAACAAAGTTTACGATGGAGCTTCGTACTTTCTTATTCATAGAAACGAAAGAGAGAAAATAAGGAAGCACGTACGTACGGACGAACAACCGAACTAACAAACGAACTGACGAACAAACGAACAAACGAACAAACGAACGAAAGAACCGAACGGACAAACGAACCGAACGAACCGAACGAATAAACGAAGAGACAAACAAACGAACAAACTAACGAACAAACAACCGAAGAACAAACGAACAACCGAACGAACAAACGACGAGACAAACAAAAAAAACCGAACGAACAAACGAACAAACGAATGAACTAACAACGAAACGGACAACCGCACGAACGAACGAATAAAAAACGTACGTACGAGCAACGAACGGTACAAAAGGGACGAGGGACCAACTTACGAACCAAAGAGGGGAAAGAAACATCAGATGACAAGTAAAAGAATAATTATCACTTACAAGTTTACAGTTCCCAATAAAGTAAGACGCAATTTCTTCGCAAACTAATAAACTCAACAAGACCAAAGGTCAATCAATTTTCTATTATCAACTGACTTCTTTAGGATCTGTCAAGGAAACTTTCGAATCGATTACAGCTAACTTGCAGAACAAACTCTACAATTGGCAAACCTTTTCTTGGATTTAAATCTTCCTGGATTTTTCTTAAATTTCTTTGCCTCATCAGGTGTTGAACTGAATAATAAAGAAGGAAATGTTTCTGTAAGTAATGACAATAGATATATGTCAACATCCGTTGGAAACATCCATACTGACTGAAATCATTAATAGATGGGTGAATGAAAGAATAGATCAGTCAATGAATGTATTGTGTCACACCCACTAATGAGCAGTCAATTTCACATCGCTTTTGCCGAGACCACCACTGGTTACCATTCAAATTCTCATTAAAGCCAACGAGTCGTAAACAAGAACTTTCAATACCCTCTAAAAGTCACGCTATCAAACGAAAACTGGCAAACCTCTTTCTAAATGTTTTAAGCGCCTTTTTACTTGTATCCGTAAGTTCTTTATCAAAAGCCTTCAGTCGCGAACTGCTACCACTGTTAGTTGCTTTCGTCTTCGATGATTTTCCTATAGAGAAAGGTATACAGTAGCAATATGACTTCCCATCAACTTGAAAATAAGGAGGCGCAAAAAGTCAATGTATCACGACACATTAAGTTCTGTTCCATTAAACAACGTCACGTTTCGGTGAATATGAAATAGTGTAGCAAGAGAAGCAGAAAAGAAACCTTTAAGTTTGAGGTCGGGTTTGTCCGGTGGAAACGCGTGTAACCGTTTCTTTTTCCTCGATCTCTTAGCTTCCCGCGTGATGAATTCTGCTTCTTTTCGTTTCTTTTTGTCTTCCTCCTAACATGGCAAAATGAAGGTCAACAAAACTCAAAAAGAGAAATCACACTAAGAATATTCTTTTGCAATTTGCGGCGGAGATGGGGCAAAGAGTTGAACTTGAACTGCAAGCTGCAAAAGCTAGGATCTTTTCGGTATCGCCATGACTTGGCTAATTTTATAGATACATGCACGTCTTTAAATGGGAAAACTAACGAAAGGGGGTTAAATAAGACATCGCTTTGACTAGAACAGCACCATAACAAAAGTTTCTTTTAATAGCCTTGTGACCATTGGTGCGAGAGAGACGTCAAATGAACAGGTTCAGACATGTATAGGCTTCTGTATGTGTCGTGGTACAATTGTACAGCCCAAAATACCTCAAACAGTTATATATATGTTGCTGATTTTACTTCTTTTCCACTTTTGTAACTACACTCATAATGAACTATGGAAAAATACAGGACGCTTACACTTTCACTTATGTTTGCTGTGTTCTTTTTCTTTTTATCTTGTTTAGATTTCTTGCTGGCCGGATCATTCGGTGCTTTATCTGTCAACAACAAATACACAAAAACATTAAACACTAAGAGTATACGGCTGTACAGGAAAGAGAATTTTCACAGTTCCGTTCTAAGTTCTCACCAGACTTCCTTTTCAAGTCTGCTTTGCTCTGAAACCACACCCGAGGAGGCCTGGAGAAAATTTCTTCCTCGTGTTCTATAAGGTTGCGTGCCTTATTCATCTCCATCTCAGAGATCCTCAGCTGAAGAGAAAACAAACGGTTTAAACTGAAAGCAGTCGAGTAAAGCATTTTCCTTCCAAGCATCACCAAACCAAAACTTAGCTAGTCTTAAGATTTATTACGGGTGCGAAAATGCGTCCCGCAAACTGGAATCATAATTTCATTTATACCAAGTTTAAGTGCAAAAAAGAAAGACATATAGCCATCGGTGTCAACATGTCAGCTCAACTCCAAAGTTCTGTAAATAGGGTGGCCAGGTAAAAAAAAAATCCCTAAGAGTGGCTGGCTTCTAATTTCTTATTACAATATCACCCTTAAATCAGATGTAAAGTTAATGAGAAAAAAGGAAATGATCACCAATTTAGGAAGCTCCTGATCGTCAAACAAATTCTCCTTGTTAGTACCACAGGAATGTAAAGAGAAAAGTGTGGGGAATATGAATACCAATGTTAGGTTGTAAAGGGTAAAGGAAGTCAAAATTTGAACACCACACCGTCACTTTTTAAAAAAGTGCCTATCTTGGGTTCAGGTGTTGAGGGAAATTTCTGAGAATGGCTCTGTTCCCTTGCAAATTTTTGTTGTAAGTTTGAGAATCTCCTACCTCTTTTTCTTCGCTTTCTTGTTTTAGAATATCCTTCAAGTCTTTATCAAGTCCTTGGATTTTACCTTTGTATTTCTCAATCACCTCTGAGAAGGAAAAAAAATTACTAATTTTGATCCAACGTTGTTAAAATTATAGATAAACAAGCCGAATGTTAAAAAAAAGCGGAAACACATTCTTACCCGGAGGGACTATTCTACTTTTCACAGGCGTCTTTGCTGATTTCACAATTTCTTTCAGTAATTTTCTTTCTTTCTCTCCAACTAGTGACACGGATCTATAGGTATAAGGATGGATTTACCAACGTAGCAAATATTACACGGAACAGTCAATTATTTTCCTAGCTCTCCAAAATACTGTTTCAAATCACGTGATGAAGTGGTTCTAATCTTTCCCTTTTCTTTTACCTCCCACTCCGTCCTGCACGAGCCGTTCTTCCCACTCTGTGAATGTACTGTTTCATTGTTGGTGGCAGGCTTGCATTTATCACCTGTCGAGAGAGGAATAAGTTTTCGACTTGAGTTTCTCAAAACCAAGACAAAGAAATGACATCAACCAATCACGACATGCTTACCATGCTAAACAAAATGCATGGAGAAAAATACGCTAGCATAGCGTAGAATAAACTATAAGTGTAAACTGCAGTGATAGAATAAAAAGTTTTGCCCATTCATGGTGGCGAATGCACTAAAAAAATCATTATCGTTTGTGTCACGATGTACGGGACTTTCGATGTGGATCGCAACGTTTCGCCTACCTGCTGCTGGTCTTCATCAGGCGCAAATCACATCGGAAGCGACAACAGCGCGAGACAGACGATTTTACATCATTACAACAATATTTTGAGTACAACACATTTATAATTATGAACATAAAACGTGCAACAAGGGATTGACCTGTCTTCAAAGTAAAAGATATCTTCACCGACCCCTAATTATCAAGATGTGATGCACCAAAAATGTTATCATAGCTTCAGGGAATAAATTGCCACGAAGTTATAGGTTCAAATGGAAAGGCATCAAGATATTTAAAGACTCACCGTTTTAACTCCAACAATATCTAATCCCCTGGATGCTAAATCTGTAGCCAATAAAATGTCAACTTCGCCAGCCTTGAATTTCCTTAAGGCTTCCAGTCTCTGATGTGACAAAAACGAGTAAACCAAAATCAATACTAACAAATTTTATCAAATTTGCCTGTTACATTTGTCTAAGAGTTTTTTCTATCTTTCTGGCAGGAAACTGGTTCAACTTACACATATATATCTACGAAAAATCCAACCACAGTGTGTAATTACAGGTTACATTATACTTACAGTATACATACAGTGTACACATACTCAGACATAGGGCAAAGGAAAAAAATAATCAGTTTGCAGTTCATGCCGTAAGGACTCGCCGCCCCCAGTCTCCCAAGCCACTGTAAGTGCTCATCTATACGACACAAAACATTATCCTGACAGTTTTCTCTAAAACATTCTTTACACACCTTAGGCTGAAAACTAAGCCCCGGTTGTTCGAAGGTTGGATAACGCTATCCACTGGATAAAACTCCATCCGGTGGATCACGCTATACGATTTTCTCTCACTTATCCGCCGGAGAGCGATTTACCCGTTGGATAGTGTTAACTGCCCTTCATACAACTGGGCCCATACATTTTCCCCAAGACTGTTAGCCATAGATTTATACGATGGCTTTTCTTGGGTATCGATGGGTACTTTGGTTTTATGGTTGATAATCTCACAATTCTTATTATTTATCCATTTGACGATGTATTAAAATTGTACAGAGAATTAAGATATTGGTCGCTCTTGCTAGTAAGAGGGTGAGGTTCTTCGCACCAACAGTAGTATAGTACATGTCATTACAGTACTTTATATCAAACCAGAATGTATTGCAAAACCTATAAAAGTAACGTAATGGATTCCAAAAGTAACGCAACACTCATGTACAACGAAGTGTCACGCACCTGAAGCTGAGTCAAGTTCCCATGAAGTTCTTCAACATTCAACCCGAGGAGCCCTAAGACGATTCGTAGTCTGTGAGCCAAGTTTTTCGTTTGTAAGAATACCAGACAGTGTTCTTGGAAAGTTCGACTGCAAAGCGCTGCAAGAAAAGTTAAGTAAATGATTTGAAATTAAATTGTATGTACAAAATAAACAAAAAATGTTGAATTCAATTTTATTCTACGTGAAAGGAAAACGTACATCACAGAAGCGGGGGAAAAGAGGAAAATTAAAGAATAAAGATTGCTGACTATAGGGGAAAGCTTAAAGATACTTTTAAGAACAACGTACATCTAACAGTTGCTGAATTTTGAATAAATTATTTTTTCCGACAATTTTCAAGTGTTTATTGTTTTATTCCTTGACATTTAATTAATTTGTCTCTATTGTTTTTTTTTCTTTTTGATTACAGTCAGCCGACAGTTCTCGTTACATGTACGTTTCAGTTCTGGTTTGCCCGTCTTCTTTATTGTACCTGTCACGATAGCTAAACGGTCTTCCTCCCTGTTGTTCCTGATCCTTACAAACTCTTGTCTCAAGTTGTGGGCCACGTCTGTGTTATTGTCCACAAATAGCCTCACTGGTTGATTCAGTGAAAGAGTTGCAAGTTCCTCCACCTACAGTGAAAATCAAGAGGCACTGTAATGGAGGTTGTACTTGTGCATATACTGATAACTTAACCTTTTACGCCCTAACATCAGCATCTACATTCTCCATACTTTTCTCTGTACGTTTCTCTTGGTTCCCAAAAAGGAGAATTTGTATAAAAATCAAAGAATCTTTAGTTGGTTATAATTTCCTTTATTCTTACAACCTTAATAAATAATTTAGCAGTATTATTGTAGGGAGAAATTAGATGCTGGTCACACTTGGGGTTTAAAGGATTACTAAGCCATTTCATCTACATCTGCATGGCACCCCTTCAAACAATTATACCCGAAGTCGTAAAACTGCTTTGTAAATTGAAACATTATAGGCTTACGTACATGTAAAGTTACAATGTATAATACGATATAATACAATACAATTTTTACCATGAATCATAATTTACCTCGTCTGTCATTGTAGCCGAGAACAACATTGTTTGCCTTCCTCGTGGACTAAGTTTGACAATTTCTTCCATCTGATCTTTAAAGTTCTCATCAAGCATCCTACGGAAACACACATGAACAACGCACCATCTCAATATACCTACATGAAAGATGAGAACTAAGCATATGACCTGGCTGGTTCATCAGTGACACAGTAATAGAGCATCGGAGCAAAAAAATATGTCTATTCCTCTACCCTTCTGTGCATCTGTCCATCATCGCCTCTGTCTGTATGTCTTTCTGTCTGTCTTTCTGTCTGTCTGTCTACCTGTCTGTCTGTGTATCTATCTGTCTCTGAGTCTGTCTGTTGGTAGTTCGTTCTCAATCAACTTTCAGTTTATCATTCAGTTATGAAGTCTGGCAGTCGAACAGTCCACCAGTCCATAAGCCAACAAAACAACTAGTCAATCAGTCATCAGTCCCTTAGTCTGTCTGTTTGTCAGACAGACTGACTGGCTCGTCTCTCTTGTGTACCTGTCAGCTTCATCCAGGACAATAATCTCCACAGTTTGTAGACTGAATGAAGGAGTGTTATGCAGATGATCCACAAGCCTCCCAGGTGTAGCAATCACAATGTCAGGTCCTTTCCTCAAGGCTGCTTCTTGAATCTTACTATCCAAACCACCTGCAAAGAATATTATATCCCCTTGAACATAGATGTAAAACATTTATGAAGGCCATTGACTGAATGGTGTTACAGGAGGGAACTGTAAATGATCAGGTGTTTCTTAACCAAAACACTGTCTTGCTTTTTCTCAGTCTGCAGGGTAGTCAAAAACATTTTGAGTAACTGCAATACACAGTAGGCGGCACTGCACAGTTTTATTTCCATCAATGTTTTGTTTCCATGCTGAAAATTGATCTTCAAGCATTTAGAATTGCTTGTGTGTTTTTCAGAGTAGACTGTACATTGCACCAGTTGTTAGCTTATTTTGAAAACTCTTAAATCTGTGTATGTTCCTTTTTTGATACATGAGAATATTTGCACCAGTAGAAAACCTGCATGGACAAAGCAGTAGAAAGTCCGATGTACAGTATTAGAGAGATAAACAGTGTAAATCTTAGCTTCTGCTATCAGGTGATGGTGTAATATTGCACAACTGACCTACATGCACATAATCAGAAAGTGTGCACCGTGTGTGTACATGTATATCATACTTTTGGAAAGATTTGTCACCTTATAGAACTTGTTTTAATGCATACCAGTAACTTGATCAACACTATAAATTCAACATGATTTACAGAAACTTAACTTGCACTCTGTCTAAAGGTTTAAAATACCCTGATAAACAGAAACTTACAATAAATATATAACTGATAAATGAAAACGACAAATGAATAAATAAATAACATCACAAACCTGTGGCCAGGCAGACCTGGATGTTTGTGTGTTTGGACAAGGTTTTGGTCACAGAGTGCACCTTCAAAATGATAAAAAAGAAAAAAATGCCCTCATTTCAGCCATATGATACCATGAAAAACAGGGGGTAAATTTTCACAACATACACATGTAGGTTCACTTAGACACAAATTTGTAACAACCACCTGTTAATGCGACTGGATCATCTACACATAATTTTTTTTCACCTGATATCAGATCATTGTACGACACAAAATTTGTATCCTATTACTGCTAACAAAAATTGTGTTCAGCAAAGCAGGCAAGATATAGTCACAGTGCAAATGAAACAAAATGACTTCATTGTAAATTGTATATTGTGATTATACTGTATTTTGCCGATGATGAGTGAATGACAACTCAGCTCACTCAATTGCCCTTAATAAATTAGTTTTACAGTTTTACAATTTAAATCAATCTGGCAAATGTGCCTTTCAACAACCATAAGTCCTCAATATTGTTGAGAATTATGCATTTGTTTATTAAGGTAACCACAAAATATGAACATTTAATTCTACTGTCTCATTATCCTTATCAATTGTGATAATACAGTAATTGTAATTGCCAAGCTCTCTATTGCTAGCAACTCTACGTATATTTTGAGAGAAAATGGTGACTAGACATTCATTTCTCAATATAAAAAATTATTATCAACCAGTAACATACCTGTGGTTCATAGAAATGAAAAGTGCATACAGTTACATAGTTTATAATCTGCTTTACCTGAATGGCAAGTTCTCTGGTGGGAGTTAAAATGAGCACTCTTGTCATGGCAGACTGTTGTGGTCTGTAAATCAGTCTCTCCAGTATTGGAAGCATGTAGGCTGCTGTCTTACCTGAATGGGTAGGCACCGAAAAAATATGCAGAAAATGTCAATTTGTAAAAACAACATTGAAAACAGGTGGCTGTTAATTTGAAATCAACCCATTAGAGGCCTAAAAAAATCTGACCAGATGTTGGTTCAAAAAACCATTTTCAACCTTAAAAAAAGGAAAAATTTTAATAACAATTTAAAAGATTCAAATGACAAGACAGCTACATCTAGCTGTATGATGAGTAATAAAAAAAATGTTTCTTACTATAATTCACATATTTCATTAATCAATAAGTCTTGAAAATCATCAAATTGAGCTTAAATTTGCTGCAAATTTACCAACCTGTTCCTGTAGCTGCACATGCACAGATGTCTTTACCCATCAGGGCCACTGGAACAGTTGATGCCTGGATAGGCGTGGGGTGATTGAATCCCAACTCATTTATAGCCTGGAGAAATACACAGTCACGTAAATTGTGGTCCCATAATAGGATAAAGTATACATGTACAGTAGTCTAATATTCAGTCTATACCAGTGATTACCAAAGAAATTGAATGACTGCAAAATGGGAGTCCAGTTTCTTCACAAGGAGTACACTGTATCATTGCTGAATGAATTGGATGACACAAAGTCCTGTTTCCAATTAATCAAAACTATGACAAAATGTGTGAAACAAACTCCCATTGGTTGACATAACTATAGATCTGGCCCTGGTTATTTGAAGCTATGTTAACTCTATTCACTGGATAAATCTCTATCCCGTGGAAAGCGCAGTACATTGTTCTCTCACTTCTCCACCAGATAGCAATTTATCCATTGGATAGTGTTATCTTCCCTTTATACAACTGGGCCCTGGACCTGGTTGTTTGAACAGTGGATGATGCTATCTACTGAGGTCAATCTCTAACCAAAGGATAGCACTGTATGTTCTGTTAACACTTATCCACTGAATAGCAATTTATCAGTTAGATAGAGGTATCCCCCTTTGAGCAACTGGCTGACTATAGATTACCATTAGAGAATGACCCCAATAGTCTGCAGATGTACATGTACAAGTACAAAACAGCACAAACGCAAATGATGAGTACCTTCCAATTACAAAGGCAAGTGCATAAACTGACCAAATTTTTTTACACAATTGCAAGCACAACATGATTACTGTCCTTCTAGCATTCAGATTGAGCTGGGGATAATCTGCAAGGATTTTTCATAGGTTCAGTTTACTGTAAAATTTCATTAAAGATCTTGTGGTACAAATGTTCCTCTGCTTTTCAAGTTTTCTCAACTTGTTACCTTGTGTCATTTCCTTTGATTCAAACTGTATAAATTAAATACATATGCATATGCAGTAGGATGAAGAAATTTTAAAAAGCCTACAGCTCAAGGGGTTTGAAGGTTTTCTTTAATCCAAGACCAAATTTTAAACAAAGTGTTGACAAAAGTGCTCTGACACAAACAGCCCCATACACATTACCAACAAATTGCAGCAATTTAAAGCTTTGTACTTGACAGACATAAAAAAGTGACAGTCTTTATTTAAAGACAGCATGCAAAGATGTTCATATATTACCTTTAATAAAGGTCTTGACAAGTTCATTGTTGCAAAATTTTGATGTTTCAGCTGAGGTGGAGGTTCTTCAAAAAACTTATTTTTCTTCTCAATAACCTGAAAATAAATCAGAACATAAATTTTAAGACCTCTCCATCAATTCAAACCAACACTTCTGTAATGCACATAAGTCCCACAGGATCTCCGTGACAATCCAAATAAGACATTTCACCTCTGCATATACCATACTCCAAAACTTCTTAGTCTTATTTTGTAACAAGAATATATATTTCTTTGCAAACAAATTGGGTTTACCAAATGAAACATCTAACTAACAAGATAATAATTTCTTAAAACCATTCATTTATATTCTTGTGCCATGTCCTGAATTTAACCTTGATTTAGGGTTTGCAAACAGTTTGGAAAACTTACATTGTATTAATTTCTAGATGTTTGTCAAACAAAAACACCAATGTATACACCTAATAAACTCTACATGTATCTGTTACAACTAAGTGTCTGAACAATGATTTACCAATTTTTTTCTATGTCCAATTTGATATGATCCTACAAACTAGGAACATTCAGATATGCCTTAACCCTATACACCATAAAATCAGTATGTATATTCTCCATACTGTTCTCCATACATTCCCTAGGGTGCTGACAGGGAGAATTGGTGTAACAATCAACAGCTTCTTTAGCTGATAATTTTCTTTATACTCATAACCTCTGTGCATGATTCAGGGGTACTACTGTAAAAAGAAATTAGATGCTAGTCACTCTTCAGGGTTAGAGGATTAACATTTACACATACCTTATCAATAGTTTCTTCATCTTCTGAAGTGCTGTCTTCATCATCTGAATGTTGCATGGAATTGTCTACAGAAAAAATGATAAATATCTTTCTCTGATCAGCAATGCCACAGCTGTAGAGTGTAGTACACATAAACATTGTGTATTGATACTGTGACTGAGGTGTTAAGTTACCTAGATCAACAACAATAGTAAGTTACAATATACAGTAGAACCCTGTTCACTTAACTGGGTTGAGTCAAACTTCCCGGTAACTTTCTCAAGATCTGATTCTCTTAACCCCATTTTTTCAGTCATTTACTACCAGCTAACTTGAACCCCTGTTAAATCCCACATTTTTTGTTTCCCTTGGGAGTTGAGATTGGAGGGATTATTCCATACATACATGTACATAGTTGCATAACTAAGCAGGTTTGTTAGAAGGGCTTAAAACAGCCAAAAATGAGTATTTTCCAGCAGGAAAAGTTTATTTAACAAGCAACCCAAAATATTGAAAAGATGAAAAAAAAGGGGCTGGTTGCTTAATAAAGGGCAGATTGGCAAGAAACTTAAATCATAAAAAAGCGAAAATCAAAACAACTACACTCAGTAGCTGCATTTTACAATTTAAAATGAATTTCAGATTGAATCAGTTTGTTTTCCCTCTCTTCCATTGACTCATGTGCTACCTCATTTATTAGACCTACAAATCTAAACTAACTATATTTTAACATTAATGTTAAAGTACATGTACAAAATACATAAGGATGTTGCAGCTTAAAATTTACTTGTAATCAAACTATAATTTTAAACCAACATGACCTGAAATTTTGCTCTGCTTCAGTAACATTAACCCAACCTACAAATCAGTTTAAAATTAAAGTACATATGCATCACAGAAATGTTACTCACCTATGTTATTCACACCATTCCCTTCCATCTCCTTTTCTTGTTTCCCTTTACTCTGATTTTTGATGTCATCTTCTTCCCCAACTATAGTTTGACTAAGTAAGTTCTCCTTCTCTGATTTCCTCTAAAAATTTGTTCAAGTTGTTACAACTGCAGTATTTTAAGCAAACTACAATTCACTGTTAAATATTATAAACATGCAAGTGATCACATACATGTATATATGAGGGTTAAATCAAGTTGGAAAAAAGCTGGCTTTTTTCTGTCATCAAGTGTTGAATGGATGACATCTGTGAAAAATATAGGTAATAACATGATTTCTCATGCAATTCGGTGTCAATAAGCACAAGTGAATTTTTCAAAGACAACAAAATTACATGAGCCTGTAAGACATGTGAAATTATTTTCACCAATTTGCACAAGATATTATATTATTACTTATGAATAATTTACATGAAAAAAACTTCACAGCAAATAAAGACAAACAAAATTTTGACAGTGTGTGCTATTTGTAATTTGCACACGTAAATGACAGAGTAAAAAAAATTGCTCCCCTCGCCCTTTTACAAAAATACCCTATCATCCTCTGTTAAAGCAACACCTGTAAGGCATACCTGCTTCTTTAACTCTCTTCTCTTCACTATTTTGTCTTGAAGGCTTGATGAGTTACTATTCTAACAAAAAAAAACAACAAACAAACAAAAAAGTAAACAGACTGTAGTCCTTCAACCAGTGAACTCAATACGAACAGTGAGCATCACATACGTGCGAGAATATTTTTACAAACATTGTAAATAATTTTCTTCAATATTTCAATCAGTGCATTTTCTGTGGCTAGCGAGATACGTAAGAAAACAAAATTAAAGGAGCACCTCTCGTGTAGACAGGTCTTACTATGAACAACACGAACCTCATACAATTCCCTTGGTCGGAACTTCACCCGCCATATACATTCCGACTTTAATTCCGATCAGAACAGGTTGTAGTTACAAAATATTATATAGGATGGAAAACAATTCAGTCGTCCACAAAATGACCACGGCAGCAAATGAAACGCCATATTTTAGTATAATATTTATACCGCATAACCTTGAACACGAGAGCACAGCAGAAGCTCGCTGTCGAACCACAAATTGTGATACAACAAATAATATAGGACAGGAAACAACTCAATCGTCCACAAAATGATCGTGACAGCTGACGAAACGCTATATTTCAGACATCATTTATGCAGCATAACCCTAAACACGAGAGCACAGCACGTGTTTACTGTCGAACCACAAATTGTGGATTATGAAATCACCGGCTGTTCATATGGTTCTCACGATTAGATCATCAACTCACTGATTCTTGTTTGTGTTTTGCAAATCTAATGGCTGCATCCAGATTCCACGGATCTTCGTTGCTATCTTCAAGCCCCCCTCCAGAAATGAACTTGAAATCATCATCAAAAGACAAATTTCCTTTCTTCTTAGTTCTGCTTCTCCTGACAGACTGCAAACCAAACTAATCACAGTTAAACATTATTTCACATTAAGAGGTCTTAAGCCTAATGTCAAACTACCTTTTCTGTTTCTTCCTCACTATCACTATCGTTATCCAACTGGTCTACGTCGTCATCTGACTCTAACGTTCCCACGAAGGGAAGAGACGCCATATTAAATTGTTAGAAGTTATTGTTCAGCGGTTTTAACTCTCTCGCTTCCGTTTCACCTTGGGGTGGGTTGGGTACGGGTACACGTGGGTTACAGGTGTAATAGTGAATATAACACGCACATCAGGAATATCCAGAATTATGGTAATTTGACCCTTTCACTTTCCTTCAATTTCATTGGTCAGGTGGTTGCATCCTAATTCATGCGGAAAAAGAAAGTTGAGGATTGTGAGAACATTCAAGGGGGAAACTTGTGATGAGTTGAAAACAAAAAATATGTTGTGAGTGTTAGGGAACGCTTTAGCGAAATGACATCATCAACTAAGAGTTCGTGGCATGATATTACACTCAATGATGCTGTAAAAAACCACATCAGAGCCAGTCACTTGTACCCAAGAAAGCAGGGAAAAAGCTGTTTCCTTTTGGTAAGCGAAATCACCGTTTGGAAATTGGTTGAAAAAACCTTTCTTTACCCTGATATCTCAACGCCTCATAGATCTGATGAGAACAAGATTGTTTTACGAAAGAAATTTCATTCGCCAGTCGGCATCCATGGAAGAAATGGAGCGCTATGTTTTTCTGTGACTGTGATCTACGACTGGTTGAACCGAAGAATTATTACTGCCTTTCCAACAACATGAAGATTCAAAACTTTTTTTTAAGTTTGCGCAGAGAAATTCAAATATCTGAGAGATTTGTGGTTGCAGAACTTAGAGCAGAGAGAGCTGACTGGGTCCTAAGTCACTTTTCAGTCTAACATCAGTGGAATTTTGGAATATTACTAAGGCAGTCAACCGTGGTGACAGAATGCAAAGTGGTGGGAACATTCGTCCACACTTGAATGACGAAACAGTCTGAACGAACTTAAACAGCTGGGATTACATGTCGGCTTACATGCTGGAGGCCTAGAAAATCTGCAACAGCCTCTTTAGGACAACTGGGAAGGAACGAGGCAGATAACTGGAAAACAAAGACATAACGTGAGTGGAATGAAGCAGAAAGCCGGAGAGAACCCAAATTTGCAGTTGAGTGCCACTTCTGTATCTGGCAACCTAGAGCCACGAGACGCTTCATCTTGCTTTATGGAGCAAAAATACAATCACCTGCCATAATGAAACTAAATTCGATCTATTTCGGCATTCAAAAAGCTTTAATTTGGGATTTCTTACTTTTGCGGTTTTTGGCAATCAATCGGGACTTGGGAAGTAAGTAGGTGTTTCTTTTAGTGTAATTAAAAGCCATTTTGACAGTTCCACAAAAACTTTACGTTTAGGTTATATTTTCTTCTTGACGTAAGAATGTTCAGAGCGCGGTTTGGATGAAAAAGGGTTAGACTTTCCTTTTTAAGCAGTCCAAAAAGTTCAAGTTTTGACGGAGCTCGAGCTTATTTTCCCTAGATATTAGTTTGCCGTCATAAGAAGAAAATGAATAAGAGGGTTAAATTTTAAGAGAGACAAAGGTATTGCGTTGGTTTGGGGTATTACTAGATAATTTGGTTTAATCAACTGAGTTGATAATGTAAACTGACCACTATAAAGTGTTTCTAATGCGCTGATCAATTCGAAGCTTCAACATCCCCTCCCCGGGAAACCCATGGACATTTGACTGTCGTCCGTGCCCGGTGGGTGGGGATTTTGAACCTTGCCAGGCTGGAGTGAGAAACTTAAATCGGAGGTGTCAAGTCTTTCCAGTGAAAATACAAGGGTTTTCATCTTGAATAAGCAGGTGTTTAAGGTAAGGAGGTCACTTTCATGCAGGAGATCGTTCGTCGCAGATCGTCCATCGCTGATTTTGCCTATTACAAAAACTTTACCGTCAACTCCGGCAATTCAGGTGGGAAATTTAAACACAATCAACAAACCAATCTTCAAAAGTAAAATGCCCCGGGGTATGCCCGGGGAAAATGTTAAAAACTTCGAATTGATCGACCCATTAAACTGATTGCTAGCCCCTCATCAGTCACTCTGAGATTACAATTTACGTTAAATCTTGCGCATACACGAAAATTTCTATGTATTAATTGAAAGGTCTATATGAAACGCATCGTTGTCAGATGTCCATTTCCGATAGACATGCAACAAGCGTTTTCTCTACAGAAATTTTACTGCATAACTTAATTGCTATATACAGATTAACACACAAAAAATCATATGGTGTATTAACAAGGACATACAATAGACTATTACGTTCTCATTGAGGTAATTCCCTTGAAATTGTCTACTATCAAACTTTTTTTGAAACTTGGTTTAATTAACATTCACACATTAAAAAAATGCAATAAAAAAATGGGGTCACCGTGCTTGTTTACGCGTCAGCGGGCTCTTAAAATGGGTATTTTTACTGGTTGTGCGTTAAAAATTCGAATCACCTTCATACAGAACTTAGCCTTGGTAACTTGAAAGACACAAAATTTTATTTTGAAATTAAAGCTTTTTTACTAAAATAAACAGTATTGTTTCATTTTACCTGTTTCTGATTGCCTGGTTGTGGGGATTTTGCACTTTTTCAGACAGTTCCGTGGTTAGCTTTAAGTCCTCGCCTTAGTCAAAATACACCAAGTACGGAACTATTTTCCAAAAAAAATCATATTCTAATATCAAAATTTTTTTCTTTTTCAAATATGTTCTTTATTAGACTGTTCTTAGCAAATGCCCGAAAAAAAAATCGGGTGTCACCGTGCTTGTTTCCTCACAAACTTCCGTGAAAGGTGGACATAGTTTTCACATCGCAGTCAGGATAGAGAATTTGGGCGGTGGAGACTGGGACGAGACACAAAATGGCGCCCATCGTGTTCGAAGTCTGCTCTCGATATCAAGCTTGTTTTCGGTTGTTTTTATGTGTTTGATATTGCCAACACTGAAATTCATACTTGGGAAGAGTGTAAAAATAACAAAGAATGAGGTAAGTCAAGATTTGATGAGATTTTATAGTTATGAACCTTTAGTTGAAACAATTTTGTAGCGCTGGCGTTTTGTTAATTCTAGTGAGCTAAGGTTCGATTTTGTTTGCTTTGGGGCAATAAAGGCTTGACAAAGAAACTTGAAGAAAAGGCTGTTGATCCTTATTCTTTGTATGTTTTCTTGTTTGGTTTCTATATACAGCAAAATGTCAATTCTTCACCTATCACTCTAACAAGAGGGATATATACAGTACAATGTAGTATACTCTGAAAAATACAAACTGTACTTTAAAATTTGCTTTTTATAGTTTAGAACCACACTTCAATTTCTCACTGGTCCTCATTGTGACTAGTAAATCTTCTGTGCAAAAATGATTCATGTTTCAACATGTCACTAAATTAAGTTAATCCTCTTAGTTGTTGGTTCCACAGAAATATTAGTTTTACAAAACATTAATTGCACAAATTGCAATCTTAATTTGCATTATCTATAAAGTACTGACATATTTGCACCAGCACCCACTTGTTTGAGGAGACTCTGGGTTTGTTGTCAAACATCTCCATCAGAACTTGCTTCACCACTTCTTCCTTGCCTCTTTGGTACACCACTTGTAGGTGATGGAGACCCAAACCCAAGCTTGCACACTTAATGGCCATTGGGACAGAAATGTACTTCTCTCTAACTAATGGCTGTAGGGTATTAACCAGAAGATTCTTTTCTTTTAGGAGCTTCTGATAGGATGCCACCCATGAAACTTTGAAGCTGTGCTTTTGTAGCAGTTTGACATTTAGAAACTTGTTCACCAGCTGGTAGAGTGTTTGCACATCTGCAAGAGCATTGTGATCTTCATAGGATTTACACAGAAGATCTTGTACAAGGTTTTCCTGGCTATGGGATCTTCTTTCAGGAAGCAATTCCCTGAATGCTGGAAAAGAGTCTGTAAAGCCAGAAATAGTTTTAGCTAAGTCATCCATGACTCCATTTTTCTCTGCTGCTTGCACCAAGAACCTGGCATCAAAGGATTTGCAATTGTGTGCAACTAAAATGCAAGGCATTCTTGATTTGAGCCACTCAATGAATTTCTTCAGGGCCACATCAATTGCAACAGAATCAGTGATTGGCTTCCCATCATAAAACAGCATTCCTCTTTGGTAGGTGAGTTTGTTCACAGCAGATGCTTCTGGTGATATTACATGACAAGGCTTGACATAAATAGAGAACTCATCTTTACCATCTGTTGCTGCAATTTGTAGGATTTCAGCATCATTACCTGATGTCAACAAAGATAAACAAATTTTAAGATATTGTGATCCAATTATTACTTTACAAAGATATTACAAGGAAAAATGTTATAAAAAGCTTAGTGCATCTATGCAGGTTATATTTAAAATAAAAATAGAAGGAGTGATTACTGAATACCTGTCCTGCTAATTTGCATCTCACCTTTTTTCTTAAAGAACAAGGCATGATAAAGCAAAGGAATCTATGTGATGCAAATTAGCAGGATGAGTCTTCAGCAATCTAGCAAAATAGGAAAGCAATTCCATGATTAAATATAATTATTCTCTAATGTGCAATTCAGAAATACCCTGCTAAGACAAACATGGCTATATTCACTTTGTTACTTTTTTGCTGAACTCCACCCTGCAAAGCTAATTACCCCTTCCAGATGTTTCCAAATCAAATATGATTTGATGATAGTCCTTGTTTAATAATACTTTCTCAATCTTTGAGGCTGCAGGTGGTGCTGGAATTTCCTGAGCGGCATTGTGTCCATCGAAGCCCATTCCAGAACTATATTGTTGTCCTTCTCTGTTCTCAAGCTGTTTTGTCTTTTTCAATCGCTTCTCTTTCTTTTCAATTCTTTTCTTCTTGTACTCTGTTTCTCTTTCAAATTCAAAGGCTCATGTCCATTTTCTTTGCAAATTTTAAAGAATTGGAACCTGACAACAGTTGTGTCTTTATAAAAGCCTAAAAGAAATTCACCTGTCTTAGCGAAAACAATAGTCTAAGTTATAGTATAATGTTTTTTAATTTTTTTTGGTGACTAATGATATGCAATAGGTACTGTTAGTATAACACTGGACACATTGGATAATGTGTCATGTTCAATAGATCTCATAAATTGGGAAGTGTACAAAATGCTCATGATATTATATCTGCTCACCTGAGAAACATAAGAATGGCCTAAGTTCTTTTGGCCAACAGCACATGCAACACGGAAGTCATTGCTTTCGCTAGATCTGTAGTGCCTGATCTTTGGAGCTTTACTTCCTATAGTGTTGTTGAGTGCTTCATTTGCCTGGCTTGACCCAAGGGGAGCTAGCTTCTTGGCATTTGAAGCATAAACCTAAATTGAAGAAGTAAATGGTTGTTATTTACTAAAATTTGGTATCTCATAAAGCTTGTGAAACTAAGAAAGAGGTTGATAGTCCCCTAACACTTATAGCTTTAACCCTTGAAGTTATCATTTAGAATACAATCATAAGCACTAACACTATTTTCTTAGAGTTGTGTTTCTCTACTACATGTAAAATGGTGGGAATTGGGAATTTGTGAGGAGCAAGCTGCGCTACCATACATGTACACTGTACCTACTTCTATGATCTTTTCCAGGGACTGCCTCAAGCTTTTGTCTGTCAGATCCTTGCCATGGGGAAGGCCTCTGTGTTTGTAGGATGCAGGATTTTTCAAGTAATGGCATGGGGCACAATAGATTTCAGACCATTTCGCACACCTTCTTCATCATCCTTATTCTGCTTTAGTGCATAACCAAAGCATCGCTGGAAATACTGTATCACCATATCTGTCAGGCTTTTGTTTTGGGTCTTGATGCTGGTAACCAGTCAACTCGCCGACGGACCAACTCGCCGACGCCAACTCGCCGACGTATAAAATCGAGTAGAGACGTCGGCGAGTTGGTCGTCAATCCAATACAACTTATTAGAAGTTAAACATACAGAAAAGTAAACGATATTTAGTAAAAAGAAACACTGGTGAACATTAGTGAACATCAAACAGAAGCTTAAACATCGGTGACCATTGGTGAACATGTTTTCTTAAAAAATCTGAGCGATTGACATGATGAGTCTTTACGGTGTTGTTGTCACACAATAACTCGTTCGCGTTTGAAGCTGTTAGAGTCATTGGTGATGTTTACTTCGCTTTATTCGCCTTGAGATCCTTATAAACTTTGTTGCAAATAAAAAGAATTGCTTTTTACTAAAGATCTTGTCTAGAAAGCCAAGTTTTCGTTGAAAAATCTGAGCGATTGACATGATGAGTCTTTATGGTGTTGTTGTCGCACAATAACTCGTTCGCGCCTTAAGCTGTTCTAGTCATTGGTGATGTTCACCAATGTTTAAGCTTCTGTTTGATGTTCACCAATGTTCACCAGTGTTTTTTTACTAAATATGGTTTAATTTTCTGTATGTTTTAACTTCTAATAAGTTGTATTGGATTGACGACCAACTTGCCGACGTCTCTACTCGATTTTATACGTCGGCGAGTTGGCGTCGGCGAGTTGGTCCGTCGGCGAGTTGACCGTAATTCTTGATGCTGTATAGTGAGCTACCACAGGATCTTTTAGTATGGACTACATCTGACCATTTTTCAACCTCATGCTCACTTTCCTCACTTTGCTTATGGTGGATGAATCATCATCCCCAACAAGAACAGATACAACTGCGTTCTTTTTCTCCACAACTGTTAAGCAGAGTAAAACCACAAAAATAACATTTTGTGACATAAAAAGCAAGGGCATTCAAACTACACCTAGGCATTATCTTAAAGTATTTTCTTTTCTGCATTTTTAACATACCCATATTAAAAAAATATAGGTGCATTTTTATGTTTGCTTTCTTGTCAAATTTTCAGCCATTATTACCAAGGGCGTGAGGTACTGTAAGACTCTCCACTGTTCATGGTTCAAGTGTCATTACTGTAACACTGATATTATAAGAACAGATTCCACAAGTCTCTCTTTGGAGCAATAACACTGTGAATTCAACATGTTAACAACTATTATTATAATTATTATTTTATTTTTATCATTATATACCTGGTTTGTAATTACCTTTTGACTAGATCAACACAAACATCAGCTTCCATAGCTTTTGATGAGCCTTCCCAGTTGAACCTGCAGTCGTGTATGCAAGGCTTTTTTGATTGTCTGCTGGCAGTTTCATATGTTGCACACCTTTACAAAAGACATTATGTCGGAAATGAGACTAAAGAATCTGCTATGTTCCGAAACTTCACGTTTTATTTTATAAAATCAACTTAACCTCCCTCTCTCTCGTCTCACCGTTCTCTGTCCTACGCTCTGATCTCTCTCATTTTAAATGTATAATATGATCCTATTGTTCAATCATCTGTCACTTATCGCAAAAAGTCAACCGGAAATCAATTAACGCTGAATAATCTCTCACAATTATGGGTAAAGGTCCTGGGTAACACTTTCAAGAGGAGGCAAATATGGGTGCTGTATATGTTGAATTATTCTGTACTTTTTGTGGTCAAATTGAAAAAAAAACATTGCTCTTGTTGTTTACAACAAGGTACTAGTAGTCAAAATAAATGTATTTATTTTTCACGCACACTTTTTTCATTTTCTTGTTGTTTGAGAGCAGACCAGGAAGCTGTCAGCCGATTTTCGGCATTCTTATTACGAATAAAAGCTGTCGCTCTGCAAAAGCGGCCCTTGTCTGTTCTTTTCACGCTAGCGGGAAGAACGGCTGCCATCTTGGATGTCGCAATTAATGTTATGCGCAGAAAAGGTTGCACAGTGCAAAACAAGGGAATCACCTTAACTGCAAGGCATTTCCGATGTCCCATTTAAGGTGGAACAATTTTAATTAAACTGCAACTGCCAAGAGATGAAGAGATGGCTTATTTGTAACAATGTGTAAAACCATTGAAGAGAACAATCACCTTTACCAAAAAATACAAAGACAAAGTTGTTTCTTTTCGTGTGACAAGACATTCTTGTAGCAACATGGTTCGAGATACCTTAAGATCTTAAGATTTGATGTAAACATGCGTATGCACGTTCTGCAAAAGAAATTTGTATCGCCAATGAGAACTAATGAATGGATAAGAACACTCTTATTTCTGTGACAGTGATCTTAAATGCACCTGACATTGTATCAAAATTGTAAGGAGAATTTGCACACCGCTCACTCTGAGGAGTAAAGGGTTAGTGCGGAAGATCACTGGGTTGGTAATCGAGCCCAGTATGCTTGCGCAGTGGCCATGATTTCCTCTATCTTAATTGTGATGTCTTATCACAAATGGAATTAAGTGTCCGTTATAGGCATGTATGGGGAATGCATCTATTCATTTTATTTAAGAAGATCTAGCAAAATTGTTAAGATGTATTTCCCCTTCATACTGGTCAATCGTACTTACGACATGTAATATTTTTCCACCTCCGCCTGGCGGAATATTATAACATTATAAAATGCCGATATAAACATAATTGCTTCCTCAATTCTGGTCTGGCGAGAATCAATTAAGGTATTGTACTACGAAATTTAAGAAATAAGCTCCTTTAAATTTTAAAAATATATTAAATTGGAAATAAAACCACATAAACGCGCCTCTTTTGTCTTATTCTTCATCCGGGTCTCGGAAATATTCACTGATAAGATGAGCAGAGTCATTCATGAGAGCTGGGTGCCAGTTACTAGCTATGTACTTGATGCCTTTTTTCACGATGCATCCCCCATGTAATGATCTATCATCTCTGTGGTTCATCCAGCCGGTTTTTTTCACCTTGTTCATAGTTATACCACATGATAGCTTTTCCTCTCTTGGCTGTTACAACGATATTAGCTGTTTGACAATATTCATTTAAATTGAAGCGATCGCAATCTTTGCGGTCCCTAAATTCCTTGGAGATAAAAACACGTTTGTTTATTTTAGTAATTTTACACCGATTGGGAAAGATTTTATTAAATTATGTTGGCCATTTAACGAGTAAATCTATGTTATCCCGCGCACGAACTGTAAGCGAGTATGGCGATGTTGTCAATACTGTTCTCATCTATTCATTCATTTGCATCCTTCCGTTCATTTTCCCTTTTTGTGTGTGTGCGTGTGCAAGTAGCTAAAGAGTAAGAACTTATTATCACAGGCTGTACTCACTATTTCATTAAAATTTTTCATATCTGCTACAGGAAAAGCTGTGTCACCAGTCCTTCTTCATTTAGATAATAAAGAATAGTGATGTAACTGTACAGTTACGAAAACATGTTGTCATTCAAGCATATCAATTGGATCATGTGTACTATAGGTGGACTCGGTCGACATATCGGGCGACAGTCGACCGATATATCGGTCGACTATCGGTCGACTATCGGTCGACAATCGACCGACTATCGGTCGATAGTCGACCGATAGTCGACCGATAGTCGACCGATAGTCGACCGATAGTCGACCGATAGTCGACCGATAGTCGACCGATGGTCAACCGATATATCGACCGACTGTCGGCCGATGCATCGGCCGATATGTAGCGATCAACTGCCGGTGAAGTATCGGTCAAGTATCGGTCAAGTATCGGTCAAGTATCGGTCAAGTATCGGTCAAGTATCGGTCAAGTATCGGTCAAGTAGCGGTCAAGTATCGGTCAAGTATCGGTCAAGTAGCGGTCAAGTATCGGTCAGGTATCGGTCAAGTAGCGGTCAAGTAGCGGTCAAGTATCGGTCAAGTATCGGTCAAGTATCGGTCAAGTGTCGGTCAAGTGTCGGTCAAGTGTCGGTCAAGTGTCGGTCAAGTGTCGGTCAAGTATCGGTCAAGTATCGGTCAAGTATCGGTCAAGTATCGGTCAAGTATCGGCCAAGTATCGGTCAAGTATCGGCCAAGTATAGGTTCACTTACCGACCATATCGCTCAGAAGAAAATAGGCTAAGAAAGAGTGCGAGGTTTTTTCGATATATGTTCCGATTTGGTAATGGAAAATTACATTGTAAAGTTGGTCGCTCTTGTGTAACTAATGTTGTGCCTTAACGTATTTCCATTATTCCTAAAACTACCCGGCTTATGCTTTATCCCTGATGTCATGCTGCCCTTAATCCAACATACCTAAAATGATTATTATTCCTTAGCTCTTATAGCTCTAACAGGTCTTTAACGTTATATTGCTTG